CGACCCGGTTTTGTCAGTTTTCAAAGTGAAGATAAACACACACCCTGCACAGTGAAACACATTTTAATGCACAGTGACTGTTTACTTGTTGAATTTAGTACATTGGGAAAAGAATAAAGCGTAAAATGTGGCCTGTGCGAAAGTTTTGGCACATTTGGTATTTAATGCTCATATTATTTTATTAAACTAGATTGTAAATTGTGCGCTAAAATTTGTGTGTTAACCGGTTTTCACTTCAAAATTCAACATAGTGTAATTTGACTGGGGTTATTTTGCAAACTTTTGTATATGACTGTATAACACCAACTATAAAGCTTCCTGTTTTCAGAAGAATTCATCAGGAACGTTAAAGGTATCACTCATATCACTAACGTTAGCTGGCTAGCTTGTTGCTAACAATACTCGCTTTCGTGGAGATGCCCCCGGTTTTTCCTACTTCGTAGCTGGATGCCAGAAATGACGTCATTCCCGAGCTTCCCGCTTCTGAGTCAAGTCGAATGCAGTGATAGTATTAGGCCTGGCGCTGTATCAGTCAGCGAACGGCTACTAAAAGCTTCTTCGCCTGGTTACCCCGAACCTCACGAGTCGAATAAGCTTGTTGGCTCTCTTCATTCAACTCCACATCGGCCAGCTTTGGTCGCCTTCATCCAAACAGTCTCACGTTTGCTCTTGTATCTTGTCTCAGGGTGCGTGCCAACAGTTTTTTCTATTTCTACCTTTTTTGTTGTTTTTTTCTCTCCCAATATATGTTTTTTTGCTGGTAGCTGGTGAAGTTTCTTGTTTGTTTTTGTTACTTTTTCCTGCTAATAAGTTAAAATCTGATACAAAAATGTGTCTTCTGAGGAAAAGCTAATGGGCTGTCCACCCATCATTCTTTTAAGCTAAGAATCGATGCATAGAGAAAAAATTTGCACAGAATTTTGGAACAACAAGGGCTGCAGATTCTCTAAAAAATTTAATTAATTCTAAAAATATTTGACAAATGCCTCTACTAAGCTTTTAATCTGCAGGCTTATAATACGACAATGCAGTTTTGTTTGTTTTGGGTTTTTTTTTTTGTTTGTTTGCAGTATTTGTTACTATATATAAATGCTATCAAAGAAATACAAAGACATACATAAAAAGTGCTTATCTGTTTTTTAAGCTTACGTTAAACGTCGCTGTTTTATTCGGTCGGTTTGTTTCGTGCTGCTTCTCTGAAACATTGACACTGGCTCTCCAAAGCTTGCTCTCTCTCCTCACCGGTGGGATTAAAAGAGAAAGACCTTGCCTTTTGTTTTTTTTTATGTCTGACGATTTGCTCGACTTTATAAACCGTTCGGTATCCAGGCTGAATATGCAGGCTGAAACTCATTTGAGGAAAAAAAAATAGAAAAGCAAAAATGTTTACAAAGAAAAGGTGTCACGTTTTTACGAGTGTATTGAACTTGCCATGTACATAGTAATTGTGAGTTTCAATTGGATTAGATAGGTTTAGTATTCTCTCTCTCTTTTGTTTTAGTTTTTTGTATGTTTTTAAGAAGAAAAAGAAAAGTCCTTTGATAACTATGCTCGTTTCCTCAAGTTTCGTCTTTTTCGCCCGACGGGGATGTTTCAGAGTAAAGATGAATAGAAGTGCACCTCCAACTTTTTTGCCTTAGAACTTGCAGAGGCCATAGTTCACCTTGACGTGAAAATGTGTGTATGCAGGGGTCTCCGGGCCCCCCATCTCTCGACTAGCAGAGCGGACTCTCTCTCTCACTCTTATCTACCTGTGAAAATCCTTCATACCTCTCATAACTGGTCAATGACTGTATCAGCAAAACCGCATCAGGTGTTTTTTCTACATGCTTTTTACACAGATTATATGGATTATTGTATTAGTAGGTTTTTGGTGCATCGTTTTTAATGTAATAGCTCTTCGGCTCGTAGTCGGGTTTCGTTTTTTCTTTCTTTTCTCTTTCTTTCGTTTTCTTGCTCGCTCTCTATCTTTGTTTTTCTAGACCCTCTTTTCTAGGAGACTGTTTTGTGTTAATATTGTCGATTTGAGATAGCTGTTATTTGCTTATTCTGTAGAGTTTTTACTTTTTTGTTTTGTTTTGTTTTGTTTTTTTTTCATTTCTAAATGCTACATGACCCTAATGAATTAAATTACTTAACCATTGTAAATACGGTATTGTGCAGAACTCATTTTCATGCATTTCAATTGCTAGTGTTATATAAATGACGGATTTTTGTCTAGACACCATTTCTGTTTATGAAATAAAGAAACATATCATGTACTATGCTTTGTGTCCTGCTTGATGCAAAATCTATGCAATGAAATGTTGAATTCCAGACCTGGTCAAATTACATGTTTTGTTGATTTGCTAAGTGAAAACAAGTTAACACATCCTCTACATAGAACACACCTAAATATGGCATTTTTCCATAAATTGTAGTGTACAATTTCCATTTTTTGTGGTGTTTATGGTATTGGAAAAAGATAAAATACGAAAGTGTGCCATAACTTTTGCACAGGCTACTTCTTGTTTGTTTTATTTTTTTCTTTATGCTGAATTCAGCAAATAAACAGTAATTGTGCATTAAAATGGGCAGGATGCATTACTTATTTTCACTTATGAAACAAAACATGTCATTTGACCAGGGGCACCCAAACTTTTGCGTAAGGTCATTTGTAAGGTCAGGTCAGGTAAACCTGCCTGATATAGAACCACCATGGCCATAACCTTGCTAAAAAATAAAAATCACAGACCAGCTTCAGTTCCATGCTGTAAGCTATTAGTCCATAAACAGCGTCATAAAAACATGAAAATGAGATATTAGTCCATTAACAACCTGGATAAATGGTCATACACACTAGAATTGGCAATATTAGTCCATAAACAACCTCAATTAATACTCCTATACACTAGAATAAGAGATATTAGACCCTAAGCAACCTAAATTAACACTTCTGTATACTAGAATAGGAGATATTAGCCCCATAAGCAACCTAAATAAATACTCCTATACACTAGAATAAGAGATATTAGCCCCTAAGCAACCTAAATGAACATTCCTGTACACTAGAATAGAAGATATTAGTCCCTAAGCAACCTCAATGAACACTCCTTTACACTTGAATAGGAGATTTTAGCCCCCAAGCAACCTCAATAAACACTCCTATACACTAGGAGATATTTTACTCCCTAATCAACCTAAATGAACACCCCTATACACTAGAGTAGGTGATATTAGCCCCAAAGCAACCTCAATTAACACTTCTGTACACTAGAATAGGAGATATTATCCCCTACAGAACCTAAATGAACACTCCTATACACTAGAATGGGAGAAATTAGCCCCTAAGCAACCTCAATAAATACTCCTATACACTAGAATAGGAGATGTTTTACTCCCTAAACAACCTAAATGAACACCCCTATTCATTAGAGTAGGTGATATTAGCCCCAAAGAAACCACCTGGGAAAGGAGCGTAACTAACTACACACAGGTGGAAACACTAACAGTGAGGCGGGACTGTATGGGAGGAGACAGGAGAGGGCAGAGCCAGGAACAAGACACCGTGACAACACTTTAGATTAGGGGCTGCAAAAGTAACTTATAAGTCTCTTATAAGATACAATTAACTTATGGTTCAAATGTGTCTTACAAAGTAATGTTCATGAATTTATTATTAGTAATAACTGTAATTACCTAAAAATTATGTGTTACCAAAAACATAACTTTGGAGAAATTAATTAAAAATTAAATATTAATTAAAATAAATTCCTGAGCTGATGAAAGAAGATTAGGGGCAGGTTTGGATGGTTGAATATTGGATATTCAACTAGTGTAATACATAGATCAATGGAAAACCCACGTAACAATACTAATAGAAGTTTATGTGTTGGAAGTTCTAAACTTAGCACATATTGATGTATGTTAATGAGGCCAACAGTTCCCAGAGATCAGTCAATGCTGTACAGTGCACAGCTACTGACAACTGAAGCTAATGTAGAAAGACAATACAGATACAAATAAAGTCCCACACTAGGTCAACATATTTCGATCTGATGGTTATAACAGAGCTGCTGGCTAAGTGGAACAACCTCTGTGGAAAACTGGAAGACTGGAAGGCCAGTTTTTTTGCCAAACATGGTTGGCCACTAGGTGGTAGTGTTGCACATTATGAGTGAGAGTTGATGGTTTCAAGAGCTTCAAGTCAGTTGAAGAGAGTGATGCAAAAGTTTGAGCACCCCTGGTCAAATAACGTTTTATGAAAAACATCCTCTACAGAAAGCACAACTTAAATATCATATATACATTGACCAAGGGTGCACAAACTTTTGCACACACCCGTATGCTCTCTATTCTGTCTATCTGTCTGTATCTGCACATCTAAAAAGGATTTAAGGGAAAATGAACAAAGGAATAAAGATCAGAAAGAGTTAAGTACAAAAAGCATTTATTCTACATGAGGGTTAATAAAGCTACTGTAGGCTAAGACAAATTGAAGGATATTTTCATTAGATTTACAAAGACGTTGAACATTAAAGCCCTTCAGATTCAGAGTTAAACCCCCGAGCGGTAACGCTGGCACACAGCCCACATACACTTAGAATTATTGTGAATCAAACATTCTGAATGTTTTTACTTACTTCACCTTATTTTTTCAAAACACTATCAAAATACTGAAAATACAGTCCAAGTAATGAACAAACTTTAGTGCATTTCTTCAAACACAACAGATATCCAATGATAACTCTTTGAACATAATTTCCATGTACAAAAGTTTCACTTCCGTCAGTCAACGTCATCTTAAAAAGAAAAAAAAAATTGTTAGGACCAAAGTGCATTTCAGTTAGAGTAGCTCTATATATGGCGGACTGAACACAGACAAGCTGTTCACACAGAACAGAAGAGAGCCAGTAATTGTGTAGTATGAAGTCACTGAAGCCAAGGAAACTCAAAGCGATGGCCCAATTGTGGCGCTCTGCTTGGCGCAAAGGTAGATACTCCATCAGATCTTCATGAGCTCACTTTTTCATGATGGAAGACAGTTCCAGAATCATGCTCTGAAAAAGGGAAACACTTGTTTTAAGGTTTCTGTTTTCTTATTATTGCCATTGGGTTTCTCCGGTATCAGTATATCTACCTGACTACATTAAAATGACTGAAATTTGTGTTAACGTCTTGTTCTCACTTTAAGAAAAAAGCACTATATTGCACTGTTCTATAACAGTAATACTGTGAAACCGGTAACCCGTTGGGCTGTAACCATACTGCAAATCAGGAATGACATATCTGTACAAAAATTGCATTTATTTGCTTCTATGTAAATATATCGTAACTATGAAGTGCATGAATTGAACAACTTTCATAATGTTGCTGTCATAAGAAAACCTAGTCACTTTTTCATTTTCTGCCTTTACAACAGAAGAAACCTTTACATTGCATGAATATTTCATAAAGAACTGACCAATGGAAATTTAGAAAAGTGAGTTTTCACAGTAACAGATGTAAAGAATATTTATCCCGTAAAATTCTTGTTTTCAAGATGCAAGGTTTTATCATGACAGTGATGATTAAAGCCCAACTGTTCTAAAAATAGGTTGTACTGCCTTACTCACCACTGACATTCGTCGACCAGCAGCAGGTGGTGGGGTCATGGCAGGGCTTTCCCCTTGAGCCTTGGCTTCCAACTCTGAGCCACTCTTGGACTCTGGACTGTCTGGTAGACTGGCCAGCCTGCTCTCTGACAGCCCTCGGGACATGAAGCTCGCTTTTCTGGCTGTGGGGTAGTGGTCACTGTCTGGCGAGTCGCTCTCCTCACTCACATCCTTGCACATACTAACCCGGCTCTGTTTGCGCATGGCATTCCGGAGGGCTGCCGGGATCTCGATGTTGCTGGCTTGTAGGGTTGCTCGAGGTTGCTGCCCAATGTTTTTTGGAGGACCAGAGCTCTTTGGTCCAGACTCTTCACTGCTGCAGGAATGGGTGCGGTCGTCCAGGGTATCACGACGCTCTGTGGCCCCCAGCTGTCGGAGTGCCTGGATCTCAGGTTGGCTGGGGAGATGCAGTTGCCTGGACTGCTGCTCAGACACAGCCTCCAGGGCAGGCCGAGGGCCGCCGGCAGTAGTGAGAGGTGGGTAGAGGGGCAAAGGTTCTACCTGACCGTCGGGCACCACTGTGTAGGATGGCTGGGTCACATGCATCAGTTTTTGGGGCGAGGAGTTGGTGAGGATGCATATCTGCTGCACCATGGAGTTTTTCTTTGACCTGCAAATGCTCTCGTCATCTCCGCCATGCTTGCTTCCGTAGATGCTCTGCTTGATCTTCTTGACTCCCAAGTGGAAGATCTCCAAGATGTTCAGGAAGAGGGATGCCCCAGCAATGACCAGCATGAAGATCATGAAGATGCTTTTTTCAGTTGGCCTTGACACAAAACAGTCCACAATGTTGGGGCAAGGGTCTCTTTCACACTTGTACAACGGGGCCAATCCGATCCCATAGAGAACATACTGACCCACTATAAAGCCTACTTCCACTACTGACCTGGTCAAGATATGAAATACATATGTGCGCAGTAAGGAGCCTCTCAGAGGGGCCTTCCTTACTTTCTTCTGCTCCTCCAGTTTCCTCAGCTCCTTCTCGACTCTTTTGTGTTCATCCACGATGCCTTCCGTTACCTCCAGTTCAACCTTGAGCTGGGCTTTCTTTTTGTGCCTCTCCTTCTCCAGAGCACGCAGTCGGTACAGGGCATGGCCCATGTATACCAAGGAAGGTGAGGAGACGAAGATGATCTGCAGGACCCAGTACCTGATGAGGGAGATGGGAAAAGCTTGGTCATAGCAGACGTTCTTGCACCCAGGTTGCTCAGTGTTGCACACAAACTCGCTCTGCTCGTCATCCCACACGTCCTCGGCGGCCACTCCCAGGACCAGCATGCGGAAGATGAAAAGGATGGTCAGCCAGATTTTACCCACAATGGTGGAGTGGATGTGGACTTCCTCTAAGATGCTCCCCAACAAGTTCCAGTCTCCCATGGTTGGTCTCACATAGCCTAAAGCTGTGTATGCAGGCCAAAAACAAAATGTGCTCTTGAACAACTTAATGATCCCATGATGTACACTGCCCATCAGATGTTTGGGAACATTTAGCACAACTTTTTAAAGAGAAAGCTTGCATTTTTCTTTTGCAAACTTCAAAACTGAAGGAACAACTGACAAAAGTACTATCCTGGGAATAATAACATACTGCTTGTACTTTATCCCCTTGTGATTTCAGCACACATCAGCACTCAAACCTTTCAGATGTTTAAGCCAACTTCAGGAACACAGAGCTAATACAAAAATACCCAAAGTTAGCAAATAGCTGTTTTATCATCAAAGTCTTTCCATGTTTTGTTCTTATTTTAAAAGAAGGCCAAGTGTAAACTATTAACAGGCAGGCTGTATACTTTCAGATATCGTTAAAATACAACCCGTATTGTAGCCTAGTGGTTAAGGGACTGAACAAAGAAGAAAGAAAAGAAGTAAACAGACTTACAAGTTTCTGATAGATGACTTTCAGCACTGAAGCATTATTACCAGAGACACTAGCAGACTGGCTGTACGCCTCCAGTATCCTCTCCTCTTCATTAAAACAGGTGAGATCCTCTCTCTGGGCATAGCTTCAGTAAATGAGTTCCAGACCCACTGCACGGTGAACTCATACGAGGCTTAAATCGATCTATGGGCAGCTGGACAACGCCTTAGGGGCATAGCTAGCACAACATGACCACTGACAGCATCAAGGCAGGAGGGGGAACATGTTAGTGACAATCCCAACAACCTTCTGACCTGTAATGTCCACATGTCAATACCACTGCATGCATGTAGTGCTTAACAGTGACCTGCCTTTTTACAACTTACATGCAGATGCTTGATGCTAATGCTCAGGTTGGAACAAGGTGTATGAATATGCAGTTAAGGTACCACATCTGATTTGAAAGAGACCAGACACAATAATCAATGAGTCATGTCCGATTTCATAGTTAACTGCCTGAAAGGCTATTTTTGGCTCTCGCTGTAGTCTATGGGTGATGTAAGAGATAGAGGGATCCAAAAAAATGTGGGCACTTGTGATTGCTACTCATTTTCACAGAATGCAATGCATTAAACCTGCTCAAATTAGGCTACATAGAACACATTTCATCTTCTAACTGTAGTCGAAATAGTTTTGTTACCTCATTTATAAAGGTTCTTCCAGTTCAGCAAGAATTAAAGGAGCCAAAATGAACCATTTGAGAATGGCTACCAATTGACACCATATGGCAAGCTAATGTTTTTTTTTTTTTGGTTGTTTTATTTTTGGCTACTGAACCCCACCAAATTTCATGTATGTAGTAATTAGCCTCCACATCAGTGGTACAGCAGTAGATTTTATCACTATGTGGGATTCCCATTGGTTGTATGATGTATTTATGTAATACATTTTGGGTATTGTAGTGATAAGCCATTGATGAAAATTAAAAAAGAATACAAGATAAGGAGTTTTGTCAAACTAATGAAGAACCCTACGGTACATAATAATACATGACTAATAGCATATCAAATGCTAGTTTTAGGCCAGAAAGCCGAGTTGTTACCGGAATGACAAAGATAGATGAAAACTGGTGGTCTGAACGGGTTTTGACAACTGGTTGCAATGTGAATGATGAAAGCTTTTTCAAAATGATCTCATGAATAATATAAAGTATGCAATTACCAGCAAACACAGACCAACAGAGGACAACTGAAATAAATTAGCTTTATTTTAAAAAGTGAAAAGACCCACAATTTACAATATATACAGCATATTTGTTTCAAATAAATTGTAGAGAAGGCTGTCGTCCAACTTTCAAATGCTTTAACAACAAAATTAAATAAAAACAAAAGGTAGAAATTTGAGAAGGAATAAAAGAACAACTCATACAGTCATTTCAACATATATTCATGTCTTTCAGCCTGTTAATTTGTTAAACCAAAATTTGAAAATAAAATCCAGATTCTGCTGAGTCTGGACAATGAAAACAAAAGGCCAAAATTAGGCTTTTCAACCCCCGATAACACTTAAGTAATGTCTTCAGTACTCAGGGAAACGAGTGTTAAAACAAAAGGTGGAAGATCTAACAAAGGAAATGGCGCATCTATTACAAACTACAACAGCTAAATTAAAGGCCATTTCTGAATTTATTTGTAACCTTTGCAACAGCATATTGCAATGCAAAAAACATACTGAATGGATCTTTGTGTCCGCACATAGACTTGACGTGATTTAGGATGTAAGATAGCGACTAAAAGATCAGACGTTCATGTTAGAGGGGGTCCCTTCAACATGGTTCATGGTGATATGCTCTCAATAAAGAAGACAGGACACTGTTACAAACTGAGTTTGTATTTCAAAAAATGAAAACTTTTTGAATGTACAGGTATATGGTCGGTCACCATATAAAGAGCACCTTATGATTTTTAACCTGCCAAAGTGATCTCACTGATGCATGACTATGACCAATTCTCAGAGGTAGAGCATTCAAGGCAAAAATGATTCCAGTGCACATACAGGAACTCATTAAGTTAGCTCATTTCAGGTTCAGACAATGGTTTTAAGGAACCATTTCTTTATTTATCTATATGAAGAAAGCTGGTTGATTTTCACCTGGACAAAATAATCTCTAATCCATGGGAGCCTACCTTTGGTCCTCAAGTGCTACACAGCTTGTTGATTTCCCTGCTCCAACAATCCTACTAAACCTGACAATCACTAGGGTGGCACACCCATGGTTGAGCCAATGTAAGGGCCAAATGAGCTACAGGGATACGACATTTGGTGCTGGTTAGTGTACCTTCTATGTTTTTTACTTTATATTTAGAATGATAAACTGCTGATCTCTGCTGAATCTGTCAAGGTATGTTAGGCAGTACATGCTTGCACCTGGTGACTAATCTAATGAAAGTTTCCCAAATTGGAAACCTATCATTGAGATTACAGTACAGTACATCTGAGATTCCCTCCACAAGGCAACACTGGAAAAACGCTTATTCTGATGTTCTCAGACAGAACGTTCAAGTTTATCTGTTAAATTTGGCAAAACTCCCAAACAAGACCACTTGGCTGGTTTAGACATCTGTGTCTGTGATATGGGCAGCTTCTGCTGGCATGTGTCCTCTTGCAACTCTTGGACCAACAAGAAATGGGACCTACAGGCTCACTGGCTCAGTTTTCCATCTTCTCTTTCTTCTTCAACAGTTTCATGAGCTGAGTAAATCGCTCTTCAATCTGTAACAAGACAGAAAGACTGAAATGCTTACTAAAGTACTTCTGGAACAATTCCTGACAATCCAACATGTTCCCAATTTCACTTAGAGTTCTAGCATGCACACTAATACTGAATTACAACAGATTAAGATCTTACAATGCAAGCATCCAAGACACAAACTGCCTCTAGACTAACAAGTGTTACGCATGCACAAAAATTACCTGGGCCGGTGACTTTTTTAACTTGGCTGACAGTGCAATGAATGTTTTGGAGGAAGCTCCTTTCATCTTCAGCTCAATGAGAATATCCCGGTCTTCATCCCTTAAAATAAATAAATGTGTAAAATATGAGTGTTGGGATGACTGACTTGGAACACACTATTGGTTTCATACGCAGCAGCAGGAGTGCACTCACCTGGTCCACGTCACCACCACTTCCCCTTTCTTTCTGATGACATTCTTAGCTGAGAGACCAGGGGACTCCTGAGGAGACTTATCCCCCTTCTTTGGAGGAGTCTTCTCGTCTTTTTCCTTGCAAGACTTTGACCTCTTCTTGTGCCGCTGCTTTTCATGTCTGTCTTGGTGTTTCTCTGTTCTAGAGCGTTTTGCCTTTGGCCCAGAATGACGTTTCTTACGTTTTCTGTGTGTCTTCTCACATGTGCTATTGGTATCAGGTGCATCGTCTTTCTCTTTGAATGCAACGCTGGCACCAGTGGCAACATGGGGATGTGAGGCATCTGCAGCATCACCATCAGCTTGATCAGCTGGGTCCCCAGTGGTTTTTGGCGAGACAGCCGGTGTGTTTCCTTCCAAAACACCTTTAGAAGAGGTGTCCTTGATTGACATTTGAGCTTCTGTTCTGTCACTTACGGTAACCACCTGCTGAATTGTTGAGCGAGAACCATTGTCCAGGGACGCTTGCGAGACTAAAGTCTTGTCCTCATGACACACTGCACTAGTTTCTACTGCTGATTGTGCCTCCTTCTGCTCCTGTGTAGGCTCCTCAGACGCTGCAGTGGACGTGTGCCTAATTCGCACAATAAAGTGATCGTTGGACCTCTCCATTACCTCTGCTTGCATGGGCAAGTTTGGTTTGAATTGAAACACTGGTGGATGAGAATCCTCATCACATGTTTGACCAGAACTTGACCCACAGCTGGAATTGTCTGTATCAAGAGAGAGGTGTATGTCCTGCTCAGTGGCGTCTTCTCCATCAAGAAGTGCATCCTCGCTGTAATGGGCACTGATGACGCTGCTTGGTGCAGACAATGGCTGTCCACTTGCTGGATGCAAAAAGCTCAAATGGCCATCTGACTTCAAGGGAGATGGAATGGTAAGGGATACAGCCAAATCTTCAGCCAAAATGGAAAAGGGCTGCTGGGAACTCACTGTAGTAAGGCCAGAAGCAGCTTGGTTTGGAAGAGTGTTAGACGGGACTTCTAACAAGCAGCTTTCATCAAAGACTTCTGGGTTTAAAGGTATTTGGATTTTATTGTTTGGGGAGGCAAACTTATAAGGTGAAATTGAGGTCCATGTGAGGTTTGATGGTGTTATGATCTTGCTGGGTGTTACGACTCCAATGAAACTCTCTCCAGCAGGACCTTCCTTTCGTGGAGTATTCAGCGGCCAGCTTTGATTCTCCCCAGCTGAGACACTAGCCTCCAGCAGGTCTGACCCTTGCAACAGACACCTGAAAATATCTCCCATTTGAGAATCGGTGACCAAATTAAAAGTTAAACTTGATGTCTGCTGCTCTGTAAGAATCTCAAAGTCTGTCCTGTCCTGAGAAACACGGCGGGCATAGGTGGATATTTTATTCTCCGGTGCAGGGACACTCTCTTGGGAAGATTTTTCAGAGGTGGAAACAGCAGGCAGCTGGTCTGATGACTGTCTCTCTGATACCTGAGTCTCTCCTTCCATGGTTGCTTTGATATTTTTGCCTCTGCTGCCAAGGCCTCTAATTTTACCAGGCAAGCTGTGCAGAGTAGTCCACTGCTTGCTTTCATGGCCCCCAGCTTCATCCTTTTTATTTGGTCTGTGCTCAGCTGTGCTCAAGGGTTTTTTAGCTAGAACTTTATGAATATCCAAATTCAAACTCTCTTTCACCCTGGAATTTAAACACTTGCTTTCAAAAGAAGTATTCTTGGAAAGTCCAGATGCACTTTTAACTGCTGCTTTCAGCTCCTTGAACAGGAAATCAAACTGACCATCCACAAAGTTCCACAGCTTTTGCTTGAGATCATCAGCTCGCTGCTCAAAGATGCGGTTTACAATGCCATTGCTAGAAACCTTGCTCATAACAGAAGAGATTATCTTATTGAGCCTAGATTTGATCTCATTTCCTTGAGAGCAAAACTTATGAAAGTTAACACCATCAACAAATTCTGTGAAAGAGGCTAGAGACATGTCAACAATGCAGCAAAAAGCTGACTTGGTAACATTTTTGTGAAGTTTCATGTACTTTCGCCTTAGCTCGGACCGAATGAACAACAGCATGTTCATAAATTCAGCAGATGTTGTAACCTTCGCTTTGGGCGGAACAGCAATTATTTTAAAACGCCTCTTGTTGAAAGTGGGACTGTCTTTAGAAGCAGCAGTCAGATTTCTGTCTTGTTCACGTGTTGGAGTAACAGTGGGTCTCATCTGAGATGTTCTTTTTTCTAGCCTTGGCGACCTAGGACTGGGCTGATTTCTTGAGACTGATTTTGTTTTTTCATGTGGAGGACTCTGAATGATCAAAGAACTCTCTTCATCACTCCTGCTGTCTATCTCCCCCTCTTCAAGTTCCTCTTCCTCAACAGTAGATGAGAGAACCTCTTGCGGATCTTTCACCACAGTGGGCATGACTGACAAATCAGGTCGCTTATTCTCTTTGTTCATGTCCATCTTGATAGTATCTTTATCCGTCTCACTGGCTGAAGCGGATAAATCTTTATAGAAAACACAAACATTTTGATTAAACTTCTAAACATGTATAATAGACACTTGACAAGGCTTAAATTGCTTAACGTAGACAATGTCCAGCTCTGTTTATGCAACATTTATGAAGATCATTTATATTACTACAATTATTTGTTCAGTTAAGCGGCACTTTCAATCCTTTATTAACAATTTATAATAACTACAACAGCTTCATACCCACCTTTACTAAGACTCTTAACATGGGCTTCCTTTCCCAAACTATGCTGGACTTTCCTCATCTGGCGGACTGGACTTGTGAGAGGGCTAATGGCTTCTGGAATTACTCTGATGTTGCTCAGGGTAAGCATCATGGAATCTTCATCCTGGGTCACCACTACTGAATTGAAAGGCCTGGAGTTTGGCAGCTCATCCTCTGTGGAATCCGGCTGGGAGGAGCTTGCTTGTTCAGTTGGCGTTCCCTTCCCTCTCAAAGTGCTGCTGGTGTTGACTGCCCCAGCAAGTCCCCCTTCCGATGGTCTTGGACAAGAATCTAAGTTCTGAAGGCCTCCTATCATTTCCACATCCAAAGCAGTGGTTTGTGTGTCAGCACAGCCATGCTCACATTGTGGGTTGACATCTACACTGACGGTACTAGAAACAACTTCCAAAGACACAGAGGTGTCTGCATTAGAGCAAGCCTCAGGGACAGCATGCACTTTGATAGAGGTGGACACTTTCTCCTGAGATGCATCTATTTGAACGGTTAGTGGGGCTTGTGGCTTTGGTTTGCATTCTTTACTAGCATTCTCTCTACTCCTGTCCTCCTCATGCTTCCTCACAGAAGCCTGAGGATCTTGCTTCTTGCATACATCTTCAACCGAATGAACAGACAGACTATTAACTGGCACAGATCCTTCACTGGGCAAAGAACCTTCAGCCATCACAGTTTTATCTACAGCACACTGAGAACTGTCTGTACATTTCTCAGGAGAATCACCTGAATGGTCTGTATTTATAACAGAGGTCTTTTCTTGTGTCTCTAAATCAATACAAATTTCCTCAACTGGAGTCGTAACACCTTTACACGTCGCTTCACCAACACTTTTGGAAAATTCCAATCCTTTTTCTTTCACTACCAGGTCTTGAAGGTCTGTTTTCGGTTTCCCAGAACCAGGAATTATGTCCTGACTCTGGCTTGGCTGCGTGCCTGAATTGCTCGGGTCAAGTGGCACAGAACTACCTGTTGCAGACGCTGACTCAACATCCATAGCTTCCACTGACACTTGGCTGTTTTCCGTTTCATCTATGACACAGAATTCCTCTCCAAGCTCAAATGAACCTCTTTCCTCAGCTGAATTGCTCACGTGAGCATCCTCAGGAGGTTGCATAATTGGCTCTTCATGTCCAGAAGACTGGCTTTGCTTTTTAATCGGTGAAAGAGTGAGATTTAAGGTTTCCATAAAAGATAACTTTCTCTTTGGACTACTTTCTTCTGCCATGGCAGAAATATCATGGCTGCTTAACTTCAATGGAGCCCGCATGTTTACTTTTTCATTTTGACAGTAAACAGTTTCACCAACATGCCCATTCTCACCAATTCGAGATTTCTCAGGAATGGCAGACTTTGCAATATCTGCAGCAGGTATTTCTTTTGTTGATTTTCTGTCTAGAGTTTGTCTGTCTTTATCAGTCCTCCTTCTTCCTTTGTCATAATCAATATCAACACATTTCTCTTTTACACTATGCTTATCAGAGGCTTTATTTCTAGAATCATCAAGGCTGCTGGATGCTTTGTTTCTGGGTAACTGCTCCTCCCTTTTACTAGAAATTTTCCTTCTGTTGATATCCTCGTCGCGATCTTTTCTCAGAGTACGACCACTGTCTTGATCGCCATGTTTAACAGGTGAAGATTCTCGCCTACTGTTTCGGACATCGTTGTGGCTTCTGTCCCGCCCATCTCTGAAACGTCTATCAGCTTTATCAGCTGCCCCCCTCGCAATGCCTTCTTCAATCTCTTTTGCATTCCGTCGCTCATGTTCTTTGCTGGTTTCTGACCTCGTGCTTCTCCTTTCCTCTCTACTGCTACTGTTTCCCTGCTGTCCATTTCCTCCTTCGCTTTCTCTTGTCTTCTTTTGCTCATACTCTTTACTCCTGTCATTCCTGGTGCGTCTCCTTTCTGAACTGCTAGAATCTTCGTGCCGCCGCTCCTCTTTCCTGTGATGCTCCCTGGACCCTCTTTTCTCCATCTTCCGGTCAAGAGAGACACTTGACTTCTCAGAGGAGCTTATTTCACTTACAGAATGAGCTCCGCTCCTACTGCGTCTGTCTTGTTCTTGTTTCCGGCTTTCTGTCTGTGTGTCTGAAGTCACTCTAGATGGTCCTTTGGACAACTGTGAGTGGGATTTAGACGGTGAGACGTGCTGTGGTTGAGAGAAAGGACTCTTCGCGCGTCCGGACCTCCTAAGTACTACAGGATCCTCTTGCTGCTGACGCTGGCTTTTGCTAGATGCACAGTTCATTTTCTCAGACTCCCTTTGTGGTCTCTCTGATTTGTTTACATCACATGGAGTTTTTTCTGACGAGTTCTTCTCTTTAGGGTTACTCTCCATGCTCTGCTTATTACACTGTTTTGTCAGATATTCCTTACCTACCTCCTTGCTATCCATCCGTGTCCCAGCTGTTTCATCACAAACGTTCTGCCCTGCTGTAATACAATTTTGAGAATTCATGATCTCACTTTCAGAGCATACATTTCCCCTTTCTTTGCCACTGGACTGGACACGTTGGTAATCTCTCCAGCCATTGAGTCTTTACTTTGACAATACAAAGGACGGTCATGGTTACTTCTGGTACATCTTTGGAGCACTGATGATGGTGAAGCATCTGTCGACGTTACCGGATGAACAGGGTGGCTGGATAGTCGACTTCTATCCCTGTGCTCTGATGCCTCTGCTAATCCCCGACCTCCCCTACACTCCTGGGACTCTTTTGAAGGGCCTGCAGGGCTGTTCACATTGGGGCCAGTGTTGGCCTGGTTCCTCAGGCAGGGTTCTTGGCTTCGTTCTATCCAGGATTGATGGAATCTGCCCCGACCAGGTCTGCAAGAGCCACATCCAGTTAAGACAAATGTACAAATGTAGTAACTGATGCGTCACGGAATATACGTGTATTTATATTTAGTAGGAAACACAAACTCAGTAAATTCAGTAAATGAGTCATAAAAGGGTGTCATTTACCTGTTGCTTAGTTTGTTTATTTCTTCATCCTTTCTAATGATCTCCATTCTAGCAGTCTTGATAAGTGCAGAGATGTTTTTCTTCAGTAAGGTGTTCTCTTTGTGTAGGCTTGAGTTCTGTGATTACAAATTAAATAAATCACATTTTTCCCTCCAGAGTAAAGTGTTTTAACACAATAAATCCTTATTTATTTTTTGCAGTGTCTCTCAGCTATCTTGTTTACAGTTATAATAATGCCATAAAACGAAAACATCTCTTACCACAAAAAAACAAAAACAGAATTTATATCTTGTTACATTCACTTCCATTACAAGTTAAGAACGCTTTTTTCTTGTCCTGTAAATGTATCATTTTGGAGACAGCAAAAAACAATAAACGAAAAAGTACACACCTTTGTTTGCATCTGCTGCAATTTTGCAAGCAATTCCTGCACCTGGTTTTGCGCAGCATCAAATTTACTTTTCAACTGTAAAGAAAAGAACAAGCAACAACCATAATTAAAACCTTTTAAATTTGCTTACTAATCAAATGTTATGTTATTTTATATTATTATTATTAATAATAATATTAATAATAATAGCTGTTTTGTTCAGAGAAATACGGTGAATGCTAAAATTGTATGTAAAAATGTAAACCTCATTGTATGTTGCATCTTTCTCTTCTCGTTCTTCCGTGATGAGCTCTTCATACAAATCCATAGACTCTTTCACCCTTTGTGGTGAGAGGAAAGTGCTGACTTCACCTGAGGGAAAAACAGAGATGCCATGTCAGACAGGAGCACATCCCTCTACAAAAATGAATAAGGGTAAAGCACAGCTCTAGGATCTGTGATTTTCATAGTAAGACTTCTACATTATTTAACAGCTGTGATGGTACCTACATATCTGCACAACCACCACCACTGACACACTATGCACCCCTTTTCTACAGGAAACCATAGAATAAACCTGATACACTTACGGTTGCCTCCATCACACTTGGGACTGTCGTCTAGCCCCGAGTAAATATCCACAGAGTCTTCATCATGATTCAGTGAAGAATCTAAAAGAAATACATTTTGTTAGGTACTGACAAAATCTTCTTTTCCTACAAAATATTTCAAGTTATAAATCAGAATGAGGAGCGCATACCATCCTTCACACATAATAAATTCCTTTCATGTTCATAAACATGCATGCTGACGTCCAAAAACAAATGACATGTGGGAATGATACTGAAATTTGGAGTGCATTTGATGTTAGAGGGTCAATGTGGCTTCCAACACGCATACAGGACTGATCACAAGAAGTGCTCGACTACCTCAGGATCTGGACAGCTAGTCTTGTAATAAGCACGAGAGATTTTATGCAAAGTGTGGGTGGTAACAAAGACGTGTTAGGTGGGAACAAACTTAGTGTGAAATTTCTAAACCAATCCAACAGCTCGTAAAGGCAATGAAGCCCTCAGCAACACTGGTCGACAAACAGCAAACCTGTTGTCAGCCCATGGATGAAACATAACAGTTCTATTAGCTAATGAAAGCTAGATTGATTGTTTTGCTTATGTTATTGATTAGATGTTAAAAAAAAGCATGGACTTCAAGAATTTAGGGTGATTTTTTGTGGCAGATTTTACAGCAATCAAGCACTGAAAGTTTAATCATTCGTCCCTAGCACCAGATCAGGTCTGGTCCCACTACTGCACAGCTAGAACTGAACAGGTTTCAATCACTGGCGCTTATCTTTTAAATGCATTTGTTGACAACTTCCAGATATGCAATGCATTTTAGTGCCTACAGCTCAATTTACACTGAAAAAACGCCTCAAATCAGAATGGCTTGCAGAGAATGACTTTATCACCTATTATTTGCTTGATAATTTAGTAATTAATTACTTCCAACCCAAACAATCACAGACACTGATTTGTTCATCTTACCATAATGCCTTTGCCCAAGATCACCATAAAGCTCATCCATAACCCTCTCCTCCATGCTTTCTGTCAGTCACGACATGCACAGCATTGCTTGATGTGGCTGAAAGTGAGAGAAAAGGCATAAGTGCTGTTTCAATGCAGCCCCATTATAAAACACTGAGCAAGAAAAAAAAAATACTAGGAGAGCAGAAAAGCTAATTTAATGTGACCTAAATCTGCTCACTGCAACAATGAAGGCATAACAGGTGGAAGTCTCGATCAAGAAGGTCAGCAACAAAAAAGTGTTAGCAATTTCCAACCACTTATCTACACAGCAAAATATGCGGTTGTACAGTTACATCAGGCTGCCCACCTTCCTGAATTTCAGTTAACTCATTACTGTTCATCAACTAAACTTGATATGAAAAGTAAATATACCACTGAATGTGTGCTGCTTGATCTAAAGTGGTTAACAGTTACACTGTGGGTGAACATCTAACTGAAGCCAGTGAATTTTTTTCTCTTATTCACAATCAAATTTGGATTGTTTTGATTCAAATCAGTGATCTCATGCTAATATGAGTAATAAGGGATGAAAAGCTTGCTTTTTAGCCATATGGCTTGCTCAACTAAAGCAAACTCATCAGACAGATATTGAGCAAAACACATATGGACCAAAAAAAACTTTACATTTTCAGATATGGACCTCACTAAGTCTGTACAGAGTACAAAAAGCAGACACAAGCCCAAGGCTAACAAGCTGAATTAGTACTTTTCTGACTGTTAGCTTCGATGCTGATGAAGAGAAGTGTTAGACAGTTATTTTAAGGATCAAAACCATCCAGCAGAAGCTGCTGTGTGTGGTAAACACGCTTTAATACGCGGTAAAAGTGCAGTTACCGTGTTTCTTACCTACAACAACAACCTGTTAGCCAGCGTTAGCCACCCAATACAAAAGCTAGCTAGCTAACAGTATCAGTGGAGTCGTACACGGAGTCATGGAGCTCGGATTAAAGTCTTTATCGCCGCTCAGGGAGAAAAGTGTCTTCCAAACAGAGTCTGCGGAGAAACGAGGCGGTGAGCGCCGTGTGTTTTTATCGCTGCTCCCCGTTTCGAAGGTTTTAAAGTCCTGAAGTCTCTCGCTGGCCGGTACCGACAGACAGAGCCGCGCGCCAACCGAACTGCTTTGCAAAACAGGAAGTGACGACATTTTCCCGCGAACTCTGCATCGCCTAAATTAAAATTCTGTTTTGAGTATAATAAAAGAAAACAGAAATCAATAAAACATTCGTCCTGGGTTGAAGTTATCATACTTATATATACATACACATATATATATACATATATATATATATATATATATATATATATATATATATATATATATATATATATATGTATATTAACACGTGTTAGTTTGTTTAACCACTTCCAAGCCTGTCCTTTAAATATATAAACATGCAAGTATGCATCATGTTAAATATTGTCCTTGATGGCCATTTTCACTAGAATTTAAATAAATGAAACTGTATTATTTTGCCAAGCAGTATTAACATACATCTATGTATGCATATATATATATATATATATATACATATGTCCAAAATTCCAGTTGAGAGGTGTAAGAAGCTTGTTGATGGAATGTTGATGGAATGATTTCAGTTATTTTTTTCCAAAGGGTGTGCAACCAAATATTAAATTGAGGGTGCCAATAATTTTCTCTGGGCTATTTTTGGAGTTTTGCGTGAATTATATCATTTTTGGGGTTTTTTCCCCCCTGTTTTTTTGTGTTGTTCCAACACACACAAAGGAAATAAACGTGTATAACAAAACATGTAATTGCAGTAATTTTCTGGGAGAAATACTTCATGTTCTGGAAAAATTTCAGGGGTGCCAACAATTTTGGCCATGACTGTTTTGTGTGTGTGTGTGTGTGTGTGTGTGTGTGTGTGTATGCATATGTAAATATGTATATGTATTATTTCAGTGAAAATGGCCATCAATAGACAATATTTAATATCAATGACACAGAATCCTTAACATGTACATATCATATTACATTTTAATATTACATTTTCTTTTTTTGCAAAATTTTTGTTTGATTCCTTTTGCTTATTTTTCTTTGACATTTTTCTAATGCATGCAAGTGGATTATGCCACATCTAATCTATATTATAGAAATATCTATTGAAAATGAATAACTTGAACATAATGGCCGTTTTGACTATAAATTAAATAAAGGGTGGGCTCTGAATTTTGCATATCAATCCATGCACGTATGTACATGTGTACATATGGAATACATGTGAAGAAATGTTGGTGTCTACAAACTTTTGGACATACTGAACCTGCACCCTGAGCATGTTTCTTGGTTATTAACAGCAGCAACATAGCGACCCAAACTACTACAATGCTAGCTAATCTTATATATACACACACATATATATATATATATGTTTATATATATATATATATATATATATATACATTAAGACATATATGCACATGTGTAAGTTAAGAAATTCAGGAGGTGTGTGTGTGTGTGTGTGTATTTGTGTGTGTTTGTGTGTATGTGTGTGTATACACACAGATTGGCACATATGCACAGCTCGTGTTCCTCGAGCTCGTCTCGAGCCTCTTCCCGTCGCGGATCTGCGCGTAAGCAGCTCGACCCGGAAACGCTCTTCGTCCGCTCACACACATGTGGACGGAGGGTTTTAACAGTGACGGGACCGCGGAGCTCCTTCTGTCCTCACACACACATTTACACATTTACACACACATACACGCTCCAGGAGTGATGAGCCTCCCCGTTCCCGGCCCGTAGAGCAGCGGACCGCGCCGTCTCCACTGCTCCTCTGAGCGCTGCTGTGCGGAGCGCAGCATGGAAAAGCTGGAGCTCAGCCTCACATCACTGGCTGCGATTTCCAGGCATGTCGACAAAAGTCACAACGAGCTGAGCAAGTATTTGAGCAAGCAGGTAAGACTGGGGCTCGTCGGCGGGTACAGAGGCTCTGTAGGGAGGTTTTTAGTGGCGTTTCTTGTGTGAGGGTCAGGCATTAGCATCAGTCCTTCACTTCTGTTTACATCTTGGACGGAGCTGAAGCTCCTTATTCGCCAGCTTCTTGTTCGAATTTTCCCGTTCCACCTTAAATGGTGCAGCTGTTACATTCTGGCTCCTGAGTCGCTCCTGAGTCGCCAGAATGTAACAGCTGCACCATTTAAGGTGGAACGGGAAAATTCGAACAAGAAGCTGGCGAATAGTGAGCCAACTTGAGCCTCGTACATCTCGGCTGCTTTAGGTTCTGAAAACTGCTTGGAAACGAAGCAGCAGACGGTCAGAATTCACGACACTGTAGTGTTTTGTTCATTTATGCTCGATAAAGCGTCTCAAATTTCATAAACATGTCTTGACGGTGTTCCAGGTGGCGGTTAGCGTCCCTCCACTCCTCCACGTGTGTTTTCGAAAATGGCTAAGGCTAGTTAGCATTGCAGTAGTTTGGGTTGTGTTGCTAAGCTGCTGCTGTTAGGAGCCAAGAAGTAACATGCTCAGGGTGCACAACATGTCCAAAAGTTTGTAGACACCAACGTTTCTTCTGAAATCAAGGGTATTAATATGGAGTTTGCTGCAATAACAGTCTTATACTAGATGCTGGAACATTGCTATAAAGATTTATTGCATTCAGCCACAAGAACATTGGTGAGGTCATGTTGGATGGTCAGTTCTGGATCACTTCATCTCATCGTATGTGTTGGATGGAGCTTCAACACTCTAGAGAACGCTGTTCCACTGCCCCACAGCCCAGTGCTGGGGGTCTTCTGACACTTGGTGCTTGGCATGGTGACCCTGCTCTGGCCTTTTATATGGATATACCAGCTGTGTGCTTGAAATTGAATGAGAGCACTTCAGTAGCTAATTAGAGCTACGTCTAACTAATTAGAAGAGTTGTCTGGATACTTTTGGATATGTAGTGTCTTTAGGGGTGTCTGTATACTTTTGGACATGTAGTGTCCTTTTGAGCTTAATCTGCTGGATATGGGCCGAGGAGATGCTGAGGATGTTGAGCGCTGTTCTTTTATTAATGCTGAAGGTATGGAACCAGCAGGACAGGCAGTGCATCCTGGGTTGTTTAGCCCAGCTCCTGCTGGAGAAGGATTACACCCTCCTCATTGCCCGGCATCTGCGGCCGTTGATCTTGGACCTGCTGGAGAGGAACGCCGAGAGGATCAAGACGGACGTCAGGCTCAATCACGACCTCCATGAACGGTTGTGCGTGGCCGTCAGCAAGCTCCTCAGCATCAGCCCGGACGCTCAGACGTGAGTGGGAACCTTTTTTATTGTACACTTTACCACTTTTCCACTCTACAGCTGCTTGTTAAGCTTTGGTCTTTGAGGACTAATCAGGACCAGTTAGCCAAAACAGAGTTACTGCTACGCAAAGAGTAGTGCTGTAAGTTATTGCACTGGTTTCGTGGACGTGGATTAAGTTTAGTCTTTGCAAAGCCAAAGGTGTTAAAAATCCTGTTTAGGGTAGGGCAGGGGTCGCAACCCAAATGTTGAGAAGAGCCATTTTGTCCTGTCAATAAAAATCAAACCACCTTGGGAACCACAACATTTTATGTCCATTTTACCCTCTTGGCTATAAGTGTGTCTTATTATGTGCTGATGCGCTAGTAAAGGATGAAAAATATAATTTAAACAAAAAACGCAGACTTACTTTGCTCTGCTTTAAGCTTTAGCTCAGCTATAGCCCCTTGTCTCGCATCTCCAGCAGGAAACTTTTCCTCAAAAGTAGAACAGTTTCTTGTAAAATGTCTCTCAAAGTTCATCTTTTATAAGGCTACGACGCTCCTCATTCGCAAGCTTCTTGTTCAGTTTTTTCCGTTCCACCTTAAATGATGCCTGGGACGTGTTGGTGCTGCACCGTTTAAGGTGGAACAGAAAAATACAAACGAGAAGCTGATTTTAGCTACTGGGCTTTTTAGTGTTTGACAGTTTCTCACTGCAGATTAAATGTATCAGGAAACCAGCTGGAGCGATTATAAATGCAAAGTCCATTCATCTCCAAATTATCGATGTTCGTCTGAAATCTTTCTCTTTGCCTTTTCGTTAGCTACTAGCTAGTCCAGATTGTTGTCATTGCTATGGTGACCAGCAGTCTGCGTGGTAATCTTTAGGCTTAAAGGGTGAATTAGCAGTTATACATTAGCTCCAGCTTTTAAGACCATTTGTTGTTAAAACTGTGTTAGAACGATCAGCAGAGCTTTATCTGATTCTGCTGTGGAGCCGCAAAAGGGCAGTAAAAGAGACACATGTTGCCGTTGCATTTCCCATATAATCTAGTGCTAGGCTTAATCTGCATCTGGAAAACTGGCTCATTTTTCATGGTATGTTACACATGGAGTACCAAAATCCACAGCACTGCAAATGTGAGTGTTTTTGTTAGTTAGCTTATAACTAGAAACCTTGTCATGAGGTGGAATGTGTGTTAAAGAGCTGCAACTTATAAGTATGTAATAGACTGTGCAATAGACTCCTGTTTGAGTTTATTGGTGTGAGTTATTTTTCCTTCTGCCGTTTCCTTTTTTTTGTCCCCATCTCAACAGCTGATTTCTTTTAAAGTTTAGTCTGTGCAACAATCAACTTCTTAATTTATAATGCAGTAAAAGTAATGTAGTCTGTTGCAAGATAGAATGATCCTGAATGCGTTCACATGCACTAAATAATCTGATGACTGCAGTTTTTTTTTACATGCACTTGGCAAACAGATAATGGGAAAACTCCAGGTCTACATGAGTCAGGGAATAATTCATATTACTTGTTTGTAACTCACAGAAGAAGATAAATGTGACACAAAATTCAAACTTCATGTTGCAGCTTTTTGGAGTCACTTTAGCTTTTATTTCTTTATTCTGTCAAGCATGTAGTTGGTTTCAGTTAAACTCCAAAAGTGTTTTGTTGCTATTTTGCGGGTGCTGTGTTAAATGCTGTGTGCTGTTCCTGGGACTGCTCTACCTTCTCTTTGCTCACATGTGCAGACTAGGAAAAACGAAAGAAATCAGAGTAAGGGTATACTAAAAAAAAAAAAATGATTACTGGGCTAAAATCCAGCTCTCTTTATCTGATTTCTTGATTAAATTGACCTTAATCCAATCGAAGGAATTGAAGTATGCTGTTTACACAACTGCTTGAATAATCAATTAACCGATAAACAATAATGATCATGTTATTGGTGTGCATGTAAATGCATTCGCTGTTCCATGTAAATATTGTAGAGCACAGACAGATTAATGGACTTTGTTTACTAACTTTTGTAGCGTCACCTTCATAAATACAGTGCTGTCATTCTCCAGGTTTTGAGTTTGATGTGTCATAGGTTTTGGTATCCTGCTGTTGCAGTGGTTTTCTGTTTGGAAATCAAAGTTGTCATCAGGGCTCTGACTCACAGTTTCTGGCATAGATTAATGATCAATTTTTATTTGATTACCCAACTTTTATCAGTCACATGACATGTTTAAAATGACAAATATTTCAGAAGAGTATTAAATATAAACAAAATGCCAACTGTTACTGCAATTATACACCTATTGGAATGGACTCAGAGCCTCATTTAATCCTGGATAATTTGCAGCTTTTAAATTACATATTGTAGCTGTCCAACATGCATCTTCACAATAGTACCTTTACAGTAGAGGGCAAAAACGTACATAACTTTTCCTGTAAGGTAATGTAAATAGGTTTTATTATAAGTGATTCTGGAGCATTTCTCTTGATCCATTTATCGTGAAATTTTGACCCAATGTAAAGGACAGCTGCTGTTTTCAAAAGATGTAGAAAAATAAAAATTGCCAAAAATGGAAATACATATATTTTTTGGACACTGATCTATTTGGTTATGTATCGATGACTAATTGACTTTGCTGACTAAAACTTTCAGCCCTTGTTGTCCTTCTGTCAAAGCAAATGATTCACTTCATCTCTGTTCTGCTGCCTCTTAGGTTTGCATCGAGGTACTTCACCAGTGCCCCGCCCGTCTTTCAGAGACTCTTCTTCACCAGCGAAGAGTCCGCCTCCATACAGTACGGCCCCAGACGCATGAAGCTGCGGGACCTGATGGGGGCCACTCTCCGCTTCCTCCAGAGCGACTGCGAGAAGTTCCGAGTGCTGTGGGACTGGAGCGCCTGCGTCTCGCAGCTGCTCACGAGCGACGTCATGGTCCGAGGGTACGGCTGCTTGAGTTAAATGTAGACCTGCTGTAGGAGTGGGCAATTTGACGATATTTTTATCGTGTCTGGATAAATGTCGTCGCAATATGCTTTTCTGAGCATATCATGGATATCGTCAGTACTTAAAGAATTCTGACCACGTGCAACTGAAAGGTTTTAATAGTATTTTTAAAATGTGGCACTGCTGGGTCATTCTGTCTGTTCCCACTTCTTAGAAAAACTGAGCATCGTGTTACATATTGGTATCACAAATGTACCCTTAAGTATTGTGATATTGTATTTTTGCCATATCGCCCAACTCTTAACCAGCTGCACACAAATGGACTCTAGCAATGTTGATAGTTTGGCAAACGCCCAAAATGTGTATATTTATGGATTAGAAATTCTGTCAAGTGACTTTGAGAGAAAAGAAAGTTTTGTTAGTTTTTTACTTTTTTGTCCAGTTTTCATTTGATTTTCTTTATTAATGGTTTTTTTTATTATTTTTATGAAGTTACACTGTGCAGTGCCTTGCTTTGGTGTCCCACATGACTGATAACCAGAAGACGATCTTCCTGAGGAAGGTTCTGTCCACTGAGGAGATTCTGCATCTGAAAATGAAGTAAGCTGCAAGGCCACAAAAATAAAAAAGCAAAGAGTTTTTAAAAGATGCATAGACTTCACATAGATTTCATAAAGAAATGTAACAGTAAGCTATGTTTATACCTTGTTATGTATAGCCTGAGTGTTATTCACTGGACCTGGTTGCATTGGCTCTGTTTGCATTCCTATTAAAAATAGTCCTCTTTTTAATCTATGTTCACAGTAGCTACTGTGTAATAACCCTTTAATAAACAGAATGGTAAGCCTAGTGTATGAAGTGTTAAAGTCATTGTTTTTTTTGTTTTTTTTTCTGACCATAATGCTGCTGTTCTCATCTTGCTAGATCACTGGAAGAGGCCCAGCAGCTTGAAGTAGAGCGAGCTCTGGTGTTGGCCAACCAGGGCTCAGTGATGTGGCGTCTGGAAAGAGGAAATAAGTATACCAAGGGGCAGGTGGTGTCGGAGGACCTCTCCCAGAACGTTACCGCTGTGTGCGGAGTGATCTTGCCAAGGCTGACCCCTCGACAAGAGGAACAGGTTTGAGGAAAAATAATATGAACCAATATTTCTCTAATTTTCTGCATAATTAAATCATTAAGCCATAAGCAAATTCCGAGTGGTTTGATGTGAAATGCTCCATTCTAGAAAAAAACTTATCAAGTCAGAATTGTTCACAGTAGTGGAAATAGAAACCAGTTGTCTGAAGAGTTAAAGATCATATGAAGTTATTAAGTTATCAAATGACAAATCACAAATATGCTGCATTTTTTAGAGAAAGTTTGGCCTTAAATGTATTTATAAAAAATATTCGTGGCAGAGAAGTACATGTAAGGTGTTGTTATTTTTTCAGATTAACCATTATTTTACCATCATCAGCATTACATATAAAAACTCAGGGTAGGTATCATTTTGGGTGGTAAATAAATTGGTTATATTTGCTTTGTAGATATTGTGACCCCTTGTTTCAATCACCACCTTTATAAAAATGTCTTGGGTAGCAAGTTTCTCTACAGTGCGCCTTTTCGCATCACACTGACCTGACTCACTTTGTTTACATCGCTATGATTAAATTATGTTCAAAGTTATGATTAAAGTTGTTACATTTTGATGGAAGATGGAAAAACAGAAATGTTGTCTTTTTATATGATATGATGAGTTGTGCTGAACATGACCAGGAATATAACAGAAAAGATGAGTGTTAATATCGTGTTGATTTTAATATTCATAGTTTAATATTGATAGTGTAGCTGTGCTGAGAATATTCCAAATGCTTCCAGATCCTACAGCTGGCATTCCGTCTGTCAGGTTGGATGTTGTTTGTACAAATTTGTTCCTTTTTTTGTAGAAATGCTTGCAAAACCTGGTGCTGGTGGACTCCACGTGTCGAAATCTCAGACGGCTTGCCATGGCTGTAGCGTCCCAGAAGCCCGTTCTTCTGGAAGGTCCCATCGGCTGTGGCAAAACTGCCCTGGTCGAATACCTAGCAGCTGTCACTGGCCATGTCAAAGCCCCTGACATCCTCAAGGTTCAGCTGGGGGATCAGACAGACAGCAAGGTAAGCTTATGAGTCTCTGCCCTGTTCTAGGCATACTGGGAGTGCTTAGAGGCTTTGGCTAAAAATCACAGAATCACGATTTCATTTCATCGACTACGCTGGCTAAAGTATTTCCATTGAGCTTCACTTCTCTCCTTGTGTGTGCAGATGTTGCTGGGGATGTACCGGTGCACAGATATTCCTGGGAAGTTCGTATGGCAGCCAGGGTCCCTCACTCAGGCGGTGTCCAAGGGCCACTGGATTCTTTTGGAGGACATTGATCACGCTCCTCTGGATGTGGTAAAAGTCCCACCATATTAAAACTCATGCTACTTTCCATTTCATCAGATCCACCTAGTTTTGACTCCTTTTCTACTTTAAGTGGGGCTGTTGAGTGAATTGTTTACTTATTGTTATCACACAGGTTTCCCACAGATCCTTAAAAAGTCTCATGAAGGCTTGAAATAGATATTAAAATGTAAATTTATCCAGTTTTCAAGTTTTTGAGTCTGTTTTTTGACACTTGCCACGAGCAGCGTGCCATCAGAACCATTCACTAAATACAAAATACAAACATAATTTCATTTTTAACTAAATTCATAACAAATGTTAAATTTTAACTCATGTTAGTAAAAAAAATGTTACTGCATTTATAATGATTTGGAAAAAAGCTTGAATTCTTACCAATAAGAAATTTAATCTGACATGCTAAAATATAATTCCTACAAATAAAAGTTGAATGTTAAGATTTGATTTTTATATTCATTAATTTTTTTAATAGGAAAAACAACACTTTTTGTTAAAGCAACGTTGTTTCAGTGTAAATAATTCTTGGTTAAAATTAATGCCACAACCACCTAACATCAAGTGCTCATCAGTATTATTTTGGTATAACATAAGGAATATATCAGTCACAGTTTCTAGCAGTATAGTCACGGTGTGGTGTTTGGTTTATGTCCAGCCTGAACTCAGAGATTCTGTTTTATTGTGTGTTGGTTTTTTTTATGATGGGAGCTGCAGGGGTTTATAGAGTGGCTTGTGTCACTATGTGCTCTGTCCAGATATCAGTGCTGCTGCCTCTAATGGAGAACAAGAAACTGACCATTCCTGGACGGGAAGACTGTATCCAGGTGGCCCCTGGCTTCCAGTTTTTCGCTACAAGAAGGTGAGACCTTTCATTTCAATCTGTTTGCACTTTTGATCTCACCACTTGAACCCATTTAACTTGTCTGTTAGGGACCTACAAGGTCTGGACGTTTTGTCTTGTGTCCATCATGTGTGGAATGTATATGCTCTGTGCTTTTGGCCTCTTAACACTGTCTTTCATGATTTCCTCTCATAACCACATTTGAGGTCAGTTGAGAATTGCCCTCTCAAATACCCACTGAATGTGCTACTTTTGTTTGACGTGTTCAATTTGTAGATCTTTACAGTAAAACTTCCGTTTATTATTTAGGATGTTCTACAGTGGTGGAGCATGGCACCGGCCCCAGAGCACCCATGCTACTCTACTGGACAAATACTGGAGCAAGCTACAGATCTGCAATATGACCAGAGATGAACTCAGACAGGCAAGTAGATGTTTTTCCACCCTTTCTGGTTTTCTTTAAAGGAATTATTTGGTAACAGTTACTCAGTTTTCCCGCAAACATAGCTTATTAGCCAAGACTTGTTTAACGTCGGAATGCACTTGAAGAAAATGTGATAAAGCACGTGTTCTCCAGTGCTAATTGGTGGTGTATAGGTTTCCATTACTTGTTGACTACATTAGCTTCATAGCTTCAGTGCAAAACAAAAGAATCAAGCTTCTGACACCAGACATGTCTTGGCTGACTGGCTTCATTTGAGGTGGAGAAATGTCCAAATTCAATTTTTCACCAAAATATTAATTTAAGCTGCACGACCAAAGTTTGAACTGTTCAAAAGTTCAGAATCAGTTAAAATAAAGGGAACCTACCTGCGTTGCAGAAAAAAGTGTGCAGTTTCAGAGCTTTCAAACAATTGGTTGGAAGACATAAAGCTGTATCCAGAATGGTGAGCAGAGCTGTAGATGTTTCTGGAACTACTCAGTAGGGCTGGGCAATTTGTCATTATCACAGTATGTCACAGCATGCAGTGCAGTTTGTGATTAAAAATAATTTGTACTTGATGTTTTTGATAGTATTTTTTTTTTTCAAATGTGGCACTACTGGCTCTTTTTGTCTGTTCCAAATTATTAGATGACAGTAAATATCATGATGTATCATATATTGTGAAAGTATCTTTAAAAAATTATTTTTTTCCACATCACTCACCTCAATGCTCTAAAACAACACATATGAAGTTATGTTTTTGTCAAATCTCAAAGCAGAAAACCTCACAAAAACGTACTGTAAACAGTATATGACTTATCATTCAGTCAATCCTTGTTGATTTCAAAATTGCCTAAATATTAAATACAATATTTAAGAATACCTTCTGGTCTAGTTTATATTATTAAAATTATTAAAAATATTGTTGTATGCACTGTAAAAATGAAAGTGAGCTCAACTTAAAAAATCATAAGGAAGTTGATTTGCTTTTGATTTGATTTTACTCAGTTCTCCTGAGGCTCTTTCTATCTGGCATTTTCTCCTCCCAGTTACGGATGTCTATAGCAACACTGGGGTTTAAATGCACAACCACTTGGTGGGGCGGGGGGGGGGTGCTTAGCTCCTAAAGTTACTCAGGTTTCTGTGTCCATAAATGTTTAAGACACTGTAAAAATGTGTTGCTTTAAGTTTAAAATGTAATATGGGAACACGTGGTGCAGTGGTCTGAGAATTCACCCCAACATCAGGAGGTTGTAAGTTTGAACCCCAGCAAAGCCACAGATGTCCACATCTAGAAGCCCCAGAGAAGAAAAAGCCTGGTGGGATTGTGTGATTGAAAGAGTCCCAGCTAGAGGGGGAAACTGAGTAAAAAAAAAAACAAGTTCCACTTTGTTTACTTGACCAAGAGCTCAAAATGAGAGCTAGGAGAACTTTTGACTAAACTAAGAAGTTTGAATTACATTTTGAATTTGAACTCTGTGATCTCAAGTCAGTTACATTATAATTTTTTATGCTCAGCTGAGTTTCCTTTTTTCTTACTGTGTATAAAATAACACAATTATTAATATTATTAACATATATATTGAAGTGATTCCACACTTTTGAATGGTTTGTATTTAATTTGTGGCATATCTTTAACAAGAATGAAGAACAAAGTGATGAGCATGCAGAAATGCATGTAGCTAACCAGAGACGAAGAGCGCCACTCAGTTTATACGTATCAATAAAATTGGTTTGCAGTGAAATATTGAGGTCAGGGTCAATTTTTGGAATGAGTTGTGGCCTGAAATTGGTTTGGCCTGAATAGCACATCTTTAAGTGTAAAAACTGAAAACCCCAGAACATACAACCCCCCTGAAAGGCACAGTTGCATTGTTTGTGGGTAAAAAATTAATCACAGTAGAAATACATAAAGCTCAGAAGCAGATGCCTCTGGTTAATGTGACCTCTGTTGGTTCAGTTTTTTTTTTCTTCTTTCGCCCAGTGACTTATTTTTTTCCTGCCTGGTTTCTTTCAGGTCCTGTTGAACCAGTACCCAAATCTGGCGGCAGTGGTGGACCGCCTGCTGGACATTTACTGCCAGCTGACCGGAGATAGACACCATGTCCCAGTCCTTTCCAACCTGCAGACCCCAGGCGAGGAGAAGTCCTCACTGCTGGAGGGCCGAGGACTCTCTCTGAGGTAACGTGAAAAAGCGAAAACAGTTGTTCTGCGTAGCGTCCAGTGTTGTAAATGTCCAGATTACGGTTCCTGTGTAAGCTAACCAACATGACACTGTTTAATTACTTTAGTGTTTGAGCAGTAATACAGCTAACGTTATGAGGCTGAAGTCTTATTTGAAACGGTGCAGGAGTTACTTTCTGGCGTCAAAATGTGGCACAGCTGCACAGTGGAACAGAAATTTGATGGCATCATAATGTAACTGCTACATGGCTTAAGGTGGAATGGAAAATGTGAAAAAGAAGCTGGGGAATAGGAAGCCACGTCAGCCTTGTGCTACTCCTAACATTTACTGTGGAAAGCGTCAAAACATACAGAGTCAATGTGATCGCCACAACTGACCTGCTTTGACGACGTCCACTGTGTCGAACACAAAAGTGTGCAAACAGTCTATCACTCCTTTTTCATCGCTCATAGAAACAAGCAGGTTTTCTTTTTTCTTTATGTTAAAGGTGCTTGTAAATAGAAGAGCTATTTTACTGCAGTGTGAATTTGATAACTTTATTATTGTTGCATAACTTTATTATTGTTATTAAAAAAGGAAAACCATCCTTTATGTATTTCTGTCAAAGGAAATCTTACATTAAATGCCAGTGTAATTATTCATAAAGTTATAAGTGTGATGTTATCTGTGTAAAACAATTCGTAACACTTGGTGTGGTCCTTTTGTAGATGATTAATAAACTCTTAACAGATTATCAGTAACACATCAACAACATATCAGTAAAGTAACAGTAGTGAAGCATCTGAATACACTGAATCTTGTAGATGTTCTGTTGATATATTACTTACGTTAAGTAGATGTGTTGTTATGTTACTTCCATTATGCGAAACCTAACCTTACCAACCTGACCCAAAACCTAACCCTCACTCTGGCCCTAATCCTAATCCTAACCTTAACCTCAACCCAAACCCTAACCGTAACCCTCATATGTTTTTGACGTGTTACTGAGAGTCCATTGAGTGTTTCATCTAAAAGGACCACTCGAAATAAAGTGTCATCAAACAATGTAAAGGACTTTAGGCTTCTAAGATTTTATATAGGCTTTGCTGATTAATTCAGGCTTTAAAGGAAGCGTTAGATCATTACATGTTCATGTTAAACGGTTGGGTGAGTTATATCATGGAGGACTGGAATTGATTGCGCCACAGTCAGCTCAGATATGTGGGGAACAGTAGGGGGTGAATACTCTGCTGGGCCAGAGTTTTGATTATTAGGCTGTTTGTCCAAAGTATTAGTTATTTATTAAGATTATTAAGATTAAGATTAGTAAATTTGAAAGTGTGCAATTTTCAAATCACTAGGGCTGAAATGTTTATAGAAAATGATTACACTTAAATAACAATTACAATATTCGTCAGAAAAAACACAATTAGATATATTCCCCATAATCGTTCAGCCCTGCTCTAAACCTTGCTTTGCTCTGTATTCCATGGAAATGCAGACGCAGTGCTCTGTAGTGAAAAGGGCACAGTGGGTTCATCAGTACATACGGGCCAATAGGTTCATGGCGCTGCTTAGAACTGATGCCACTGTCATAATACAGTAGTTCAGTGGAGGGCTAAACTCATATAGGCCAAATAGGCAGATATATTTTCTTAACATCACAAGAACAGTGAGTTCAGAACAGTGTTTTTGCAGCTTAATTCCGTACATGGACTCTATGGACTGTGGAGTGAACGATACGTTTAGAAACTTCAATCGAGGAAAATTTGGTTTTCCGTGATAAAGACCCTTTAATATACTATCCCTTTATCTTGCTATTGCAAACAGGCAAAGAAAACAAATTTAGTTTTGCATTTAGAAAAGTTAGGTGTTCCCAAACCTTTGCTTATCACCACACTGAACAGAACATCTGTCTGCTTTGCTGAAGATCTGTGAAAGTTTGGTACCCGTCCACTGGGCAGCCAGCCCCCCAGGGGCTTCTATTAGCTTTCCACTGTCTCTGACTCCAGTCGATGGGCCATCGACCCCCTCCATCCCCACAGGAGAGTCCCAGCAGCAGCAGACAGAGTCACCGTCAGGCCAGGGCGGCACTATTAGATAATCAGCTCAGATAATGTGGAGCATCGCACACGCCTGAAGCTCTAGGCCTTGATACCCACCAGCGAATGACAGAACAAAATGTTCTTGGTGTTTTTGCTTTTAGATGTGAAGCACCTTGTGGATCTGACTTCCACATGCATATTTAATAGGCTGAAGATTCTCTCCATCTGCATTGGCTTTTAGTGCTTCGTAAAAGTGGTGCTTCATATTAATGACACTATGTGTACTTGTTCAAAATACTAGATTATGTTAAGTAGATATTATTAATTTTATGGTGATAAGTAGTAGTTAATAGTTAATCAGTAGAAGTTGTTAATAAGTGGTTATTAATTGTAGCATGTAGTATTATGCAAAGGTCTTATGCACCTGAGCTCATTGTTTGAAGCCATTGATCTTGGCAATAAGTGTGATTTTGCTTGCAAAACTGCCATATATCGGAATATGGAATAAATGCAAATAAACATAAATATAGTGAAAAAAAGTAAAATAAGAAGTTCTTAGTTTTTAAAAACTATGTGATCTTGTGAGCTGATTTCAAAAATGAAATTCGGTTCCAGATTTTTTCTCGAGGCCCCCAGCCATTGCATTGATTTTTGAAATTCCATCACCAGCATGCTTAATTTAACATCATAAAATACTGATTAGCCACATGATTTGTAAAATTGCTACTTATTATGTTTGTTTATTTTGTATTGTATTTATTTCCAATGTTATTTTCCTAACAACTAAGTGGTTACTGCCCAAATAAATTGATTTAAATTCTATTGTTCTAATAATCTAATAATCTAAAGCGGTTCTATGAGCAGTTATATGATAATAATCATGCACCAAGTAGTGCAGTAGTAATATAATAACCTTCAAGTAGAAATGCAGTATTGTAGAAAATAATAAATATGTTACAAGTGGAATTTCCTGAACAGTCAAAAACACAGTTCCATGTTTTGGTGTTTCCATTATGATTTAATCAGCAACCAAGCTGATAAGGTGGATGAAATCTGTGGATTACATAACAAGATTGAAATATCATTGATTAAATGTTGGAAAAAAGCTTGCAGGTCTTTTGTTTTATGTGTTCATTTTGCTAATTTTTCCTTGAACACTTGCATTTTACTATGATAAGATAGGATTTTTTTTTTTCTGCCCTAAGCTCCAACACACAGCGTTTCTGGGTAAAGAGGTTATCCCACAAAAGAGAAATCAATCTGCGTACGCCAGCTTTGTGGTGGTGTGATGTTTCGGTTGTAGCCGTTCTGTGACCAAGGAAATCAATGCAGTACTTCAATTCTGACAGGCAGTTTTTTGACTGATGTTATCAACTAATCAAAAAGATCCAATTGGTGGAGTTATTGTAACAATACACCATTCTAATCATATGACTACTACTAGCAGTAAAGTAATAGTCCTTTAAGTGGCTGGACATGAATTTAAGAGTAGCTCATTGTAACAACTTTAATGATGGGTGGAGGAAAGACGCCGGGGGGAGGTGTGAAGACGGAGAGCTTTCTTTTATTATTATTTATACACAACGCAAAAACACTCAGCTTTTCAGGTCACAAAGTAAGACAAGACGCTCGCTGGGACTTTTCAGTCCTTTCGTTTCGTTTCTTTTCTTTCTTTCTAGCTCAGCTCAGCTCAGCTCAGCTCAGCTCAGCTCAGCTCAGCTCTCACAACTTCACAGGTCTCCTTCTCCCTCTGGCCTCTGCCACCTACTGCGGGAAGAGATGACTATAAGTAGGCTGGCAGAAACAAGGCACAGGTGAACATCATCAGCTACTTAGCCCGTTCAGCCCGACTGGCTTCTCCGTCCTGCATTTGACGCTCGGCCACGCCCCCTTCTCCACACTCATTCTAATGAATCACTGAAATGATACATTGCATTAAAAGCAAGCGCAGCATTAACAAACAACATGCTACAGCAGTGGTTACAGTGCATTAACCATGTGTTATGTGTTGTGTGTGTTTTCGCAGGGACTTGCTGAAGTGGTGCGAGAGAATATGTATGAACTTTGACAACTCCTGCTCCGCCACAGCCCAGAACGTCTTCCTAGAGGTGAGTGACTTGCTGTTGCCATGGTGAGACAGTCACATGACTTCTGTACAGGCCTGACACTGAATTATCTCGACTGTTCTCTGGGATCTGCAGAGACTGAGGATGTGTGGTGTGGATAAAAGTGTTTTAGTATATTGTGTAGAACAGCTGGCAGTTCATTTTGTGGAACACGAACCTAGAAATGTGCAGTGTAGTCATTAGTACGCCTTACAGAAAGAATACTTATTAATGAAAAACTGTTACTGTACCCTCTTCACTGGAGCCTACATTGAGAAGACTAGTGTTTTGGGTTATAATGTTTTCACTAAAGATGATTAAGAGTGGGTGATATTGAGAATTCAGTCACAAACGTTTAAACAGGTCATCCTCTACAGTGTACAAACTTCAGTACGGTATTTCGCTGCACATTTTAGTGCACGGTTTCTATTCCTGGGTTAAGTTTAAGATATTGGATACTGGAAAAAATAAAATACGCACTATAAAAAGTGCCATACCTTTAGCACATGCCACATTTTATATTCAGCAAATCAACAATATTGTGTATTAAAATGTGCGTTTCACACAGAAAATAAACTGAACATGTAATTTGAAGGGGTGCCAAAACTTTTGAATGTGATTGTATGACATCACAGTACTGTTTAGTTCTTCTGATTTATACAGATCAATTTAAATGGATTAAACAGACAAATAAAAATTAAGTACTACTTCTAAAAAAAGGCTATAAAAACTATGGTTTTTAATTTAGCATTTAATAAGGTAAAAATAACTTTTAGAGAGGAGAAACTATTAAAAATAGTAGAATAAGATAATTGCATAACCAGGCGGACATCCAGACAAGCTGCCTGTTGCGATGTGGTTTATGCTGTTGGTATATTTTTTAGAATGCAGTTGAATTTTGTTTAGTATTTATAGTAATTTATACAGTAATTTATCACAATAGTGATGACATGTCGGCATATTGCCCACCTCACCTCTAATGATGATGATGATGATGATCATGATGATGATGATGGTGATAATGATGTGTCCTTCAGGCTCTGGACTGTTTCACTGCCATGCTGTCTAAAGCTGAGAGCAGAATAAAGTTGGCTGAGATCATTGGCAGCAAACTCAACATCTCCAGAGAAAAGGTGAGAACAAAACTCTTTCATTGTCATTTCTACACTGTTCTCATCGTCACAGCTTTCTACGCCAATCTTCTTCAGATTTTACAGACATCGGGCCTTCCTTTGGTTCACCGCCAAAGCATAAGTAAACCATAAAAAAAAGATGAAATGGGTCAAAATTTGTGAATAAAAGCAGAAAGATAGAAAACAAAACTGTTTTATTGGACATTTCTGCAGTTGGACAGGAAAGCTAAAGACAGACAGCCTGTCTTCCTCAGGTATTGTATCAGGATATTCTGAAAGATGTAGTTTTGTCCCTCTGTTTTCACCATCCATGTAAGTAGAGTTGGGATTTATTTTGAATCTGACTTTGGTTAATGATCATCAAGTCACATTTCTTTAGAATCATTGAGGTAGTTTTAATATTTGCAGTCGAGGTGACTCCGCATTTACAAGAACTGAGTGTGGTACATTTTGATGCCTGTGCACTACAGTTTAGTGAAAACTAAAGCCAAATTCAATCAGAAACATGATTATAACTCCCAAAATGCTGAGCACACAGAAACACCCCAGTCATCAGTCATATTTCAGACAGAGTTCTGTGTAAACAGTAAATGAAAACAGCTGCAGACAAGTGAACACAAGTTAATGTCAGCATTTTCAAAAAGGAACAGTTTGCTCATTTTTTTCAGAAATTTCCACCCTGGAGAGCTTTTTAACACTTCTGTTTATAGTGAAGGAGCACCGTTTTTGTGTGTATGGGAGGCCAAAATGCAGAAAAAAGTCCTTTTTCAAAAATATCCGGATACATGTGGCCTTAATCGGTTTAATTCCTCTCTAAGGGGTGCTCCACTTACATTTACATCTACATCTACAAAAGCACCAGGAAGCGCTCTGTGTTTATTTGTTTACTTAGTTTCTTATTTTTATCTTTAATTGTAGTCATGGCCAATTCCACGTGCTAACTAGGTCTCTCCCGTCATACAATACTTCCAAGTTGGGAGGCTGAAGGCTAGCACAAGCTTCAGGACAGACTACGGATGGCTGTGGCATCACTCTTTACTTACTGAGCATGCAGAACTCTGTCTGAAATATGACCAAGGACTGGGTTATTTCTGGGTTATTTGCTCAGCAATTTGGGAGTTATAATCATGTTTTTAGGGATTGAACTTGCATTTTCCAGTAGGGTCAGCACGGTTAAGCCATTCAGGACACTCTTTTAACCATAACTGTTACTGCAATAACAAAATCATTAGGGCAGTCAGGTGGTTTCAGAAATTAAATTAAATTTATTGTCCCTTCTCTGTTTTTCAGATATTCAAATGTAGTTGAATTTAAATACATTAGTTCTCAAAAATATGTTATACATCATTTTGCTAAGAAAAGAAGTAAACATGAAACGCCAACTAAATGCCAGTTTTCCAAGTACTGGTGGATTTAGAAGACATAAAATTGACTTGGCATTTTCTATGCATTTTTCACTTTTTTATTTCCTTTGCAAATGAATATATGATTTATCCTTAGTTATTCTCAGCCTGGGGGTTTCGACTTGTGAGATGGTCGTCAAAAAAGGTACATCTGACATCTAAAGAGATGTGTAAAACCTAAAGAGAGTGACTGCTGAAAGCGTGAAGACACTGCCTGCAGTGACAGTAAAAGTATATAACTGGCGCAGGCATCTACAGTAGCTGTGCAGCACCTTAGCCACACAGCTTCACTGCCTTATTAATATTAGGTGACTATTAGCTTACTACACTACAAAGCATCCACATTCAGAGCACTAGCTACTCAGAAAAGTCTGTCGTCGGAACCAGACTGTTTGGTTACCTCGCACGAGAATGTATTTTTGCCTGTTATCATTTTTCATTTTGTAAACATATCGCCCTGTTCAGAATGACTGAGCTGCTAAAAACCTGAGGTGTTATTCAGAACCCCACACAATTCTTATGAGGCAAAAATGAATTGTTTTGTTTGTTTATGGTCAGCAGTGGCATGTTGTCAGCTGTTGGCTAGTCGTCATTTGTCATTGTTAGTAACTAATTGGCCTGCTGTTCTGAAAGCCCTAAAAAGCATGTTGTAATTTGATTATATGGGGAAAAAACTTTCAATCAACAGCACATTTGTCAGAAGTGCAGAATTGAACCTGTCAATACACTAATTATGTAAGTAATTATGTAATAAAGTAATAACTTTGGGCTTCCAAGAGTTGAGGAGGGATGCTGTGCTTATTTCTAAGAAAGAAAGTGAAAGAATTTATCTTACCCTGGTATTATAAGATGTTGGCAACCTCATGGGGTCGTCATATTGCTGTCAGAAAATTTGTTTACGGTCATTTAACATATTCACAGTAATTACAGTGCACCAATATTGTCCTTATACTGAAAGGTCAAGTATTATGTAACATGTGCCCTACTGTTGTTTTTCAGGCTCAGCATTTCTGTCAAATGTATCAGCCGGGCATCAGTGTGACGGAGCTGGAGGTGACGGTGGGACGTGCCATGCTGCTGCGCAAACAGAGCGACGCCGTACGCCTGGAAATGTAGGATTCTCTATTAGGGCATGACCTAATCTGTCCACCCCGCCCCCCCCTCTGTCTCTCTCTCTCTGGTAGTTTAGGATTATGCCAAGATTCACCTAGTACTGAGTGGCACCCTGCTGGTAAATTGAATAAACATTGAATTGATCTCTAACTGCGCTGGTTAAATAGACAACCATACTGCCCCTGAGCACATTAGACAGATGTGCCAATCAAACTCGCTGTTCCAGAGGTTGCCAAAAGTCACTTAAGGTCATCTTATTTCATAATGGTATGTCAAGAAAATGAAATATTTACCTTTAGACATTACCCTGCAAAAGCTTGGCCTATAGTGTATGTTTAAGTTTTGATATGTGTTTTTTTTTTTGTTGCACCATTGCATTTTACCAAGATGTGAATAGTCATAATTCATAGGGGTTTAATGTGAAATGATTCACTGTAGGGAAACTTAACTGTCTCTGGTTTCGTCACAGTGGTGGTGATAGGAACCAGGGGTCGCAATGTCTACAGTACAAGTCGCTGTTGTCGGATGAAAACCTTCTCCAAAATCTCCAAAACTCCAAAATGATAACTTTACAGGAGAAGGAAAAGACATGCTTTACTTTTAATGCAAGTCAATGGAACCAGGTTTTTTTCCAAGTGATTTTGGGCTGATTCTTTTGGTCCAATCATCATGATATTTACATACAGTGTTAAGTGCAACATGCATTTTCAAATTATGTCAAAAGCTGGCAAAAACAGCAAAAATGGAGATACGAGGTTTTGTTCCGACAGCAGTGATATGTGTATTACTTCATAGTTAAATATCTTCACTATTGTTCTGAAATGTTGAATATAGTCCCTACTTACAGACGGGTAGTACACAATGAATAGTAAACAGATAAATACTCCAGACATATTTGTGTGATGTATGTTCTGTTATGTGATTCGTAGAGAGAAACAGACTTTTGCTGCTACGCGTCCCTCCTCAGTGCTGCTGGAGCAGTTGTCTGTCTGCGTCACGAAGGGAGAGCCTGTCCTGTTGGTCGGAGAGACGGGCACAGGAAAGACATCGACCGTGCAGTATCTGGCAGGACTAACAGGTGGGCTGACCGCATGGACCACCCAGACCCAGGGCATACACTAGAATTCCGAAGTTTGGAATCTGTATTTTCTAGTGATGTGACAATTCATTCCTTTTGCATTGTTTGATTCCTGCTGCAACAACCGTAACCGTAACAAAATCATATGGAATCGCTTGCATCAGTCAAAAAATCAACTTTAAATGCTACAAATCTAATGAATCGTGATTTATTAACAAAACAAGCTTGTTTGAACGAAAATAATTTTATGCAAAAGTTTGAAAACCAGTTATGGTGTGGTCAAATTACATGTTGATTTCTAAATAAGAGTAAGTTGATGATCTTAAATATGACATTTTTCTGCAAATTTTAGTGCACAATATTTATTTGCTGATTTTACCATATTGGGGAAAAAATGAAACACAAAATATAAAATGTGCCATACTTTTGGACGGGTCACATTTCCCCCGCTAATATGTTAAACTCAGCAAGTAAACAGTATTTAAACGTACGCTGTGTAAGTTATTATTGTGTATAAAATGAAAATTCTTGTTCATTAAGATGTAACAGGCAAAAATATAATGTCATATCGTCTCTTATGTTTAGGACACAAGTTGCGTGTGGTCAACATGAACCAGCAGAGCGACACTGCAGACCTGCTGGGAGGGTGAGTAAGAGACCACCTGCTGGATCTCTATTCTTAATCACAACAAATCATTTTGGCAAAAAAATAGTCTTATTTTATTTATTAACATTGTAGCCATGTAGCGTCTAAGACAGAGGTTCCGAACCACGGCCCACAACGTTTTAGCGACCACATCATTTAAAGTGCAAAAAAATGTAATACAGTAATCAATGTAGTTTCTCAGTTTTGCTTGGTTTTATAATATAATGCAACACAGTAAAGAACATTTTACATACACCTAAGCTGGTGTTGATGACATTAAGGGAAATGAAAGTTGCGAAAGGACGTCTGGCTCAGTTCAGTAGGTTTAGATTCATATTTGTGTAGCTACCAATAGATGGCATAATTTGTTTGGCTTCAGCGCTTCATTTGAAAAGACCTCTGAGCGAACAGCACAGCAGAAGGCGCTTGTTTTCTGTTCTCAGACATGTGAAACCTAAAAGCCTTTACACACCCAACACGTTTTATTTGTGGAGTTTTCCAGACAGTAAATTATTTTGATCAAACATATTACTGGTAGTGTCTTGCACACAGAATGAAATATTTTGAATGATGAAAACGTGCCATTATTTTAATTTCGCTCTGTTTGATAATTGCGAATAGGTAGATATGGTGGCTGTTTCACTTGTAGGTGGTCCAGCCTTGGGACCTTTCCTTTTTGAAAAACACTGTTTGTAACTAGTTATCCATAAATGAATTCCATACAAACAGAAAGAGATAAGTCTCACTTTGGCTTGCACTGAAGATGTAAACATGGCTAGCATTTGCCAGATTAATGGATGAGATCGACCTAAATGCGATGTTCACATTTAAAAGTGAATGTGTTGTTGTGGGGTTAAACTGGTTTTAATTTAAATTTTTTACATAATTGATTTTGACAGGTTATACTGATGTGGGTTGGTTGGTTTTAGCTGTGTATATTGACGTGAATTGGTCTTGTTTTGATGGATTAGTTCAGACTGGATAGATAACATCATTTTACATGAATTGAACTGGTCATTATTAAAGATTGGCTGTACTGATTTTATTTGATTTGCAGATATAAACCTGTGGATCATAAGCTGATCCTGTTGCCTCTGCGTGAGGCGTTTGAGGATTTGTTCTCTCAGACGTACTCTCGGAAGCAGAACATCACCTTCCTGGGCCACGTACAGACCTGCTTTCGGGGAAAGCGCTGGCAGGACCTGCTCAAACTCATGGACCACGTGTGCAAGTCTGCTCTCACCAAAGAGCTGCAAGACAAGCCCAACGGTAAGAGCAGCATCTGGCATTCTTTCACTTCAGCAGGGTTCGTCATTACCCTTAATGTAGTCGATCACTTTGAATTATTTCAAACTGTGGACCCACGTTAAAATAAAAATACATATGTAAATATAAATAAAATCATAATGTACAGAGCACTTTTTTACATTTTTATGCTTTTTGACTTCTTTTAAAGTGAAGCTGCAAGATTTAAGTTTAATTTTTAAATAAAAAAGGTTATCCAAAAAATGCCATCCCATGTTTCTTGTCATCTGAAACGCAAAGAGCTTTAGTCTGTAGGCGGAGCCTACTTTTAGCCACACCCCTGCATTTTAGAGCAGGATGTGAGACTGCATCCCTGTCCCTCATGGCCACATGGTGAGCAAGTAGATCCCATTGTTTTGAATTAAATGAGTCTGAACATCAATGTTGAACATGAAGAATTGTCACTAACGAAACACAAACGTTCTGCAGTTAAATAAAAAACAATAAGTTATTGTGCTTTAATAAAAAAAATAATAATTTTAAAGTGTATAACTGTTCAAAGCTGTGTCATGTATTGACTAGTGTTTTTGAGTTTTGCTCAAAATGAACTAAAATTGTCACTACCGACACAATCACTACTGAAACATTTGGTCAAGTTTTGATAGTGTTATGATTGTTTTGGTAGTGACAAAATTGAATTTTCAACAGTTTATTTTACTAAAATAAACATTATTTACATCCATAATTAAGTCCAGGTCAGTTAAAAGTACAAAATGTTTTCTCAGCTCTTTGTAGATAGCAATACGTCATACTATTGTTTGTCACGCGTTATTGAACTTATCTGTGTGTGTGTGTGTGTGTGTGTGTATCAGCTGCATTGCTGCAGGAGCAGTGGGAGGCACTGGCTCTGAAACTCAGTCAGACTCAGGAGCAGATACGAGCACGGGAATCCGCACTGGTCTTCGCCTTCGTTGAGGTAAATGCACATCCAGCTTTAATCGGGCCTCAAATTTTGGTCCAAATCTGAAAACTGCCTGAAAACTTTGTTTTTAGTCCAAATCACGACTCACCCTGAAACATACCATCAAGTTTTGAGTCTAAAACTGAGTCCAGGAGAATTCTGCTTGAAACTCACCCGAGCCAGGTCCTAACATATTGAGTAATACCTGCTATTTCTAATGATTGTCCTGGTTAAATTGCCTTGTAGCAACAATAAAAACTACCATGAGATCACAGGTAAAAAAAATAAAAATAAATGCAGGTAAAATCTGTTAATAGTGGGAGGCGGGCTTTGAGAACCTGAATATGAAATTTGGACCCAACCCAAGACCGACACATTTGGGAAATGACGACTGAAATGACGACTGTTCAGACAAATCTGATTTGACTTTATCTCATGATAATTTAATGAGAGTCATGTAACATTAGCTGTGTGTTAATGTGGATCTGTGTGTGTTTGTAGGGCACTCTAGCACAGGCGGTGAAGAAGGGTGAGTGGATTCTGCTGGATGAAATCAACCTTGCTGCCCCCGAGACTCTGGAATGTTTGAGTGGTCTGCTGGAGGGCAGCGCTGGCTCTCTGGTGCTGCTGGACAGAGGAGACACAGGTGATCAAAACAAGTGGTGGTGATGGGAACAAGGGGTGGCAATGTCTCTACACAAATATAGCTGTTTTATTTACAACCCAAACGTATCAGTGAACCTACACCTGTCTTCATTTATATGTAATGTTGATCATAGTAAAATATTGTTAAATCTGGAAAAAAAAGTTTTCGTTGGGGACTATTTTTAGGCCAAATCCTTCCCAAATTTATCTTAAAACAATGTCTCAGAAATCAGGCAGCATTGTCATAAAAATTTATGTAATAGCTTTCCATGATGGAGCTTTTAGAGGTGGATGTTTGGTTCCTGTCACCACCACTGTGAAGAATTCTGACTCTTAAGTTTCTCTAGAATGGAGCTTAAACATTTAATTATGCAGACATTTTTAACAATGTGTGGCACTTTATTTACTCACCAAGATGTGAGGTCAGTCTGTGATGATTTAAGGCGTGCAGTTTACGCAATGCTAATTAGTAAGTATTACTCATTAGCTACATTAGCCACTTAGCTTCAGTGCCAAGTGATCTCTGTAAGAGTAAAAAAAAATAAAATAGAAAATCATGTTAAAACTTCTGTTTGCAGAGCCTCTGGTCAGACACTCAGACTTCCGCCTGTTTGCCTGCATGAATCCAGCCACTGACGTGGGTAAGAGGAATCTGCCTCTGGGAATCCGCAACAGGTGAGGGACAGAGGAAAACGGAGTACACATGAGAGTACACCTTTATCGACCATTTTCATAAACCATACAGTGGTTGGTGTAATGTGGTGGGTAATGCTGACAGGTTCAGATCCCTGCCCGGGCAGGCACACCACACTACACTAATCAGACTCCTTATGCTACATTTGCTTCTGTCCTAGCTGTAAGTGTATTGTAATTACTTCTTGTTTACTTACAGGTTTACTGAGTTGTATGTAGAAGAGCTGGAGAGTGAGGCAGATTTACGGATCCTCGTCTCAGATTACCTCAAAGGCCTTAACTTAAACAGGAGCACCATCCATGGAATCATCAGGTCTGATATTCATTCAACACTTCAGCACTGTACAAGAAGTCAGTGTATAAATATCGTCTTTTCATATATAGTTGTTTTTTTCTTTTTTTAAATTTTTTGACGCAACTTTTTTTTTTGCATTTTAGCCACACAATTTGTACATTTATAATTGTTGAAGGTTGTAACAAGACATACAGATGTATTTAAAAGTTTGAACAGTCGAATGACATATTTTGTTGATTTGCTGAGTGAAACTTCCTTTACAGCAGTTGTCACCAACTCTGCTCCAGAAGATATAAGTTCCAATCCTAATCGAGCCCACCTGAACCATCTAATTATTGCCTTCAGAAGTCCTTTATTAGCTGGAGGAGGTGTGTTAGTTGTGGGTTGGAGGTGAAACGTTGCAAGAAAGTTGATCTCCAGAAGGAGGCTTGGTATATGTGGTAAATCTGAAAAAATATGTTTTCCTAGGCTACTATTTTGCCTTACAACACCCTGCATGTATCCCTCTACCACAAACATTTTTCAAAAATACGTTTTAGGCAGAAGACTAATCGATGGAATGATGGAATTCCACTTATCATCACAAGCACATGTTGACAAAGAAGGTCCAAGTCAATGTTTAAATCGTAAATGCAAAATCAACATTTTACTGATGAAGAAATGATGACAATAGTAGATAATTCACTCTCATCCTCTGAAGACACGTCCTTCACCAAGTTTTGACAGGTTGCTCCTTGAATACTCTTATAAACGAGCTTGCAAACGTCAGATTCATCTGCTCGGGAAAGGGCTTTGAAGCACAACTGATATTACAAAACGTTTTTCTACATGTTGTGTGTAGTTATACTTTTCTACCAGAGGGGTCTCCACATCTGTAAAGCTTACGTGGTGCAGTTTCATGCATTGGTGATGAATTGCCTTATCTGTCGTTGTTTCTGCAGTTTTTATTTGGCAGTTCGTAAGGAAGCTAACTCGCGCTTGGTGGACGGCACCGGCCACAAGCCTCACTACAGCTTACGTACACTGTGCCGCGCTCTCAAGTACGTGGCGGCCAACCCCTGCTACAATGTCCAGCGCTCTCTCTATGAGGTGAGATATGGTTCCAGGACATTGAAGCCGACTTAATGTTTTGTTATTTTATCAAGGTACTTGTTTTGTTACATATTTGTTACAGTTAATTACTGTTGCTACTGTTTTCAGCAGATTTATGTTTTCATGTTTAGGGTTTCTGCCTGAGCTTCCTGACCCAGCTGGACCGCAGTTCTCATCCCCTCGTGGAGAAACTGGTGTACCAGTACATCCTGGGAGGAAATATCAAGTGTCTGAAGCAGGTAACAGTGGCTGGAGCTCAGCAGTTTATGTGTCAACTGCAGAAAATGCATCATATTCACACAATGGCGTTAGCCAAGTGTACGTTAAACGTGCAACAGTGCTGATTTTTTTCCCCTTTGTGGGCCAAAAAAAAGCTATGACCAAAGGTGTGATTATAATTACAAAAAACATACCACTTATGAATATTTTGTAACACTTGGGCTCTTAACTGGCAAAGATTAAACAGTTTAAATATTATTTGAATTTATATGCATAGTCGAATGTGCATAAAATAGAATTTATGAGTCAAAACTATGAATGACAGTGTATTACTGGATTGAAATGGCAAATACTAGAGTAAATGTAAGAGGAGTTTCTTGATTATTAAATGTAACTTACTTCAAAAGCTGTTAGGGGTAAGCAGTACGACTATGTTTTATCGCTATCGTCTTAAATTATGTCCCAATATTCATATGTGAACACTCACCGACTACATGTTTGATTCCAAAGAGGGCGTCATGCAAGATAATATCGGAATCATATTGTTATTGGCGGATAATTGATTTAAAAAAATACATCAGTATTGAACAAATGTTTAAATTTCACCAAGATATGATGATATACATTTATTGTAGTCTGGAAGAGCTGAGTGTTGAGGTGACGCTGGGCTACTGTGCTAAAATAAAATTAAAATATTTTATTAATTTTACTGCATTTGCAACCCTATTTAATAAAAAAATTATATTTCTCAGTAATGCAAATCCAGATGTAGTCCCGATTTTTGCATCGTATAAAAGTTTATGTATTGGCACCGACATTGGTGGACTTAATGTTTTTTAATATTGGCCCACAATTATCATATTGGTGCATTCTTAATCATTTTTCCAATTCAGTTAAATCTAGTGCAGCGCAGAGTGTAAAGCATGAAAATAGGGCCAGTTTCCTGGATATGAGCTGAGGCTAGTCCTGGACCAAATTGCTTGGTCTCTCTCTCTCCCTCTCTTTCTTTCTCTATATGTCTTTTTTCTGTCTCTCTCGCTTCATCTCTGCAGCCCATTCCAGAGCCCCGGTCCCGTGGCTTTGTGCAGATGGAGGGTTATTGGTTGAGTCAGGGTGATATGGACCCCGCTCTGGACCCCAGCTACATCCTCACCCCCTCCGTCCGGCTCAACCTCAGAGACCTGTCCCGTGTGGTGGCCGCTGGGTAGGAACTCCTGCTCTCATACGTTGCCCCCCGATGCTTTACAGACCAATCACATCATCAGTAAACACACACCCCACCCCACCCTTCCCATCCGCTGTCTCTTGGTTCTCTCTGGCACAGATCCAAGTCAGTGTTGGAAGAGCACAAGAGTTGTAAACAGATGTTTAAGATGAGATTTTTTTTTGTTTATCTTCTAGAGATATTCATTCAGTTACATGTGTAAGGTGTTCAGGAGGATTGTATGTATAGTCACATGTGTAACTATGTATGTGTGCATGCACGTTTTGTTTTTTGCCCCCTAATTATGCCCCCAATTGATCTTTGCCCTTACTAATGAGGTTAACTCAGGCATGGTATTCAGGTCATCGACCTTTCCACACCATATCACATAATAATCAATATTTTTCCGCACCAAATTTACCCCCACCACTCATTTAGCACCTCTTTTTCACTTTTAAATATGTAAATCGATAGAAGCTCCCAGCATTCCATAAATCCCTATACATTACCATGCATCACTCAATACATATCCATGTATCTCCTTTCCCATATCATTGACCGATTTATTGAACACACTGGTTTTACTGTTCCCCATATTTTCAAGGTCATATATATATAGTATATAGTTCAGTGTCACTGTACTGTGGAGTGAACAGTAGAATCACACAGCAAGTCCTGTGTTTGGAGACAGACGCCCAAAAGAGGGTGCCTCGTATTGGATTTCTCATAAGCGCAACAACACTATATGGACAAAAGTATTGGGCCACACCTCTTAAACATTGAATTCAGGTGTTTCAATCAGTCTCGTTGCCACAGGTGTATAACATCAAGCACCTAGCCATGCAGTCTGCCTTTACAAACATTGGTAAAAGAATGGGTCGTTCTAAAGAGCTCACTGAATGCAAACATGGTTCTGTAATAGGATGCCACCATTGCAAGAAGTCAGTTTGTGAAATCTCTTCCGTCCTAGAAATTCCACAGTCAACTGTGAGGGGTGTTATTGAAAAGTGGAAGCATTTAGGTTCCACAGCAACTCAGCCACGAAGGGTCAAACCACGTAAAGTTACAGAGGGGGCTGCCGAGTGCTGAGGCACGTAGTGCATAAAAATCACCAATGCTCTGCTGACTCAGTGCCTGCAGAGTTCCAAACCTCCTCTGGCATTAACATCAGCACAAAAACTGTGCACCAAGAACTGCATGGCATGGGGTTCCATGGCCGAGCCGCCGCATGCAAGCCTTACATCACCAAGCACAATGCCAAGTGTCAGATGGAGTGGTGTAAAGCGCCACCACTGGACTCTGGAGCAGTGGAAACATATTCTGTGGAGTGATGAATCACACTTCTCTATCTGGCAGTCTGATGGACGAGTCTGGGTTTGGCGAATGCCTGGAGAACGTTGCTTGCCTGACTACGATGTGCCAACTGTAAAGTTTGGTGGAGGAGGGATGATGATATGGGGTTGTTTTTCAGGGGTTGGCCGAGGCCCCTTAGTTCCAGTGAAGGGAAATCTTAATGCTTCAGCACCAAGACATTTTGGACAATTCTATGCTTCCAACTTTGTAGGAACAGTTTGGGGATGACCCGTTTCTGTTCCAGCATGATTGAGCCCCAGTGCACAAAGCAGGGTCCATAAAGGCCTGGCTGGGTGAGTTCGGTGTGGAGGAAATTGACTGGACTGCACAGAGCCCTGACCTCAACCCCATCAAATAGCTTTAGGATGAGAACAGAGATTGCGAGCCAGGCCCTCTTGCCCAACATCAGTGTCTGACCTCACATATGCTTTTCTGGATAAATGAGCAAAAACTCCCACAGTCACACTCCAAAATCTTGTAGAAAGCTTCCCAGAAGAGTAGAAGCTGTTATAGCTGCAAAGGGGGGTCCAACTCCATATTAATGCCTATGGATTTAGAATGGGATGTCATAAATGCTGCTGTAGGTGTAATGTGTGTCCCAATACTTTTGTCCATATAGTGTATCTAAGTTTTTGCCCCATCATTGGGAGGTCATAAGTTTAAATTCTGGTGATGAATAAACCAGTGGTTTACGATTTGGTGTCTAGTTTATAACGTCTCATTCTACACTAAGTATAAAATAAAATGCAGCTCTAGTAGACTTGAGCCAGTAACTTTGCCCATTACTACCATTGGTCATGTGCACTTCTACAAAGCATTTTTCATCAAATAAGAGCCAAAAGCAGGCTAGTTGTGTCATGGAGGATCCGGTATTAACATTGTGTTGCTTTTTTTATTTTTTTTTTTTGGTCAGTATTCACCCTGTGCTGATCCAGGGCGAGACGTCAGTGGGGAAGACCAGCCTGGTCAGATGGCTCGCGGCCGCCACGGGGAATCAATGCGTGAGGATCAACAACCACGAGCACACGGATATCCAGGAATACATCGGCTGCTACTCCTCCGACGAGCACGGCAAACTCGTCTTCAAAGAAGGTAGAGAGGCGCTAAAGATGGACGGTAGTGCTGAGGCACTGCTTTAGTCAGGGTCACAGTTTCAGCGAGGCAGTTTGTCATTGTTATTAAGCTGTTTTTGTTCTTGAAAATGGACAAAAGTACGGACATTGTTTAGGCTTTAGAACGATTACCATAATTTTTTTTCAGCTGTGTAACATAATGATGTACATTTGTTAGATAACAGTCAATTATACCATGTCAGAAGCCTTGTATTTGAGATTACCATGGTTGGAGGAAAGTGTGATGATTTAGACGTGTGAGCACAATGCTAATTGACTATACACCTCCATTATTTGTTAGCTACATTAGCCTCATAGCTCTAGTGTAAAAGTAAGGAAGCGTAGTGTCTTGGGTTAAGGGGAAGATTGTGTTAATTAGATTTTTTTATACGCTTTGTGGATTATACACATCTATATGTATATCTAAAGCAGGGATACGCAAACTCTTAGGGGTTCATGGTGGCGTTGGGTGGGGTAAACTGTGAGGGGAAATGTCACTTTCAAGTTAAGTAATAATAATAATAATAATAATAATAATAATTAAAACACACAAAAAGATGACCTCAAAAATACAAAATATGACAAATATATGTTTATTGTTAATATGAATTCAGTAATTATTGACTATCATGTCATGTGATAGACATAATGTTGTGACAGTTTAAGTAGATTACAGTTTACACTTAATAGTTGACTTGCTGAATCATTCTTCTTGGCTAAAACATCTTGATCGTTTTAAGTGGGTGAAATGTTTGGAGCAGATTTTTAATCAAAGTATGAAGCCAGCTTTCTTGAAAAGACATGCAGTCTTAAAAATAAAGACGCCTGAAAAGGTTCTCCGCGTGATGCCATAGATGAACCCTTTTTGATTTCCTGATGAAACTTTGAATTCATTGCAAAAACATCAGAAAACCATTTTTGTTAATGATGTCTGTGAGTGCGAGAAACCTGTTTGAAGTTTATAAAGCCTTCATATAATGTAAAGATTCCTTAAATTGTAAAAGAACCTTTATATGATGTGTCTCTTTGAGAAACATGGTTCTTTAGATGGTCACCAACCCTGGTCCTGGAGACCTACCTTTCTCTAGAGTTTAGGTTCAACCACCATCTGACACACCTGCTCCAGAAGTCCTTCATTGGCTGGATCAGATGGATCAGTGTTAGGTAAGGGGGCTGTAGCCTGTAAGAAGCAAGTTGGAACTAAACTCTATAGGAAAGTAGATACCCAGGAAGAGGGTTGGTGACCACTGTTCTGTGGCTTTGCTCAAAGAACCCTTTGTGATACTGCAACAAAACCATTTCATTTATAATATGGTTTAATTTAGCCTACTTAATATCTGGGGGGTACTTCAGGCAAATAATTTAGACAGAACACATCCAGCTGACACTCATAGTTGGGAGCTGCTGATCTAAAGTGTTGTCCACTCTTCAGGTGTTCTGATCGATGCCATGCGGAAAGGCTACTGGATCATTTTGGATGAGCTGAACCTCGCCCCCACGGATGTCTTGGAAGCCCTGAACAGATTGCTGGACGATAACAGGGAACTCTTCATCGCTGAGACACAGGAAGTGGTCAAAGCTCATCCCAGATTCATGCTCTTCGCTACCCAGAATCCTCCAGGGCTCTATGGTGGCAGAAAGGTACCAAACTTAACAGGATACAGTGAAAATGTAAAAGTGGTTCCTCACATAGCTCTTCAAATCTTAGTTGTGAAACACTGACGGAGAAAAGAATACATAATTATTACAGACTCTTCATTCATAAATTCTAAATAAAGACTTGCTTGTATGTATGTTTCATTACATTATGGTATTCAGAACTATTTACAAGGATTACGTTATGATCTCTTTAAACCCAAGATATTACCTGAGATAGTAATAAGCTGAATATATACAAAATCATCATTTATAGGATACCTTCTATTGGGAGTTGGCTGTGCCAAACCCTCACCCCTTTTTATACACTTATGAAAGTAATACTTACATTTTTTCCATTGTTTTAAGATCTTTTTGATTTCTTTTAAGGTGAAGTTGAAAGATTTAGATTCATCATTACTTTAATTTTGAAATAAAAAAATAAAAAACACCATTCGAAAAATGCTGTCCCGCATTTTCATGTCTCTACAGAAACAGAGCTTTAGTCAATTGCTGGAGCCTTATTTTAGCCACACCCCTGCATTTTTCTTAACAAAATGGGGAAAAAAAAATTATTCTAGTGTCTTTAGAGGTTTGTGAGTCGTTCATCCTGTCACCAGTTCTCTGCATTTCCTATTAATTTAATGCATTATTGGAATATGTTGACTAATGTGACTAAATGAGTTCTGTGTTATTGCAGGTGTTGTCCAGGGCGTTCAGGAATCGTTTTGTGGAGCTGCACTTTGACGAACTACCCAGTGAGGAGCTGGAGACCATCCTGCACCAGCGCTGCAGCCTGCCCCCCTCCTACTGCACCAAACTGGTCAAAGTTATGCAGGATCTACAGGTGAGGGCCTGCACCACATACAGACTTCACTGTTCTATCCAGACTAGTCCACCTCAATAAGACATTAATAATACACTGATGAGTTTAACCACAATATTAGAGTAAAAATAACAACTGGAGTAGATTCTCACTGACTGACATATCGTTTGGCTGATATTAAGACTCAGATTTATTGATACTGATAGTGATATTGAAGAAGGGGGAGGGAGTGAGATTTGATATTTCAAGTGTGTGATAATCAAATCAAATTTGCTGTACCAAGCAATACTTTTGCAAAACATAAGAAGGTAGTTCAAATTAACATTGAATATGAGCTTTATCACTCGGACATGCATTTATTTTAACCTCTCCACCATGCATGTTCTTTAAAAATACTTTTAGGCCAAATATAAATTTTAAAACTATCATTAAACAATGTCTCATGCATCAGACAGCATATTCACAACTGTTTCATGTAATTTCTATAGGGCGTCTTCAGACATCTGCTTTCTGTCTCCACCACTGTGAACAATTCTAACTCTCCAAGTTTTTCTACAGTGGACCATTTCACATTAAACCACTCTAAATGACTTTCTTTGCTCCGTAACGTTAAATATATGAACATTTTGAAAAATAAGTGAAATTTTCCTTTAATACCCTTGACTTGTCTCAAAATAAATGTTGTCTGCTTTCTTTAATTTACATGCATTTGCCTCAGCCCAGTAAATGAAAACCCAGTTTACATTCTGTCTGTTGCGACCTAAACACATGATTGTGAAAGCACATGATTGTGTAACAGCTGTGGAAAATAATTGCGCTCAGCGTAATTAATTGCAATTAGGTGGTTATGTAATGATTGATGGTCATATTAACAACTGACCATCATTTTAGCCCGTAAAGCACTGTTTAACTAAAATCTGATTAATGTTTTACTACATCAGATGATTTCAGCCAGTATTATTAGGCCTTGTTCTGTATCCGACTTGAGCGGGACAGATTTTCTGCAGTCTGAACGGCAAAAAGCACATGAATTCTGGCTTTTCCCAACAGGATTCAAACCAAATTTGTAGGTGGTTTAGAATCTGATTCAAATCACATTTCTAGATATGTGACTCAGTTTGACTGTTCAGATCAGATTTCATGACATCAGAAGGTGTGACTAGAAAATCAGTTGTGTATGTTCATGTTTTACAGCTTTTTCACGGAGAGTAGAAGCTTTTAACACTCTTAAAAAACATGGTTCTTCAAGGGTTCTGTAGTAAAGACAGTGGTTCTATATAGACCCATGAACATTCAGAGAACCATTTGCATGCTTAAATGGCTCTTTGCATGGGGAAATAGTTCTTCAGATTGATTGAGAATGTGTTGTGTTTGGTTCTATATAGAACCTTTTTTGAAAATGGTTCTAATATAGCACCCAAAAGGGTTCTGCTATTGTTAGAATCTTAACATCGTGTCAATAGCAGCCTCTTTTTGCCTTATCGTCTAGTGTATGTAGCGTATGACAAAACAACAAGAAACTCGGAGGTTAAGTATGTGATGCTCTCCATTTTCCAAATCTGTTAGGATTGTTAAAGCCTTGTTTATTCTGAGCTTTAGTCGTCAACATTTGTAGCTCCTTAAAATTTGTATCATAATAAGTGGCAACATTATCATGCAGATTGGGCCCGAATTTACACATGAACTGTTCTGGATCTTTATTTAATTTAAACTGTTTGCTGATATGCAGTAACTAATGCACATGTGCTCCTTTGTTTGTGTGTGTGTTTCAGTCCTTGCGGAGGGGATCCAGCGTGTTTGCTGGGAAGCATGGTTTCATCACTCTCAGAGACCTGTTCCGCTGGGCTGAACGTTACAGACTAGAGGAGCAGACGGACACCTCACGTGATTGGCTGCAGCATCTAGCTAACGATGGTAATGTCTAACCATAACATTCTTCATTTCTTTATATATTGAGTAGACCTCACATGTTACATCTGATCCTTTGTTTCAATCAGGGTACATGCTGTTGGCGGGCCGTGTGCGGAAGCCAGAGGAGGCCTCGACTATCCAGAACATCCTGGAGAAGCACTTCAAGAGGACAGTAAACCCTGATGTGCTGTTCTCGGAGGCTCAGGTCACCACCCAGTTCAGTGAGTTTAACCCAGGACACACTGGCACAACACCCAACTGCTGTAGAATCACAGTGTACCCGGTCGATCCCATCTAATTTAGGATTGAAAACTGGTTTCCTTAAAAGCTCCCATTTAAAAGTTGTTCCATTGACTGTCAGTCAGAAGAATTGTTGGCGCTGGAGCCCAAGCCAGTATTTGGCTCATTTTGAAGTGCAGGGTATCCTCATTGATGTTTTGTTGTGTTTCTGAGTGATTATGTAATAGTAATGGATCTAAGTGTCTTTAAATTGGTGGGTAAATCAAGTTATGTACAGGAGGTAATGAGTGTGAGGTGATTAGATCATTTTGTGGACTCAGTAGATGTCTTCTAAGCAGAGACCATCATTAATGAAAACTATTACTACAAAAAAAAACTAACAGTGAAAAAAAATACTCTTGGGGTCTAAGGGTGTTTTTTTTTGCGTATATTTTTAAATGCTCCTAATAGGCATAACCACATATTACACATCAAAATGACCCCCACGTTATATATCATAATGTTCTGAACAATCTCAGCTCTCTCTGTAATGAGGCCTTTTTGACCTGGACAACTGTGTAAAGAGAAAATTCAGCCTTAAAGCTGAAAAATTGAAGTTTTTAGAAATTCTTAATATCTCTTGTGAAAACAGCTTTCCTCATGTGGATTACCTGTTTTGGTTCTTAAAATGAGTTTACCAAAGTCTCAGGTTCACAAAAGTAGTGGAATGTATGAATAACATAGTAGATAGATTTTATCTTTATTTAAACTTCAGCAGCTGCAAACTTTTTACACACCATTTCGAAGCGGAGTGGTTCAAAGAACACCATTCATATACTCTGGTGACCCAGAGAGGATTTCTTTTATTTGAGACCTTAACCACACAAGAAGGGGGCTCCCGAGTGGCGCAACCGTCTAAGCGTTGGCCCTATCATCAGGAAATCGCGAGTTCGATCCCTGGTGATGCTACAGCCATCCATAGCCGGGAGTCCGAGAGAGCACAATTGGCCTTGCTCTCTCTGGGTGGGTAGGATGGCCCCTCCTTCTCCCCCCATCACTCAACGCAACGCTAGTCAGCGCAGGCGTCTGTTAGCTGACGTAACAGAACTGGTGGTTGGCGCTTTCCTCCGAGTGCGTTCGGCTGTCCAGTGACGTTGCGTGAGCATCAGCTCGAAAAGAAGCGGTGGCTGGCTTCACAGGTCTCGGAGGAAGCCTGTGTTAGCCTTCACCCTCCTAGCGTTGATAGCATCGTGTGATTGGGGCAGTCCTAACTAGCGGGTGGAATTGGAGACGGCTAAATTGGGGAGAAAATCGGGTAGACACGAGAGGCAGAGATGTCTTTGACTAAAGCAATGGAGAAATCTTTGTGGAGGTTCTGTAGTAACCTGGGGCAGTTCAGTCTATTGGGTTAATTTAGCACTGCAAAACTCATCAGAGGGGAACAGCAGAGTCCAGTTTGGAATTACAGCCGGGTTTCTGACAAAATATTCACAGTAAAACCGAAAGCAAAACTAAAACTAAACAAAAACTAAACTGAAACTCTTCTTTTTTCAAAATTAAAACTAGACCAAAACTATGAATGTTCATTTAAAGCTAACTGAATTTCAAAACCATAAAAAAAAGAACATTTCAAAACTATTATAACCCCAGCAGTGACTTTTTTATATAAATTCTGATCTGACCTTTTTGGCTGATGGTCTGTACGTGTGTGTGATTGGCAGGTCCGTTTGTGGCCAGCATAGCAGGTGTTCCTGAGGAGTTCGGTCACGTGGTTTGGACTCAGGGAATGAGGAGGCTCGCCGTGTTGGTGGGCCGTGCTCTCCGATTCGGAGAGTCTGTTCTGCTGGTGGGGGATACTGGGTAAGATTTTATCTCCCAAAATGCACATTCTATTGGTAATATTTTAAAAAGAAAAACAGTTAGCTATGTTTACTGTCAAACCATTTTTTCAGTAGCAGTAATATATGACAAATTACGAAAAATGTAAAATACTGTATAAAACATGATCACATTTTTGGAGCCATTCACACAGAAAACCTGTTTCGTTCTGAAGCGTTTGCAGATTTTCTCTTAACTGTACAAAAGTTCAAATGAAGAGCCAAGTGTTAAAAGCGCTTTTCACTTTTGTTATTTAGGTGTGGAAAGACCACCATCTGCCAGCTGTTTGCTGCTTTGGCAGGGCAGAAGTTCTTCTCTGTGAATTGTCATCTGCACATGGAGACGTCCGACTTCCTGGGCGGCCTCAGGCCCTGTCCGTCACGCTGGAACGGGACACGTAAGAGCCCCCGGGGATGTTGTGTACATTCTAGTTTAGTAAATGTAGCAAAATAAAGAAGAAATCTAGAAGTGGAATGCTTTATATCCTCCTGAGTAGAGTGTCAGGATGAGCTTAAGCGTTTTTTTAATGGCCCTCTTCATTATGTTTTTCATTCAGGGCGATGCTGAAGATGGCCGTCTGTTTGAGTGGCGTGATGGACCTCTAGTGCTGGCTATGAGACAGGAGGGAGTGTTTCTGATGGATGAAATTTCGCTGGCAGACGACTCTGTACTGGAGAGACTTAACAGGTGAAACAGAGCTCACACAAAAACAAAGACTACATCCACAAGTAAACAAATCAGATCCCCTCTCAATTACACCCTCTCTCTGTCTGGCTCTCTGCAGTGTGCTGGAGACAGAGAAGTCTCTGGTCCTGGCGGAGAAAGGCAGCGGTGATGACGACGATGTTGAGCTCATCATCGCGGGGAAGAAGTTTCGACTGGTTGCCACCATGAATCCTGGTGGAGACTTCGGCAAGAAGGAGGTCAGTTCTGAGAGAAGTTAAAGACATTCAGAGCATTCAGAAATTTAGGTCCCTGAAATATTTGAAAAAGTAGGAAAAAATATATACAAAAAATACAATTACAGTATGGCGTTGGTTCATTGGAATAAATTAATAGGTTAAACTAAATTGATGAGAACAAAGGAAAATAAACCAAACTAAAGTGTGTGTGTGTGTGTGTGTGGTGTGTCCAGCTTTCCCCCGCACTGAGGAACAGGTTTACTGAGATCTGGTGTCCCCAGACTAACAGCCGCAGTGACATGATGAAGATCGTCCAGCACAACCTGCGATCAGGGCTTTCCCTGGACCAGCATGACCACCAAGGTGTGTGTTCACTGCCCACTGGGAATGGCACTGCTGACCACCAGCCATGAAGACTCTTGCACAGTCCATTATTAAAGACTCCTGCACAGTCCAATATTTTTCCACTCAAATATTCATGTCTGTCTTCTATAAAATGGTTATTTTAATTTGTCACACAATTCTCATGTAGATACATGACTCATAAACGCTATACAAGTGAAAAAAGTGACGAATAAAGTATTTAAACAACATGTTATCTTTGTGTAGGTATAAACTGGGATTATCTGGTTCCTGTTTTCATTAAGCATGCCAGAAACTCATCCACACTCTCAATTGCAGGCAAGGACATTGCCGAGCTCATGCTGGACTTCATCGACTGGCTGACCAATCAGGATTTTGGTAGGCGGTGTATCCTGAGTGTCAGGGACATCCTGTCTTGGGTAGACTTCCTGAACGTGGTATGTGAGAGGGACGAGCCGCGAGACGAGAATGGCTTCATGGCACTGGCCGAAGTTGAGGAGCCGGAATGGGACAAGAGGCTGGACACCGTCACTGCATTCGTCCATGCCGCCTGCCTGGTCTACGTGGACGGCATTGGATCAGGTGAACGCTGCAGCTGACAATTTAAAAAAGTTCACACAACTACACACATAATGCTGTTATACACACAGCAACTATACCATAGATAGAGCAGCTTTACATGTGAGCAGCTTTACACACACAGAGCGATTCTACACATGTAGGGCTGTGGACCGTCTCTTGCTTGTGTGCTTCGAATCGTTATCCTGCTCCTCTCTGATAGAGAGCAGAATTTATGGTTTCATCACTTATGACAAGGTGTCCAGGCCCTGCAGAAGCAAAGACGCCCCAGACTATCACACTACCACCACCGTGTTTGACTGTTGGTATGATGTTCTTATGGTGGAATGCTCTGCTTTACGCAAGATGTAATGGGACCCATGTCTTCCAAAAACCTCCACCTTTAACTCATCAGTCCACAGAATATTATCCCAAAAAGTCTAGGGGGTCATCTAGATGGTTTTTGGCAAATGCTAGACGAGCCTTTGTTTTCTTTTTGGTCAGCAGTGTTTTGTGCCTTGCGCCTCTCCCATGATTGCCATTTTTGCCCAGTGTCTTTCTTTGTGATTGTAGATTCATGTACATTGATCTTGATGGAGGCAGTGAGCCTGCAGTTCTTTAGATGTTTATCTGGGTTCTTTTGTGACCTCTTCACCACTGTTCCAAGTTTTATCCATTTGTGGATAATGAAATAATGGCTCTCACTGGGGTTCACTGGAGTCCCAGAGCCTTAGCAATGGCTTTATAACCCTTTCCAGACTGGTAGATTTCAGTGACTTTGTTTCGCATCTGTATTTGAATCTCTTTAGAACGTGGCATCATGTGCTGCTTCTCGAGACTTTCTAGTCTGCTTCACAATGCCAGACAGGTTCTGTTATAGTGATGTTTAGATTGAACAGGTCTGGTGATCATCCCTTTGTGTGGCTAGTAAAACTGAACCCGGTTTTCAACTGAATTTGGTTAACTGGTTGATTTAGTAGCAAGGGGCAATTACTTTTTCATAAAGGGCCAGGTAGGGCTAAACAACGATTTTTCCTTCAGTAGTCATCATTTAAAAACAGCTTTTTGTGTTCACTTGGGTGTCTTTGTCTAATATTAAAACTAGCTTGATAAACCGAAACATTCAAGTGTGACAAATATGCAGAAACAGAAGAAATTGGGAAGGGGGCACGGACTTTTCACAGCACTGTAGAGCAACTATACAGAGCTGTGAGCCGTTTGGGAGGCTCTGAGGACTGGTTTGAGAAGTGCTGCTCAACTTGGTACAAGCTGTTTCATTTCTTTTCCTCAGGCACGACGGTGTCGGCAGCGGAGAACGCGGTGGCGGCACGTAAGGCGTGTCTTGCCTTTCTGGAGACGAAGCTGCGCCGAATCACTCAGCTGGACAAGAAGATGCAGGAGGTGCTGAGGGTGTACGACACAAGACTCCTCAGAGATCCGCGCTGGGGCGAGGACTTCTTCGGAATTGAACCCTTCTACATCGTCTCCGGTGAGAGCCTTTGCTGTTAACCACACATCTGTACAGAGGTGCTCTTTAATGTTGTGCTCATATTTGTTTTGTACTGTATTTTATTTGTTTCAAGTGAAATTCCAAGCCGTCTTGATCAGTTTTGAGGATATTTTATACTATATATATATTTTCTAAACTGCTGTAGGCTGAGGAGGCAGATATGTCAATGTGTTGGCGTCTGTGACGTCAGTGAAACAGTGATTTCAAATTAGGCTGTTTTTGCAGCTTAGTTTCCATATTTAGACTGTAAGGACTGGAGTGTGACTTATGTTTTGAAACTTGAGTGATATTTATATACTACATCTCATAAATAAAATTTTAGTTTTTCATGATATGGGCCTTTTAATAACAACTTGTACAGTTTATGTTTGAATGTTACATTGATTTAAATAAAAACTGGATACCAAAAGCATTTTTAAGATGCTTTGTTTAATGTTTGAATATTTTGGGAACAACAGGAAGATAAGATGAATTATATGTTGTATTTTTCTGTTTACATTTATTTTTGTCACTTTGTTTTATAACATATAGATTGTAATGTATTGTTTTAAATACATTTCCGTAAGACACGCACAGCAACTGATGCTACCGTTTTGCGCTCCAGGTCCTGAGAGTGAGAGCCGTAGTTTGTCAGATTACGCTCTGGGTGCGGGTACAACAGCGATGAATGCCATGAGGGTTTTGCGGGCGTTGAAGCTACAGAGACCAATACTGCTGGAGGGATCACCCGGAGTGGGCAAAACCAGCCTGGTGGCCGCCCTCGCCAAAGCATCCGGAAACCACCTCGTCCGAATCAACCTCTCTGAGCAGACCGTAAGACACGTTTATCTTGGTTTTAAGCATACAAATTTGGATAAGAAGTGTAGCAAGAAGATGGAGGAGGCGCTGGGAGATGTTTTTAAAGCTTGATTCTATATACTGACCCACAGTTTTAAACGAGACACAACTAGCATATTGTTTCTTTGTGTTAAAATATTGTACTGTGTGTTATGATATCTGAGTATCATGATATGATATTTTTGCCATATCGCCCACCTCGACTTGTCATTGCAGAGATGTGTTTTGAGCAGTTTTTATTTATCTTTCTTTCTGTTCAGGATGTTACAGACCTGTTTGGAACAGACCTTCCAGTGGAGGGTGGTAAGGGGGGAGAGTTTGCGTGGAGGGACGGTCCTCTGTTGGCTGCTCTGAAGGCTGGGCATTGGATTGTACTAGATGAGGTAATCTTAAGAGGATGCTGTCCTGTGCAGCCTGCTTGATAGGACAGTACATGTTATGTTATTGCCTGGATTTCAAAGCTGTTCAAAATCTTGTTGACCAACAATGGCAGTGTGGTGACTACAGTAAAACTGTGAAACTGTTAAAAACAGCTTGAGTTTTGTTGGCTATCCGAAAATGTTACTTCAATTGGAGCATAATTGAACTGCAAACTTTTTTCACAAGATAAAGCTGATCCTCTTTCCCACACAGTTGAATCTGGCCTCTCAGTCGGTGCTGGAGGGTCTGAACGCCTGTTTCGACCACAGAGCAGAAATCTACATTCCAGAACTGAGCATGCGTTTCCAGGTCCAGCATGAGAAGACCAAGATCTTTGGCTGCCAGAACCCCTTCACGCAGGGAGGAGGCCGCAAAGGCCTGCCCAAGTCCTTCCTCAACAGGTTTACTCAGGTAAAGCTCCTTCATACATGCCTTTCTTGTATTGAGTCAGTTTATGTCTAGTCCATGGTAAAAAGATTATGCTTTGTTTGGTGCGTGCAGGTGTATGTGGACCAGCTCACCAGTGAAGACATGCAGTTCATCAGTAACTCCATCTTTCCAAACATTAATGAGCAGATCATCTCCAAAATGGTGCAGTTCAGCAACAGGGTAAGAGCAGCGGCATCTAAAGGAAAAAGTTTGGCATAAAATAAAACTCACACAAGTTCCTCTTTACCCCATTTGAGTTCGGTCAGGCACGACATATTTAGTCTACGAAGTTTGCTTCTGTAATTTTTCACCAGAGCTTAACAGCTAATTAGCTAACAAGTAATGGAAGCCTATGTACTTTAATTAGCATCATACAACTTGTATGCCCAAACTGTCGCACATTCGAGTTAATTAATCTCAAGTATGCTGATTATTTGGGTTCTGGCACTGTATAGTTTGACGTGGGTGATTATTTAAGTATGTAATTCCCAGTAAATCGGCTCAGCGATTACTTTGCAGCGTGAATGATATACATGGCATCCGCAGGCCGTGTTTAGCAGTCTGAATATTCTCCAGAAGGGGGAGCTCAAGTCACTTTTGTGTGCAATACTGAAAGTGAGGAAACCCACACCAGCAGAATCTAATGAAGTGTTTTTGTAGTTACAAATTTCATGCATATGAAGTAAAACTAAATAGTTATTGTAAATTGCATGTATATGATTACTCAATTTGATTGTCAAAACAATTGCTCATTTACCTGATTACTAATATTATCGATAATGAAAGCCCTATTAGCTACATTAGCTTTGTAGCTCTTGTGTAACACTAAATAATTGAATTCCAAACAACCCACATAGCCAGTCTCCTGCATTAGTCTACTTTCTCAGAGTGATTCATTCATAGCTTGTCAGAAATAAAAATATATACTTTTCTACTCTAACATTTCCAAACAGCCCACACTGTTGTCTTTTTAACAGCTTGCGCATGAAGTGACAGTGGAGAGGAAATGGGGTCAGAAAGGAGGACCATGGGAGTTCAACCTACGTGATCTCTTCCGCTGGTGTCAGCTGATGCAGACTGACCAATCACCAGCCTTCTATAACCCTGGACAGCATGTTGGACTGGTGTATGCAGATCGAATGAGAACTGAAGCAGATAAGGCTCAGGTAGCCATGACCGCACCTATTTATATGAGCATGTACAATGTTAACACATACTGGTGGCTTGACTGACAAAATATTTTGCTTTCTCAGGTGCTCTCTGTGTTCAGGAAGGTGTTTACAGAGGATTTTGAGCCTTACATGGGCTCAAGGCAGTTCCACATTACTCCCCTCAACCTGCAGGTCAGTCAGATGCTGTACAGTCTTTAGTGAATGTCAATTTCAGTGTAAATGAATAAATGAGGTACTTTTTGTCTGTTTGTTGAGTGCCACCTATTAATTGAATTGTCACTCCTTATCTTCTATTCCTTTTCTCAAGGTTGGTTCCTCAGTCCTACAGCGCAGCGGTGGGGCACCTGTCGCCCTGGACCCTCCTCTATCCATTACACATCAGGCTTTGAGGCCGCTGGAGTCCATAATGAAGTGTGTGAAGATGGGTTGGATGGCCATCTTGGTGGGCCCAACTGCCAGTGGGAAGAGTAGCCTGGTACACCTGCTGGCCTTACTGACCGGACACAGACTCAGGGTAATGGCTATGAACAGCGCTATGGACACCACGGAACTGCTGGGCGGGTTTGAACAGGTGAGTAGATGGTCAGCAATCGAAATATCTTGCCGTATCTTGGAGCAAAACCAAACGGAATGCTTCAGAAAATATAATAAAAAAAACAGATTTTGGGTTGAGCTGCTGTTCTACTGAGGTGACATTAATCCTTACATACTGTTCATAATCTGACCCTTTTCAGTTTCCCGGTCCACCTGCTACCACACAATTAATCTTAAGATATTAAGCTAAATTTTTCACCCCAGATTTTGGCCAGTGAGTATAAACATCTCATGTTATTTTGAACATGTAGATTTTAAAGATACGAATGTTGATGAAATGTAAATCTGTTGTTCTCTGTATTGAGTTAGTTAGGCCTTATTTTGAGAAAATGGAAGTTTTTCCACCAAAAAAAAAAATAACAAGTGGTATAAAACATCTGGCCCACCACGTACGAATCATCATTTTTCTGCAGTATCTGATTGGTAGATTCAACTACCAGACACTGTGGCTGATTACCCAACCAAAGCTTTATAAGTTCAGTTTTGTCTTATTCTTGCATTGTTAATAGCAACAGCAGAGCACTGCATATGAGGATAACCAATCAAATAAAAACCTGAGGCATACTGAACGCTGCCCGGGCTCCCAGATAATTTCAGCTTAAAACCCGAGCTAACAAATAAACAAACATTGCTCAGCGCTGCCCTCTAAACCACAGTAAATGTTCCTGTAAAAAGGAAGAAAAAACTGTTTCACTGTTTCCTTTTTGATTAACCTATGTCTAACCTATATCTACCACTGACGCAACAAAAACTTGTAGAAGTTTTTTTTTCCATTTTCTTTTTCATTTTGGGTCACTTTAGGATCAGTTTTTGGGCTTAGAAATGTATGTTTATACAGGCTTGGTTATTGTTTTTCTAAATTAAGTTTTCGCAGTGCCGAAATACTTGCTGCTAGTAATGAGTTCTGTAATGTTAGTCAATACTGCATCTGTATCTTTCAGTGTTTGCTAGTACTGTGAGCTTATTTCGTCCATTTGTACATAACAGTTAAAGAAGAACAGCTCATGTTGTGAAAGCTGGATGCTTCACTTATTTGCTTGTTCGTATGGCCACCAGGTGGACATCATCCGGCCATGGCAGCAGGTGCTGGAGAGCATGGACTACGTGGTTGCTATGGTGACGCGGCGGGGGCTGATGTCACTGGACGGGGCGGTGCAGGACACAGAGTTCCTGCTGAGCACGTGGAGCACGTTCCGCCGCTGGCTGCGGGACGAGGGACTCGACACCACCGAGGGAGCCCTGACCTTCGAGGCCCTGAACAAGCTGGAGGTCATCATAGTGCTTCTGCACAAGCTGAACACCAAACTCAAAGTCTTCACAGGTGCAGCAGCTTCAACACTGAAATGTCCCTTTTTTTCTATACAGTTCCCTACATGCGTTTGAGGGCACACTTGTGTCTTGAAATACTCTGTTAAATGTTCTATGATTCCTTCATATTATTATTACCTTCCGTTTAGATTATTCTCTGCTTAGAATGTTTTAAGGAGCCCATATCATAGAAAACTGTTTTCCTCACAAGAGTTTGCTGTAGTATGTAAACACTGTTAAAGGTTTAAAGTGTAGTGTTCACTCTGCAGTCTTTGCAGATCGTGTATAAAAACAGAGCTCCAAAAACAGGCGTTTTGAGCTCCTAGTTTTTGTGATGTCACAAAAACAAGCCCACTTGCATATATATCCTCCTGTTCAGCCTTCAGCAGTCTAGCTCCGCCCAGTCACGTTAATGTTATAAGGAGTTTTTCAGACTGAACTGTGTTTTACATGAGACACAAGGTAACACTTTATTTGTATAGTCCACTTTAGATGCTTTGTAGATACTTTAATTTACTTTCAAGTTACATTCAACTAAATATCTAATCTAAATTGACCATAATTTTCTTTAACTCTAAACCTGGCTCTCATCCTAACCCTAACCTTAACCTCAACCCCAAACCTAAACCCACCCCTTAACCTGGTCCAAATCCTAACCCTAACCTTAACCTCAACCCCAAACCTAAACCCAACCCTCAACCTGGTCCAAATCCTAGTTCTAACCCCACCACTATTTAGAATCAACTGATTTTTAACAGATAGTTAGTCTATAGGGGACTATAGTGCACTATCCAAATAAAGGCAGACTAGACACAATATAGGGCAATCAAAACAGAGCTCATTTGCATATAAGGGCACTGTAATAAAAATAGTCTGTTAAATTCTAAATGATAAAGAGAGGTTGGAAATTGGTAATAGCAAAAAATTAATCCTTGCTATAAGAAACCAAATAAATCCCAAAAAATTAAAATCCAACAAAAATGCAGGAGATGGGCCCTTTAACTTATTTTATTGCACAGGCATTAACTCAGTCCCCTGTGTGTGTCACCGGACAGTGATCTGCGTCATGTTTCTCCTCAGTCATTGATGAATTTCAAAGAACTTCAATCCACAAATTATTCTTCGTACTATTCATTGATTGATTAAATGTTCTTGAACTGGTTTCTTTTCTATAAGTCAGTTCACATACCTGAATACAGTTTATTTGTACCCATTTCTTGCTGATACAGACATGTCGAAGCTGCAGATGGATTTCACCCTGCTGAAGGAGCGCTTGGCGCAGATGGAAGATGGCTGGAGTCATGGCGGTTTCGAGTGGCTGGATGGCATGCTGGTCCAAGCCCTGCAGGCTGGAGACTGGCTGCTTATGGACAACGTCAACTTCTGCAGGTCGGTTACTGATACAGTGATCTCCATGAATTTAGCCAGTGTGAGACATGGTCTCTTGATTCGTTTCAGTTTCACTCTGTCACCGAGAGACAGTAAAAGCCCTGTGATGTTGCTCCAGTCGCTTAAATCAGGGTTTTGGATGGGTTTACATTAATATCCTGTTTATTATTGTGGACATGAATGCTGTTTAGCATCTCAGAGTAAGACTACAATATTATATATGATTCTACTATGCTGTAATATTGTTAATGACGGCATAGGAGGAATGTATGAAGGTTATGCTTAACCTTATTTCCTAGTTGGCATGTATAGCAAAATACCTGCATCTAATTTTTGTGTGTATTTGTTTGCGTTTGTAGCCCGTCTGTGCTCGATCGCCTGAATGCTCTTCTGGAGCCGAGTGGGTCTTTGACCATTAATGAGCGTGGGGTCATCGATGGCACAACCCCGAGCATCACCCCGCACCCGAACTTCAGGTACAAATTTTCCTCACTTTTTTTTTTTTGATGCAAGTTTGAGCTATTTTGTAAATACTGTGTACTCCAAACCTTTCTATTCACAGCTCAGTCACATAGTCTATAAATGGAAACTAAACTACAAGAACAACCTTTTTTATATATATTCACTTACTCAGCCTATAGCAGTTTAGCCCCACCCATTCACATTGATGTTCTAAGGAGTGTTTCAGCTCATGCTCAGCTTCATTCATGCTAGTTCTGCTACAATGTTCTAGGTTGATATTCAGCTGTCTTTTAAAATGATTTGAATTTCTCTGCCAATATTTCACCAAACCTTCAAACAGCTTTTGGCTGTTTTCTAAAAATCAGGGGTTTGTTAGCAGTGGGGAAATCCTGGTTAAAAATGTGAACGATATGGGGGGCTCCTGAGTGGCGCAACCGTCTAAGCGTTGGCCCTATCATCAGGAAATCGCGAGTTCGATCCCTGGTGATGCTACAGCCATCCGTACCGGGGAGTCCAAGAGAGCACAATTGGCCTCGCTCTCTCTGGGTGGGTAGGATGGCCCCTCCTTCTCCCCCCATCACTCAGCGCGATGCTAGTCAGCGCGGGCGTCTGTTAGCTGACGTAACAGAACTGGCGGTTGGTGCTTTCCTCCGAGCGCGTTCGGCTGTCCAGTGACGTTGCGTGAGCGGCAGTTCGAAAAGAAGCGGTGGTTGGCTTCACAGGTCTCGGAGGAAGCCTGTGTTAGCCTTCACCCTCCTAGCGTTGATAGCATTGTGTGATTGGGGCAGTCCTAACTAGCGGGTGGAATTGGACACGACTAAATTGGGGAGAAAATCGGGTTAAAAATCCAAAAAAATAAAAAATTGAACGATATAATGTGGTGATCACAAAAGTAACAAATGGCCATTTCTTACTTCATTTTCTTCTCTTCGCCTCCAGGTTGTTCCTCACCATGGACCCTGCGCATGGAGAGATCTCTCGGGCTATGAGGAATCGCGGGGTGGAAATATTCATCCCTGGAGAGAACGAGGGGGTGTGTTGGGACTCACTGGACCTGAAGACGGTCTTACACACTCTAGGAGTGACCGGAGACTGTGTGTGCGACATACTGATGTCCGTTCATTCTGAGATCAAGTCGGCCATCTGGGGTGAGTATTAGGAATGGTTCTGTTTATAGCAGGAAACGTGCAGATCCAGCTCAGAGTGTTTATCATTTGCTGTCTTGTGTGGCTCTGCTTTTCAAAAGAGTATCGAGAACAATCCTTGTAGATTCTCTGCTCACTTGTAAAGTAACAGATGAAGCCCTGTGCGTTTTCACGAAACACAGTTGCTTCTTTTCCCACTGCAGGGCTGAGGAGTTCTGAGCACTGAGGGTAGCTGTTCTAGTGGCATTTCCACACAGACGTGGTTTGACGCAGAATACTTAAAAGCTGGACTTGTTTTTTTTTTTAACTGCATGTATTTTTCAGTACAGTTAGCTAACCGTGTTCAGTGCTGGAAATATGTTCAGTAGGATGATGTAATGTAGATATTTGTGAATCGATTCAACATTTAAGTTATGTCATTTTGTGCCACCGCACTCTGCTGCGTAGCCAACTTAGCTTGGCTAAGGAGATCCAAATAGCCCATTATGGATTCAGTTAAATTAACTGTTGCTCTGCTGTCACAAATATAGATAATAAATACTTATATCAGGGAGAGAAAAGTCTACTGATTGGTGTTGGAGTGACAGAAAGCCAAAATCGAACGTGTTCTGTAACGTTAGTGTTATATGCTGTTATATGTGGCTAAGCTAACGCGAATATACGGTGACCACTGCAGTACAGGCTCGATTCCAGTGAATCAATGCTTAAAAACCACCAATGAGGGCACAATTCGAATGTCTGGTATTCAAGTGACAGGAAAAAAAAAATAGACTTATTCTGTGTTGCTTTGAGCTGTTTCCTGCTGGGCTGCGCTAATGCTAGCATAGTTAGCCAGCTACAAATGCAACCCACCGCAGTACAGGCTCGGTTTCAGTAAGTGATCCTCAGATAACACCCGTTTAGAGGATAAAGAATCTGAGAGCATGCCGAACCCATCTCACAAGTCCACATCAGTGCGAAACAGCTCAATACTGCCCTGGAAACCCTTTGGCTCTACAGTGGAAAAGAGGCTAGTCTGTATCACTATAGCTGGGTTTCCATTCAAACATTTTGCAAATGTTATGCAAATTCACAAAATTTTGGCAGAAAAACAGCAAATTAAGCTGTGTTTCCATTCACTACGGTTATGCGAACAAACTTCAGATGACGTAGGCTACCATAATTAGGGGCTGCATTGAAAAAAGCAAGATGGAGATACTGAGCTCAGTTTTTGCTTTAAGTAGGATTATCTTTTTATTTGCCATCTTTTTTTGGCCATGTTATCTGCAGCTCGGAGATGCCGGGCAGGACGAGCCGTATCCCTTCTAATGAGGGCTGAAATCTCGGTGCCACCCTGACGACGTCTACCTTGCATCTGAGAACGCAAATGCACCAGACAGTTCTGGGAGCACATTGTGCAGAGTTATTTTTAAACAAGCTTTCAGTTAAGCGTTTCAGAAAGCAGCCTTCGAAAAACGCCATGACTGGCCAGTCGTTTCTCACTTGCAGCTTGATAAGTCATCATTTTTTTTTTTTTTTTAAAAACCCTTTTTCACATTCCGGCTTTATTGATATTCTATCTTTTCCACCTCATCCTAGCGTTAAACTCTTTTTGCAATATTGAGCTTTTTTTTTTCATTCAAAATTCAGAGTTTTTTTCCTTTTTTTATGCATTTTCAAAATTTTCAAAAAACTGGTGGATGAAAAACCTGCTAATAGGTTTGTGAATAAGTTGGAATGGATAAAATGCAAAAACTGCTTGTCACTATGCAGATTATGTAGTATGGCGATGACAGATCACATATCACAGCTCTAAAATAGAATGCTGACATTGCTAAAAACAATTAAAATTGAATGTAAACTGGCTAGTAGTAACAGTGCGTTACTAACAGGATTACTAATAATACATCTTTCTTGGCCCAGACTCTCCTGCCTCCTCAGTGTCGTCTCTGCTGCATGCGGCAGCTCTGTTGTCTGGTCAGCTTCAGAGGGGAGTGGACCTGCCCAGTGCACTGTTGCAAGCCTGTGGGGAGGCCTACGCACTCTGCCAGCGCACCATTGCCAACCAACAGGTACGTGCTAACACGCATACATGCTCGAACACACATATCCAGGCACAAATGAGTCCTTGAGTTATATGGCCAAAATTCATACCTTTCTTTCCAAATCTTTCAGTACATATAATTATTGATAGTTATTATATGAACACCATAATGGCCACTTTTAAGTGTGAATAGTCTTCCGAACCATTTACCACACGGCAGAGGTCTTTTTTTCTGGGACTTTTTTCCTTAAGCTCGCAGCCATTTTTTACTCTGCATAATTCCAAGACTAAAATTCTGTGCTAACTAACATAGTCACAATGATCTGTGCTGTTATGAGAGAATGGCTAGACTTCTCCCTCCCTCCTGTCTCATCTCTCTTCCTTTTCTCCTCTCTCCTCTCCTCAGTTGGCCCAGGAGGTGATAGAGCGGCAGTTGGCTGTGCTGGACTCTGAGGAATGGGGCAGCAGGCTGTTGTGTGCAGGTGTGTGGCCGGACAGGGTGCCCTCGGCCCTGCAGTCCACTGAGGACTCGTGCTTTTCCAGCGTCCAGAGAGACGGACAGGTCCTCCTCTACTGTCTCAACACACTCAGTCTGCACGGCAAGAGGTCAGTCGTGTTCCATTACATGTAGACGTCTTTTCCTTCTCCTATAAACAAGCATGAGATTCTGTAATGACAGTGACGATGTGCTGTTTATGTATGAGTACAGGAGTCGCCCGCTGAGCCTGACTGACCTGCAGAGGGCGATGCAGAGTGGTGCTGTCCTGGAAGGCCTGCAGTTTCATGGGGGAGGACCAGAAGGTGGAGCAGAGGGTGGAGTAAACGAGGCTCAGCAGCTCCTGCCCACTGCAGTGCGGATCCTGACTGAGAGAGCCTCCCACAGTGACTGGGTCCTCCGAACTAGCTGGCTCTCTTACCTCAGCAAGAGCTACAAACATGTGCCAGGTGTGCTAACTCACAGCAACAACTCAGACACCGTGGAAAAACAAATGACAAAAGTAGCTTTACTTTTTTAGAAGTTACTTATCCTGACGGAATAAATAAACGTTAATCTGTCGCGTAGGCACAAAATATGAATGACTACTAATTACCTAAATAAAGCCAATAAAGCATATTTGAGGCATTTGCAATAAATGGTCATGCTGGTATTACTTGTAAAGGCTTGAACTTAGGACAGTTGCTACTTCTGTACACTGGATGGCATTATGTGCTTATTACCAGAGTCCCTATAGGAGAGTCTATTCACTCAGTGTCCGTCTTTGCAACGTCGCTGGGCAGTTATTTCCAGCCATACAAGACCAGTCTCCTCTCTCTCAGAATGGTGAAAAAACAAAATACTATTTTTTTTAGGTTGTTCTGGCTACTTTGCATGCGCAGATCTGCACAATGGGGGTGTGCTTTCCCACTAGCACCACAATATCATCGACCCTTCTCTGCTCACGCTGTAACCAGCATGCTGATTGGCTCTTTTAATTGTAGGGCTGGGCTTTCTCTGTAAATAGACGCCATGCTGAGTGTTACCAGCTTTCCCATTCATAATTTAACCAGTGACCAGTCTTCTTATTTAGAACATCTCTGTTATTACTCACTAGATGAGGAAGGGAATAAATCTAGCCATTCACTTACAACAGCACAGACAGCAGGACACTTAAGAGAGTTAGCTAGCTATCTCATATGTATTCTTTTATATATTAAATGAAAATATTACATTTGTTAATGGACTGTTCATATATAACCAGCTGTTTATGTAAAACACAAGGAAACAGGGAGCAGCATATTGCCTCTGTCATTTTCAAGCTATACTGTTTTATTTCCCACTGTCATATGCAAAAGTTATGAGGGAACGTAAGTGAACACCTTTACCGGAACTTTCTACAGATGTTAATGCAAAATTTTAACAACGGAGGACAAAAAATATACAATATAAAATATTCCACAGCTTTTTTAGGTTACATTTTTTTATTTATTTATTTATTGTTTTTTAACCAATGTATAAAATTTAGCAAGCAAACAGTAGTTGTGCTTTAAAATATGCAGATGTGTGTTCTCTATAGAGGATTTTTTCAACAAAATCAACAAAACATGTAATTTAACTAGACTTTTGCATACCATATAACATAGCAGCTGCCCTTTACATTTCATGATGAATGGCCCGATAGAAATGGTCCAAAACTACGTGGAACAAAATATCGTTGCATATGTTGGCATGTTTTCTGGACAGTGACGATATTATAATCATTTATGTGTATTAATATGGATTGATATTGGCCAACACTACTGTCCCAACTAAAGTTTCATCAGCGTCAGATTAAGGGTGCTTGTGCTGTGTGTGGGATTTTGTGGCTGTGATGCTGTAGTAAACTGAATGTTGTTTTTCTGCAGAGGCAGCAATGATGCAGCTGGAGGCGGGAAGCAGAGCTCTCAAAGCCGTCTTCAACAGCAAACTCATCGGCAAGGGCAAATACCTGACTGAGCATCTTCAGCCACATAGTACAGGTACACATAGACATGCTCTCTGATGTATATGGAGAAATATACAGACACGCATACATAATCATGTAGACAAACACTTGCCTGCCACAGTGGCCACAAATAATTAGCTGGCAGTGTTATTGTAACATCTCAATGGCAACGAAGAGCTGCTTTCTCTTACCCAGATGACTACAGGATCCTGGTAGACATGCGGTGGAACAAACAGTACCTGGACATCTTGGCCAACACCTGTAACTTTGAGGACGAGGAGAGATGTATGGAGTTTATGGAGGCCCTATATGCTGTCGCCAACAGGTGAGATTATGACTATATACTTTCTATTGTGTTGTAGTTACTATTAACTTCAGGACTTAATATATTCTGCCTGCTTTCTTTCAGGATCATAATACTGATGGACCGGGAGGAGAGAGCAGCTATAGGCAGCAGCACTGGAAATACGTCACCCCATAACAGCGCCTTAAGACTGGCCACTGCCTTCTCTAAAGGTATGTGTACATGTTAGGGATGGTTGGTGTACCAGTTTATAGTGTGCCTTTGTCTCTGGATATGGATTATACCATGTTGTGGATAATGTGACAGTCCCAAAAATGAGAAAGCAGAAATAGCCTCAACCTGAAGACCAATTAAACTTCTTATTACTGATTATTATAAACTGAACAAAAAGCACAGCACACAATTTACAGGGGACTTCCACCATTTCTTTTTTTTCTCTGGAGTTTCTCTACAGTTAACCATCTTATATCAAGCCACTCTGAATGACGTTGTTTATATCAGTGATTGAATAATGTAGATTTGTTGCGTCTTTTACACAAGTATTTGTTAGCATTTAGCATTTGCTTCATAAAGTACTGCAAAGAGCTTCTCACAATGTTGAAATAATGTGTTAAATTTGAAGGGCTCAGAAAATGACATTATTATTATTATTATTACTAATGACAATTATAATTTGTTATGACTTGGGTATTCATCATATCATGTCATTGTCTGGACAGTGAAAAATATTGTAATGCAAATTTGAGTACTTATTCTCACCCATGGTAAACAAAACTCCTATACACAAATCTAAACAGCCGCCCAGTATTCTACCCAGTCTGGCTGCTGGCCACTGAAAAAGCCCACACATACCTTCATTGATGGTTTCAGTGTTAACAGCGTCTTCTGCTTTCTCTCTCCAAAGGCACCGTAGATATCGGACACCTGCCACACCCGGTCCTGGTGCACCTGCGGCCTTTCTTCGACCTGTGGGACTCCTTTGTACTGCAGGCTGTACAGACAGACCAGCCCAACATCTCTGACCACCTCATGTTTGAGGTCTGAGCCACCCCACCCCCTTTCTCTCTTGTCCTTGCATTCTTTTTGTTTCCATAGATTGATTTTTCCGCCTTCTCTGTTTTCCTGGCATCCTTCTGTTGCTGATTATGCAGTGCTGGAATATGAACAGGCATTAATGGTGTACTTAAAGCAACAGTTAGACCAAAAATCACATTTACAACATTTTTACCGTCAACCCAAAATGTAGTCAGTATGTGTTTGCTTGCTGTAATGGAAGATTACACCACACCAATTAGTTTTATAGATAATATTAATGTGCACAAGCACTTGGTTAACCATTTGAGGTGTTAGTTTTCTAATACTCAAATTGTTGCCATTATTCATTGTGTTTCGTCGTGAGAAGATGGAAAGATTGTGTGGGCGTTGCCAAGGAAGTATTATTAAGGGCATGACTGAGAATACAGAGTGTAGCCAGCTTGGACAAGTATTTTTTTGCTAACTAGCTGATGTTAGTTAGGCCCAGAATACATTCCACTGACAAACTGACATGTTGGCGCATGGTCCACTGAGGAGAAAAGACCACCTGTAAGTACACAACAAATCTCCATGAGCATCCATGCTGTTGCTCTCAGGACAAAACCTTGTACCTCCATTTTTGTCCTGTTTCATATTTTTTGCCCATTATAAATCATCAGCTTCCCTTTACAATATGTCAAAATTTCGTGATGAACAGTCCAATAGAAATGGTCCAAACATACTTGGAATAAAACATTTCTCCAACTAAAAGTAAAGGTTTTGTTTCGACAACGACGATATACTGGTTAGCTGTAGTAGCTGGTTAGCTCATTAGAGTGGTTGGTATAGTGTGCTGGGTAACATCTCTGCTTTCTACTCTGTAGACTAAGGTTCAGTCCCCCACCTGGGCAAGCACCCTACTCTGTACCAATAAGAGTCCTTGGGCAAGACTCCTAACACTGCCGTTGTCTACCCTTGTAAAATGATGGAATTGTATGTCGCTCTTGATAAAAGTGTCTGCCAAATGCAGCAAATGTAATTAAAGGCTGCTTAGTTACTTAACTGAGTTCCCTCTGCTACTTTTTAATGAGCCCACAGAGCTTCGCAAATTTTGGCAAGTTGTTTTTGTTGTTGCATTTTCCTTTTCTGAGATTTACTGAGTATCAAATCATATCCCTAATAGAAAACAGTTATATAGTATCAGAAACCACATAGCAAAGTCTTATTGATTGACTCCTTTTCTTCTTTTGGTGCCTCTAGATCCTGCAGCTGCTTCAGTGGAGGGATCGTTTCTGGCACGTGTGTAACTCGTTGCCAGCGGACGCTTGTGGCGTGTGTGTGCTCTCCCTGCACTGGCAGTGGGTCCACAAACACCTGGTCCTGCGACTGCCCCAGCTCCTGATGGGGGATGGAGACTATGAGTGAGTTCTTAGAGCCATGCCTTTAAGGATTTGTATTATTTTTGTTATTTTTGTTTGGATAACTGAAAAAAACTATAATATTACTGGAGTCAATTCCTTTTAGATAAGTCTTTCATTATGATTGTGTCCTAAATGTTTTAGCAGCTTCTCAGATCCATACTGGTGTAGTATGGTATCTTTCACTGGACATTTCATTTGTTAATTACAGACTGAAATGCTGGACCCACTCAGTTGAAAACTGAAAGAGAGATTTTTTTAGATATATAATTTGGTGTTTTTTGTAAATTTTACACTTTAGTTGTTGTGAAATGTAATACTTTATGGTTTCCCAAAGGCATCTAAAGCTGAATTCCAGAGCGCATGTGTAAAGCATAGGATGTAGCTCGTCCAGTTTCTCCAGCCAGGGGCGCTATGAACACGCAAGTCAATTTAGTGTTTATCATTTAGAGAAGAAACATCCGTAAACCTCAGTATAATTTATGTGATTTCCATTAAAGAATTACATTAAATCAGTTAATGCTAAAAAACATGCAAGTTAAAGACTGTATAGAACGCAGCTGCATTAAACTGTGTTTATGTTTCACTGTTGTTCTGCTGCTGCTCAAACTGTTTTAACACATTTGTGCCGACCAGTGTGAGAGAATGAAGGACACAAACACAGTTTTTAATCATTTTTTTCTGATTTTCATTATCATACAGATTATTTGTTAAGTGCCAGATTTTGACACTTCATTCTAGACCTGTTTAATCTTTTGCTTTTTTTTTGTCCTTCGACTGAAAAGAAAGTGCCACTTTCAACCATTTTCCTGCTAAACCCCCCCCTAAAAACCTATTCATTGTATGCCTGTTCTGTTGGTTGTATGTTACTAGGGGTCAGCAGGAGCTGCACACCATCTCCACAGCCATCCAGAACACACTGTCCAGCTCCGTTTCTGTGGCCTCGGCACTGAAGAACATTCAGAAAACCCTGGGCAAGCCACTGCCCTTTAAGGTACACTGTGTTTTCGCACAATACAGCACTGTATTGGAATATTATTAATAATAATAATATAAATAATAGTTGTTCTGTATGTGAGTATGTTAGCTTAACCATTGTGAAGTTTTTAATGCTTGTCACATTGTTTTGTTTGTGTCTGTTTTCATTCTTCAGCTGGAGGCCGTGGCTGAATGTGCTGCTCGTCTTCGCTTCCTCAGCAGAGCGTTAGACGTCAAAGACCTGCGCCTGGACGACAGCACGCCTTCACTTTGGAAACGGGAGGTGACTCGTCTCCGGGGCGTTGCCATGGGGATAGACTCTAAGGAAGCCCTTTTGGAAGGCTGGGGTCTGGTCCTGCAGGCCAATCTTCTGCTGGACCCTCGTAGCACTGGTAAGCTAGGCCACAGGTCAGGAATGCTCCAATGGCTGGTAGGCTGATGTGTGGAGTAATAATGTATCTAATAATGTTATAATGCCATAATGTCAAAGCGTCTTCAGCTCAGTCAGTTGGGTTAGGACAAGTAAAACCACAAAACGTACAGTACACGCTGTCCCCAGGACTAGCACTGAGAACCACCACGGGTCACAGAAGGCTTGTACCTTGTTGTGCTGCATTACCTTTGTTAGTGGATTTAGTCTTGATTTGAACTGTGTGGAACCTTCAGGTGTGCTGGACAGACTGCTCACCTGTGTGGATCAGCAGCAGGGTCACCTGGCCTCCTGTGGTCTGCTGGATTCTCTCACTGAGACTGTGGACGAGGAGATAATGGGCGACGGCGCCGCCCCAGGCCGTGAGGTGCTACTGCAGCTGGGCCGCAGAGCTCAACTCTGGCCGGTGCTGGAGGAACTGGCTGTTCTGAATCAAATGAAAGTGACTGCAGACCTGCTGCACCTGTCCGTAATGCAAAGGTATGACTGTACTCATATGTAAAGTCTAGTTGGTAATATTAATTAAATATTATTTATTTCAGGACAAATGCTGTTCAGCCCTACCTGGCCCTGTGAGACAGTAATTGTTCCCTTAGCTACTAAATCAACTAGTTAACCAAATTCAGTTGACTGTTGGGTTCAGTTTCACCAGCTTCGCTTAGGCATAATTACTGCCAGACCTGTTGAATCTAAACATCACTTCAGTAGAACCTGTCTGGCAATGTGAAGCAGGATAGAAGGTCTCAAAAAGCAGCACATGATGCCACATTCTAAAGAGAATCAAATACAGATTTGAAAGTCATTGAAATGTACCAGGCAGGAAAGGGTTACAAAGCCAAGAACTGCAGGCCTCACTTGCCTCAGTTAATATACATGATTCCACAATAAGAAAGACACTGGGCAAAAATGGCATCCATGGGAGAGTTGCGAGGTGCAAACCACAGCTGACCAAATGCGACACAATAGCTCATCTCATGTTTGCCAAAACACATCTAGATGACCCCCAAGACTTCTTGGATAATATTCTTTAGCTGATGAGTCAAAGGTGGAACAAAGGTGGAAGACATATGTCTCGTTACATCTGGCGTAAAACCAACACCGCATTCCACCATAAGAACATCATATCAACAGTCAAACATGGTGGTAGTAATATGATGGTCTGGGCTGCTTTGCTTCTGCTGGACCTGGACGATTTGTCATAATTGATGGAACCATAAATTCTGCTGTCTATCAGAAAATCCTGAAGGAGAATGTCTGTCCATTAGTTTGTGACCTAAAGCTCAAGCGCAGTTGGGTTATGCAGCAGGACAATGATCTGAAGCGCACAAGCATGTCCACCTCTGAAAGACTTAGCATAAACAAAATTAAGGTTTGGAGTGGCCGAGTCAAAGTCTTGACTTGAATCCCACTGAGATGCTGTAGCAAGAACTTAAACAGGCAGCTCATGCTCGAAAACCCTCCAGTGTAACCAAACTAAAACAATTCTGCAAAACAGAGTGGGCCAGAATTTCTCCACAGTGATGCAAAAGACTTACTGTGAGTTACGGCAAATGTTTGATTGCAGTTGTAACTGCCAAAGGTGGCACATTATTAGATTTAGGGGGTCAGTTACTTTTTCACATAGGTGATATAGGTTTTAGATAAATCTTCAATAATTGGAATGACAATTTAGGAGCTGCAGTTTGTGTTTGCTCTTGTTGTCTTTGCTCTTGTTGTCTTTATCTTATCTTAATGTTAATTGGATTATCTGAAACATTTATATGTGACAAATTAGCACAAATAGATGAAATCAGGTGAGGGGCAAATACTTTTTCACAGCACTGTATAGTCCAGAACGTAGTGAAGAATTTCATTGTGCAGTACAAGTGTCTGTTTCTACAGATGCCCTGAAGGGACAGTGGATTTAGATGTATTTTTTACTCCATTTTTCCATGATGAAAGAGATGTTTTCATTTGTTTTCTTGAGATCTCATATTGGTCATTTTCACAGCAAAATGATTGTTGTTTTCTCAAGATCTCAAGTTATTTATATCATCTTAATGACATTGTGTTATTGAGATAACATTCGTTATGTTGTGATAATGGCATAAATGTCTCAAGATCTCGAGAAAATAACATTCGTTGTGTTGTGAAAGTGATATAAATAACGAATGAATGAAACAACAGAATTAAAAAATGCAAATTCATGGATGTTTTTCTGTGCATTTTGCTTTAAGCTCTTGAATCTTGAATTTTCAGCTGTTCTAACTCTCTCTCTTCCACAGAGGGAATAAGGAAGCAGAGGCTGGTCTCTGTCGATCCCTTTCCAATCACCTTCGCTTCTGTATGCAGTCCACACCCATGAACATCCGCCAGCTCCAGCCACTGTGGTTCCTGCTCAGCACAGAGCGGGTCTGGCACCAAATCTAGTCTTGCACACACTCATCTTGTTAATATACTAATATATTAGTAAATACAACTCTTTCACTCTTTATGTGTTGTACCATAATCACAAAATGTTAAGCTATGTTAGTGAATCCTAGGCTTATTGTTGACGTAGTAATCTAAAGTCTTATTATTAATTAACTAGCCTGGCTGGGGGGTCCTTTTAAATTAAAGGGACTGAAAAATGTATATTTATTATATTTACACCATGGAATGTTGGGCCAGATTCATAAAACTCTATGGTAACAGTGCTGCGCTTCGCAAAATGTGCGGCATGGTAACTAAGAGCTATTCATAAAAACACTGATACACCTGTGTCCTTTATAAAGCTGTGTTATTTTTACCTGTGTCCTGGGCAAGAGCCAATCAAAATCCACATGTAAATGAGGTCATGCAAATTAAAGAGCCTCCTATAGAAGCTCTGGTTGGCTAACAAATGTCTCAGAAATAGAGCTTGAATTTTAAGGGAAGAAGTGCTGTATTTCTCAGTTAAATAATTTAGTAATAATAATAACAATTTAACGCCTTTGCCAGTTCATTTAAATTATAGTAACAATATTTACTAATATGAAGTTAAACATTTGATAGTTTATTGCGGTTAAAAACAATGACATTGACTTACTGAGAATTTTATTTTGCCAAGCTGTTTTAGCTTCTATTTCTATTTTTTCTTGATCTCAGGAATTCAATCAGACGTGAAATTTACATTTAAACTTGTGAAAATTAAGTATTAAATATTGACTATTAAAAATTCAAAAAAAGACTTTTTTACTAGTAAAATGACATTTTTATATTTGTAAATTAATTTCTATTTAAAGTCCTTTGTAAATTGACAAATAGGATTAAGGCTAAAATTATTTGCAATAAAATCAAATCAAACATAACGTAATTAGAATCTCAGTGTGTCAAATTACTCTTCACAAGCCAAGCCTGCTTTTCACACAAAGGAGGGATTTGCCAAACGTTGAATGTTTAGCAGGAAGAGGAGGCTGTTTTAAGTGCAGTGGAAGTAAAATCTGCTGATCTGAAATCTGCTGCTCTTTGCTTTTGCCGTCATAGTAAATCTGGTCCTGCGTTTTATGAATCTGGCCCTTTGTGTGGTGCTGGTTGCCCATAGACTTTGACTGCCTGCACACCTGAACAGCTTGGCCTTGTAGAACATACAGACCTGTTTATAACTTTCTACTGTCCTTGTTCGCCTCCCAGCCTGTAGAGGAGCTGCCGTTAGTGTGGTGTGAGCTACTGTCTGAGACGCTGGCGGCGCTGTGGAGCAGCAGTGTGACCTCTGACCCTGAGCGCTGGCTGAGGTGGAGCCCACTGAGTCCAGAGGAGCAGAAAAGCTCCAGATCACTGCTGGGGCCCTCTGACACGGTGTGTATTTGTGTGGCTGTTGTGGGCAACAATTCACTACACAGCATTTGTCAGAAAGTTTTAGATGCCTTTGTTCCCGCAGGGTCCTGGCATGCTGAGTCGTGCTGTGTGGTCCCGCTGCATACTGGGAGTTTTAAGCGGCAGTGAGGTGGGTGGGCGCTGGGACCCGTCAGGCTCCTCCTTCCTGTCGTCATCGCGTGTGACGCTGGGCGAGTGGAGAGAGAGAGTGGGGCAGCTGCAGGACCTCAGCGCCGTGCTCTGGGACAACATGGCTATGCCCGAACTCGCCGACTTCAGGTAGGGACAACACAGATTCATGCACATACGTACATACGCATATGCTCTATATGGCCAAAAGTATGTGGACACCTCTGCTGTTTAAGTTCAGGTGTTTCCGCCACGTCCATTGCTGACAGGTAAATAAAACACAACCATGCAGTCTTAATAGGCAAACACTGGCAGTAGAATGGGTGGAGCTTCATGAAATGGGTAGCTGGCCATTATGAAGTCCCTTTTTTCCCTTTTAGAGGTGTATGAAACACATATACACTAAGATTAAAGTCATCTCTGCTCTCTCGGTAGGTTAACAGACTGCAGGCTGCAGGGGCTGGTCCTGTGCCGGCAGCTGCACGCTCTCTCTGACCTGCTCTCTCCAGGCTTACAGGAGAGCTACGCAGAGTCCTGCGAGAGCCTTATCGATGGTCAGGACCCCGTCAGGGCAGCCCAGGAGATACAAGTGGCCCTCAGAGAAGGCCTCCCTGAAAACCTTCTCCCAGAAGGCTTCCTGGACACGCTGGTGACCTGCTTGACCCAGTTCTCCCATAATCGTGTGCAGGATGCCATCCAGCCGGCCCGGTCCGGCGTGTTCTGGGTGAACATGGGTCTCCTGCAGATCCAAGTTTGGGCCCCTCAGACCATTTTTGACCCGGCAGTGAAGAGGGCGTATAAACTCAGCTACGCACAAGAAGAGGTGAGCCAGGCAGATCGCAGTAAAAATCAGTGCAGTTGTTGACACTTTCTAGTCTGTATATTTGTGCCATTCAACTTTTGTCACATCATCTCTAAGTAATCAGTATCTTTCATCTTGAACTACTATTGAAAGCTGAAATACAGTCATATGCAACAGTTTGAAGGCCCCCTGTCAGATGACGTTTTGTTGATTACTAAGTGAAAATAAGGTAACATATGCTAAGTGCACATTTTTATTTTCCATAACTTGCAAAGGCCGTTCATTCATTTATTTGTTTATTATTTATTGTTTTTTTTCCCCAACATGGTAAATTCAGCAAATAAAATTTGTTCTCTGTAGAGGATGTTATTTTCACTTAATCAATCAAAAAAAAACGTATGAAAAAATGTAATTTGACCAGTGTGCCCAAAAATTTGGATGTAACTGTAGAACTAGCTGAGAATGAGAACCTCTAGTACACCAAAATTAAAATGTGATTTAAGACGACTATTTTATCCAGCACTTTTTATGCTTATGTGTCTGTCTGAAGTTGCCCTTTTCTCTTCCCAGCTTGCTTTGCTCCAGGATGAGTGGAGGGGGAGGAGTCTCTCCTCTCAGCTGCTGACAGGGGCGGAGCTTGAAGAGAGCAGCACCACTGATGCCTTCCAGCATCCTCGAATCAGGTACAGATCTGCCTTACAAAACTACAAAACCCAGAATAATCAAGGCAGACATTAGTGCTGTCAGCTTTTTTGTTAAATAATCAGATATATTTAAATTTTACTAATTTTTTTCTAGATGCACAGAAATAAGTAGGATACGTAACTATTATACTGGCTGTTATAAACCAGTGGTGCTTTCGTCTGATGTCTGATATATCATTAGCCACATTTGCATGCAGCCTGATAATCCGTTTATAATCCTCAATCCTCAATAGCTCAATCGGAATAGAATTTGTCCTTGTATACACCTCCATCAGAATAGACTGGTCCCATTGAGGCCATTCGGAATACAACATGCCGTCTTCCTCTCGCTTTTCTTTAAGTACATGTGAAGTACGTTTTACTGAGTCTGACTTCATTTTAAAGTATTGAAAATCACAAACGTGCCAGCCTAAAACTCAGACGCACTGCTGTTTGTCTCAGGCTGACTGGACTCACGTTATGCTCGTTGTCATGGTAACATCTACACAAAGTGGTGCTCGACGCATGTGGATAATTTTGGATCTGATTACTTCTAGTGAGCATATAAACAACTCAGTCTTAATCTATAATCGGAACTTATTCAACCGGACAGTCACTGACTAATCACTGTAAACACCAATAGTCTATCAGTACTACGTTAGCCAGACTAACTTAAGATCTTCACTGAATGAGTCAGTGTAAAACTGCAGCATACAATGTAAGAATTGCAACAAAAGCTACTCCTAAAGGAATTAAAATATTTCTGCCTTACACATTCCTGTAATGATGTGTGCAGCTGGCACACTGATGATTTTATGACTATTTTTTACAGATATTGTTGGTGTAAAAGTTAAAAAGTTAGTTTTTTTTTACATGTTTTTGAGTCTTTGCTTTTTTTCTGGGGTTTATCATTGAATTTAAACAATATTAGAAGTTTCATTTTGACAGTCCTAGAAGATACACATTTAGTGAAAAAGCATTCAATCTAAGAATGAACAGGCATGGTGAGCAAGTTTAAAATCAGCTCCTCTGGTCTCTGTGTTTTTTAGCAATAGCTTACCAGTTTAGAAGGTAAGAAGTCCCCAGACGTTTGAGTGGCAGTGTGTTTTTATGCAACAGCTTGTTGAGATTTGTGACTTTTGTGGTTTTTTTTATTTTTTATTTTTTATTTTATCATTTAGGTACCTGTGGATCCGCATGCAGCAGGTCAAAGAGCAGATTTGTGAGCTCGGCCGTAAGCAGGCCTGTCGCCCGGCTGACCCGCAATACGGCCGCCTCTACCAGGAGCTCCAGCACTACCTGTGCAGCATTGGGCAGCCGGCAGCCGTGGGCGACCTGCTGTCCCACCTGCTGAAGGCACTGCAGGGCTCCGGGCCAAAGTCCAGACCAGGCATCCAGGGCCTGCTAAAAGAGGAGGCGGTGTGGCAGGCGTCCCAGCAGCGCTTCGCTCAGCGGCTGGCCGAGGAGTACCCGCTGTATCCGGATGTGGTGGTGCCGCTACGCTCGGCCATTTTGCAGTTGCAGCACGGCATGCGCCTGCTGGCCTCGCAGGTGTCCTCCTCGCTGACAGCGTTGCCGGGCTTGCCCCGCCTTCTCTCTACTCTGCTGGCTTTTCCTGGTCCACCGCTGTCCTCCGATCTGGCCAGTGCAGACTTCCTGTGCTCTCGGGCGTGCATTGATGTGCTGCGGGGGCTGGGGAAGTTGCTGCCAGCTGCTGAGGCACCTCGCGTGGTCCCTGACCCCTCTGTTTTACTGCTTAGTGCCCTGCTGCGCCTGCAGAGCCACTCACTGACTGCTGGACAGCTGGGGACGGAGGCTCGCACACTGCTTAGACACGTTTGTCAGGTGAGAGTCACATACTGTGCTTAATATTCAATAAGAATTTCATTAGATCCATTACATATGGAACATAAGCTTTTTCAGGTGTGTTGGAGCAGAGAAATCCCAAACTGGACCAGAGCTGGACACCCCTGCAGTACATGCTCAGTACTGTTCACAAGTCCTCAAAAGAGCCCTCCCTCCATTTATTTAATTTCCAGTCAAAATTAGCCATTAAAATCAAGTTCAAGAAGCTGTTATTGAGGAAAGGAAGCTTCTGGTGTTCTCAGAACAACGTAGGGGCCACCCCAGAATTCAGACTCAACACCGTTGAATGTGTTTGGGATTGCTTGGATTATGAGAAGCATACGATGTGACCAACTTCTAAGACTGAACTTTGGAGGTGTAGAAAAACATCCCTGCAGATTTCTTTGAAAAACTGAAAGCAGGTCTCCTGAAATGAAGCTGTAATAAAAGAAAAAGGTGGACACACCAAATACTGAATACTGATACCGTTTAGGCTTCTGAGTAATATTCTGTCAATTGCTTTCTGTTTTTTTCCTGATGCTGAAAATGAATAGCTTGTACTTAATAGCTGTTTTGACTGGAAATTAAAAAAGGGAAGCCTCTGACTTGCACAGTGCTGTGTTTCAGTATTTAACTACCTCATCACCAGTGATGTTTAGTCATATTTTTATGGTCCAATAAATGAAAGCGTGTTGTGTTGGGAATTACCCAGGAGTGGTAAATAATGATAGAAAATTGTCTTGTGTGTGATTGTATGTGTGTCTCAGGCTCTTGTGAATGAGTGGGACGAGCAGGAGAGGAGAGCGCGGGAGAAAGAGCAGAGAGAAGCCAGTCTGTACCGCAGCCGCTCTCGTCTGCACGGAACAGGCCTTACTGAGGAGCAGCAGGAGGAGCGCGAGTTCAGACGATCCTTCCCCACTTACCACAAGGTCAGTCAGCACCTTCAGCCAGCACACTTTCGCCGCCAGGGGCCAAAGTATTGCATGTGTCAAGGATTTTTCTCTGCCTGAAGTGGCAGTAAATTTTCTGATCTATGAACTCACAAAATCTGATCTAGCAGGTGAGAGGATAAACAAGCAAATGCGAAATGATGGACATGCAGTGCTTCTGGCACTCTGTTAAAAGTGTCCAAGTAAACTTGCTGATTCGTATCTTACCAGGAAAAAGGAAACTAAAGTTAATGCAAACAACATATGTGTTGATGTGCTTTTTACACTGAACTTTGGATCTGATCTGAACTTTGGATCTGATCTGGTCACAGTAGAGAAGCGCTTTACCGAAAGGTACAAATGGAATTCAGCCAGTATCCAGATACAGTTCAGATATTAAACCCTTAATGCAAGATATAAACAAGCTTTTTAATGCACAAATGTGAACTGTAAAGGCAGAAAGTTTAGATTTGGGAAAAATCTCTTCATGACTTTCTCAGTCATAGTTAAAGTCAACATTAAAACTCAACATGAATTGGAAATTAGAATCGTTTTTTTTTCTTTAACTGGGCATATTTCTGAGTGGAATAGGATACTCAGTTGTGAAACAATTGTGGGTGAGGCGGTTTTGTTTGTCAGGATTTCATTGGGTTGTGAAAAGCAATTTCCTTTGAATTATATGACACAATGTATTGTGCTTAATGGCACCAAAACGTGAACAATCAAGGTAGAAAATGTCCGTTTTGATTTCTTTTGCAGCCTACTGTGCACATGGCCTGAAAATTTCCATTCTGAATTGCCTTTAGTTTTGTCATCATTTTTAGCAATTGTTTCCCTTCCTTTCAGGATTTTGCTGACATCACCGCAGAACCCAGTCTGGAGCAGCCAATTATTATCGAGGATGATGAAGACGATGTTGAAGAGGCAGAGTCTAGCGAAAGCAGTGGCTTCCGGTTAGCCAGCTGTCACACCATCGTCCAGGTGCACCAGCGACTTTGCCTATCATACGCCCAATCACTGTGGTACGAGCCCAGCCCCCTGACCAATCAGAGCAAAGACCACATCAGTGCTCTGGTCTCATCCTATCAGATCACTGCACCCTTGATAGCTCGCTTCTATCATCTAATGGGTAAGTGCATTATTTAGGTATTCATTATTATAATGAGGATTCATACCTTGGTATTTTTTTGTTTGCCAGGACATTTTTTCCATGTGTGTACTGCAGTTATGCATATAAGTGCATATATGCTATTTACTCTGAAATCTTCTCATAATTTAGCATCATTCCCATGAAAAGTGATGTACATGTATGTTAAAATCACTTTTCCTGTTGATCATTTTTGTTGTTTTATACACATCAACAAACTTACTCAGTGTAAAGTCTAAAACACAAAGCAGTGTCATTAGTATTTTGTGTAAGTATTTTGGCAACAGTCAAAAAAAAAAGATATTAAATAATGTATTTGTCTATTTACAGTCAAAGATTTAATCCTTGCTTTAGATACATGGGACATTCTGAAAATTAATTTTATTATTTCATTCTCGAACTTCATTCTCAGTATTATATGGTTTTGTAAATCATTTTAGAATCATTATTGTACATTATTATTTATATTTTAATTAATGAAAAGTATATGATTGTAATATTGTAGTATATGTTATTAAAATGAGTATTATTAAACCTTTTTATATATGTATCTGCAACCAAATTGGTTTAGTATTATTGCAAACATTCCAAACTGATGAATGATAAACAGTGATTCCAAATTCTTGATTGGTAGCTCATCACTCCGATTGCCTGACTGTTGTCTGAAATTCCCTAGGAAGGGCATACTTATACTTAAAGCATCTCTCTTTCTCTCTGCTCCTCTCCCTGTCTCCCTCTCCCTCCCCCTCGCTCTCAGATTGTGAAATGGACTCTCAGTTGACAGGTTCTCAGCTGTTGCTCAGTTCTCTGCTGCAGAACACAGTACGGGGCTCTGGGGGTCCAGCCGGTTTGATCCTGCAGAGTGACGGGCCCTACGACTTTTATAGAGAGCCCAACATGAGCCAGGCCCGGCTATGCCTGCCTGCCATCGAGCAGCTGGGGCAGGCTGTCCGACAGCGTTTGGACGACTGGCCAGAACACCCAGCTCTGATTCAGGTGAGTCTTTTTCATTTTAATGTTTTAATTGAAGATTGAATGTTTTTCTTTTTCACTATCATTATTATTATTATTATTATTATTATTATTAGTAGTAGTAGTAGTAGTAGTAGTAGTAGTAGTAATTGTAGTAGTAGTAGTAGTACTAATAGTAATAGAGTCTGTTTTATGACTCAGGCGTTGGTATCTTGCTTACTTGCTTGCTCAGTGTGCACTGATTCATGTTGTTTTTATAACCATACTTAGATCACTGTGGTCATGGAGAGAATTCTAGCCTTCAGTCTGTCCAGCCCTCTAGCCAAGTTCCTTAATGGCCTGGAGATCCTACTCAGCAAAGCACAAGTGAGCACACATGCTTATCGGTTTTTAAGCTGAGACTGTATCTCTTTTTATAAGCACAGTATACTTATATAAAAGGGTTTATGTGGTATGTTTACATCAAATTGCATCTTTCTTTGTATTTACCTCTCTCTTTCTTGCTTTTTGCTCTCTCTTGCTCCTAGGACTGGGAAAATAACGCCAGTCGTTCAGTGTCTCTAAGGAACGAGTTGGAACCGATCACTCAGCTCATCATCCAGTGGAGGAAACTGGAGCTTAAGTAAGTGAGAAGTCTTTTGTGGCATGTGTGCAGCGTTTTGTCACTGTCGTATTAAAGCTGCACTTTCTCTGTATTTTTTTTTTTCGTCTTTCATTTTTCTTGACTGTATCAACTGCCCTTTTTATGCTGTATGAGTGAAATCACTTGGAATAAAATTGTTATATTGTATATTGAGGTTTTCTCTCCTGTGATGTTCCCATTTAGGAGATACATTTTGTTGAACAGTGATTTGTGAATTTTAAATCGGTCCTAAATAGGCAGTGTGACTAATGTAATTTGGTCTGCATTTGCAGTTGTTGGTCAAGCAGTCTGGACAACGCTCTGAAGCGGCATGCGGAGAACTCCAACAAGCACTGGTTCTCCATCTACCAGCTGATAGAGAGACATCTGCAGGAGAAGAGCACTGGCTCTAAGTCTGGTAACATGCTTTCAGTTACAAATGTCCAGTCAAACTGGTCTTTTTTTGCAAATGCAAACATATCGTAGCTCTAATGATGACTGATCATGTCTCTTTGCCGTTATTACATTTGTGATTGGATTGTGATGTGATTGGACCAGATTTGTCCTGTTCACTCTGTCATTCTTGTTCTGTTCAGCAGAGGGAGGTGTGGAGGAGTTGTCCATCTCCGCAGTCTCGTCCACTCTACAGGGCTTTATGGAGGGCTCCACTCTGGGAGAATTCCACACTCGGCTGACCATGCTACTGGTCTTCCACTGCCATCTCCTACTGGCTCCCAAACAGGAAGGACACGGTGGGGCTTATATCAAATTAAGCACTAATAAACAAAAATAGTGTGTGCCGTTTTATGGGCTGTACGAACTGGTCAACAGTATCTACAACGTTATGAGTTTTTATTCATACGTGCAAGTTTTTTGCCCTTTCAATAAACTTTGAATGCTGAACTCACAGATATTGGATTTTTATAGGCCAATCAGGACTAAGATAACGTGACTAAAACGCAAAGAGAACGGTAAATTTGATTTCATTTTGGAATATTTTGCTTTCTTTCTTCATCAACTCTGAAACGGTGGGAGAAAAAAGGTTCAGATGTGTAAATGGTAATTTTTAGCTACCAAAACAACCTGAAATTGATATACAACAAATATATTTCTGTTATTGCTGGGAGCTAAACAACCATTTATTAAGTATGTTGCTAGTGGCAGTCATCGGGATCCAAGCACTTGTAGAAGTGGGTGATGTTTTTAGGGTGGCCTCCATTCTTAAATTGCATACCCTAAAGTATATAGATGGCCAGATGGATAATGACTGTTACACTGTCAAATTTGGAGGTAATATAATCCATATATTGTTTATTGCTCTTTCAAAAGCGAGCAATGCACCTTGAAAGGCCACAGTAATGCACAGTTTTGTATTTCCACTGACAGGTTTATTAGTTTCTTATTAGCTTCATGATCTGAAGAGAGGTAGGACAGAGAAACTGTGCCTGGCCTGAAATCATAGCTGAACCACTGAAACAGTTGAAATCGTATTGTTAACCCTGAGGTTATGGTATTATCATTTGTCGCTTGTTAGGCTCAGTGTGTAGTCTGCTGTGGAACCTGCACAAGTACTACGCACAATTCTCAGAGAGCGTCCAGTCCAGAATGAGTCAGCTGAGGACCCCCATCGAGAAAGAACTCAAGGCAAGTCCAAGTACATTTCCCATGAAATGGCCGAGGCCTAAACAGTCATAAGTGGTACACTGAAGACACCACGTTATTTAAATTAGTTTCCTTTTTCACCCTAAATCTAAGAGTGTTTTTCCTTGCAGGACTTTGTCAAGATCTCCAAGTGGAATGATGTCAGTTTCTGGTCCATCAAGCAGTCTGTAGAGAAAACACACAGGTGAGGAAGGAAGGGGAAGCATGATTAGATTTTATTTGAAACATGTGCCCCCTGCCCACCCCCCACACCCCCATCTCAACAAAAACAATTAATGGCTCATTCAGTTTAATCAAAATTGCTTATTTTGATAATGTTTTCTATAATTTCTCTTATATCCTGTGTGCAGGACCCTGTTTAAGTTTGTGAAGAAGTTTGAGGCGGCGCTGGCTGAGCCATGTGCTCCCTGCCTGGTGGAGCAGGCCAGCAGTGCAGGGATGGACAGCGTGGACACTCAGCCGGAGGAGACACCACTGCACCGACTCCACCGGGCGCTCAACAGCAGCCTCCCAGGACGGGGCAGAGACCTACAGGTGCAAACTTCTACTATAAATGCCGTATTTCTACTATAAATGCCGTATTTAAAGTGGTTTTTTTTTATCATTTACTCAGTTGGTGAGTAAATGATGCATATCGAAACCTACTGAACTATCTGGTGTTCAGAGTTCCTTTTCTGATGATGCTGGACTGCGGAACAAAATGGCATCAACACTTTATTGAAAATACTACTTTTTTTGATACTGAAAAAATGTCTGATGATGATGATTATGATCATTTATCACTCAAACCAATGTCTGATGAATTAATGTTGTCTTTGGGAAGTTCCACTTGTGTTTACTGCACTGCTTTGGGTTCTGACCCACGTCTGTTTTATGTGTTATTTCAGAGTGACGGTCCAGAGGAAATCACATCAGGTCTGGAGCCCTTGTCACTGCAGGCTCGCTTGCCCTTCCTCACGAGGAGGATGAGGAAGATGTGCGTGCAGCTGGTGAAGAAGATGCCTCTGCCGGAACTGTCAGAGGACCTTGACCAGTTTACAGGTTAGAAGCTGCAAAACTGTCAATGATGGTGATCTTACAGGCTTTCTGACATAACCACTTTGAGTTTATGTCGAACTTTAAGTCCTTTAAATCTTTACGTGTAAAGTATTGATAAAGCAACTATGGCTGTCGGCAAACAAATTCCACAACTGCTTTTTGAACAAGGCACAGAACTGGACCGCCAGTCAGAACAGATATCATTTACATGCTTCTTAAAAGCTCAGTATTAAAAACAGCCTGTTTAATTCAGAGGAAAATGTAACAATGTTACATGAGTGTGACTGTACTGCATATGTTCTGTGTCTATCATGATAAGATGTCAGTGTTAAAGAATGAATGCTGTTTGTCAAACCTGTTTAACATGTGTTAACTCCTCTCTGTGTGTTTGGTGTTCCCAGCGGAGATCATTGCCAACGTACAGGCCCTCCAGAGTCTGACAGTGGACCGCTCTATGGAACAGGAGAGACAGAAGGCCGAGGTCAAACATATCCTGCTGCAGAAACAGAGAGCTTTGGCTGACCTCTTCAAAATGCTGGCACAGATTGGTCAGTGGTGTTTGTTTCTCTCTCTGAGGTTCAGAGTTTAAAAACATGCATAGTACATAAAAATAAAAATGAAAAATTTCAGAATCTTACCCTAAATGTATACAGTTACCCAGGACATGTTTGCTTCTATAAAAATTGACTAAAATGAATATGTCATAGCTAAAACTGTCGCTGAAGCCTTGAAGCCGGGACCCATCTACGCTGGACAGTTTCAATTTTTACGCTTCTGCACACCTGCTCATCGAACAAGGCTGGAGCTAGATGACCTTAGCAGCAGAGCTGGTCGGCTCTAAGCTATCGGGAATATAACTTTTTTTGGTGCTTTTCTCATTTAGGCCTGTCATACCGCAAAGGCCTGACGTGGGGTCGTTCAGCAGATCCGGAGGAGCCACTATGTCTGCAGCCTATTGAGATGAGGACAGCACTGTCATCAGTCAGGACACAGGATCACGCCGAGAACACGTGTGTTCATCTTAATACAACCTACATAACTGCTGTTCACAACTCTGATTTAATCAGTGCAAGTAGTGTTTATAACAAATCTACAACAAATGTGTTCATTGCCATCACATTCATGGTATTTGGCAGACGCTCTTATCTATAGCGTCGTACAGTTTAATCATGTTACCAATGTAGGTGAATGTGGCATTAGGAGTCTTGCCCAGGGACTCTTAGTCTTCGCCCAGACAGGGAACTGAATCTCAGTCTGCTACATGGTGGGCAGTGTGTTACCCATTATGCTGTATACAACGCACAACATTACACCAGCCGTCAAATAGTATGGTCCAGCTACACAAGCTATGCTAACCATTAAATAGTCAAATCCACCTATGTACACCATAAAATGAAACCAGCCATCAAATAATATGGTCCTATAGCAAACATCAAATAGTATGGTCTAGCTATACTAACTGTGAAATAGTATTGTCCAGTAATACCATCCATCACATAGCATGATCCAGCTGTACTAACCATTTAATAGTATGGTCCAGTTATTTTAACCTTCAAATAACCTGGGTGCCACTATATCAACTTTAAAAATAAGCATGGTCTAACTACTGCAGTATGAAGGACCTGGTTCCATTCGGAGTTCTTTTGACAGTGGAGCCAGGCTGTGCCGTTTAGTTATTTTATTAGATAATGTTCTATTTGCTTTTGCATGTTATTGAATGTCCAAATTGTGAGTATTAAATATCATCAGTGTTAAGTTTCCACCTTTTCTTTTCTCACTAGCCTGTTTTCTGAGATGTCCAGTGCTTGGGACGGCTGTCAGAAGTATTTTTACCGCTCCTGGGCCAGACGCAACGCCATGCAGGCTGCACTGCAGACGGCTGCAAAGGTTTGCACTTTCAGTGGTTTGGTGATTTTTCTTCACTAGCAAAACATATGAACTAAGTTGTAAGTGACTGATTGCACCACTGCTCCTTCAAAGTAGGACTGCTACTCTCTGGATACCAAATCGATGGCTAAAAGTCAGTGGAAGTGTTTCTGTGTTTGTGTTCTATACACACAAACCACATAGCACCTAGGTGCGCTGTCGGTGCAGTGTTATGATGCTCTTGTGTCTCCTGTGTGTGTGTGTGTGTGTGTGTGTGTGTGTGTGCTGCGTAGGAGCTGGGTTTGGGGAGTGTGGAGCGTTGCCGTGGTTTCTCCTCTCACCTCTTCAAACTGCTGCTGAGACAACGACGCCGACTCACCAAATTAACAGAACACTGGGTGCACCTCAGGTACTGTCTTCATGTCAAAAGCCTTACACAGCATGATTTATTCGGGTGTCATTTAATGAATCTGATGACATGCATAACTGATTATATTTTGTACAGAAATGCAGTTTTTTTTGGAAGGCAAAAATGTAATGCAGACGACAAAAGTCATAAGGATTAGTTTTTCCTCGTCTTCATCAAATGCGGCAAAAGCATCTCCAAAAGCACCTCAAACTGAGTTGCAGGGGAGCTGTGTGCGAAAGCTCTCATGAAGTTCCAGCTCCTGAATGAGGAGGTGAAACCAGAGCTGGTTTAAGGGGGGCCTGGTCAGTTACTATTTCTGCCCTTATATCAAAAACATAACTGCAAAATGCACCTGTGAGTCCTCAATGAGTGGGACTGAATGGAGCTAAACAGCTAAAAACGAAAAGTTTAAATAGTTTCTAACCACAGGTCCAGGACTTTCCTTTAATTTTGGAAAGTAGAAGGATGTATTTCACTAAAAAAGCAAAGATAACTTACCTGCATAGTTCCTCAATAGTCAGGACCCCCACAGGACCACCACAGAGCAGGTATTATTTAGGTGGTGGATCATTCTCAGCACTGTAGTGACACTGGACAAGTCAGACTGAACTTACTTTCTTTCTTCAAAATGGCAGGAAGTTGATTGACAGCATCCAGGACGTCCGCTCACATGTGACCGATTCGAGTAAGGAAGAGGACAGTGGTCTTCCTCCTCAGGACTCTCTGCATGGCTGGGTGGTGAGGGCTCAGGCTCTGGCGCAGCAGTGCAGCGCGGCCTTGCAGCAGTTCTCCTGGGTTCTCCAGTGCTGTCCGGAGGGTACCTCTGCTGCACTGTCCCAGGCTGGACAGGGGGAAGCCACTCTGAGCCACCCGTCACCTCTGGCCCCTCACCTGCAGCCTCAGGCGTGTCTGATGAGGCGGGGCGAGGCGGGCTGGAGCGAGGGCAGTGCAGAGGGTGGAGGCTTTACACAGCGAGAGCACGCAGCTGAAAGAGAAGCTTAATGCTCTAGAGCTAGAGTCTACAAACGGAGCCATCCATACATGGTGAGTCAGTGGTCCACAGGGCCACAATCGGTTTTCTGGTGCAGATTCATTACACAACATCCTAACAGGCTCCTACACTAGTAAGAAAGAGAAGCCCACACTAGAGCGGAAAATGATTATTTCTTTAATCAGTTAATCGAAATTGTAATCACTTCTGCCCTTCAATGTCACCATCAGTCAGAGTTCCAGAGCTTCCTGTAGTGTGTATTGCAGTCTGTCAGAATAGCCATGTGTGCAATATGAACAACATAGTGAATTTTAGGGTGCTTTTGTATTTACAGGCTAATTCCACAGAATTATTTATGCGTAATTCCGTCATTGAGAATTAAACAGAGTGCTCAGTGTGGATTGGTTCAATGTAGAGAAAGTTTACAGTGGTTGTGATAGAAACCAGGGGTCACAGGCGTATCCAAAAGGAGCAGTGAAGGTACAGGTGTCTTTTGAGTTGTTATATGTAATGTTGGTAAAGGTAAAATTGTGCTGAATATAAAAAAGTAAGAAAAAATGGTACATTAAAAAGAACTAACTAAATAAATAAATAAATTTATGTACATTGTAACTGTACGTACCCCAACAGCTGGGCGCCAAACCAGACGTAGTCCATTGTTGCATATTTGTGTAGTTATTTAAAGACTTATAGGTTACATGGGAATTCCATTGACTCTTCAAAATTTCTGCATAATTCAGTCTTTGAAAGGTAAATAAAGTCATTCTGAGTGGTTTGATGTGAAGTGGTTCATTGTAGAGAAACTTACCGATTTCTTTACAGTGGTGTTGATAGGAACCAGGGGTCCCAATGTCTATAATGGAAATATTTTATTTACTATGACTTTTTAATATGCCTAAGTTTTTATATACCATTTTAATCATGGTAAACAGTAGTAAATCTGAAACAATATGTTATCTTTGAGGACTGTTTTTTCTTACAATGCCATGCAGGTGCCTCTCCACTTTGAATTTGTTTAAAAATGTATGTTTTATAGCAAAATCTGATCGCAAACCATCATACAACACTGTCTCAGACACCAAGCTGCGTAGAAGATGTCTGGATTCCATCAATTAGAGAAATCTAGAGAACATCACATCAGAAACTGCGCATCAGACTACTCTGAATGACTGTTTACATCTTAACCATTTAGTTTTTAGTAGTAGCTGGAGCTCCATTCTCATATTTCGTAGAAAAATCTATATGGTAGCTTAAATGACAGAGTTTACGTGCAACATAAAAGCTTCTGATGTCTAATCCTCATTTGAACCCTAGTATGTTTCTCTTCTCTCTTCCTCAGGAGCCACATGGAGCAGTGCTGCTCGTATGTATATGGTCTGGGGTCACTGGCGGGCCGCATGGTGGCTCTGGAGCAGCTCTTTGTCCCTGAGGGGTTAGCAGTGCTCAACACACAGCCGAGTCTGACCCGAGGGCTTCACGCGGTCAGGGGTGAGGTGGACACCTGCGTCACGGAGTTCACCGCGTGGAAATCTCAGCTGCTGTCACTCGGACAGACCTCAAAACGTGAGAGAAAGCCTACTAAGGCCTGGTTTAAGGGAAAGTTCAAGCAAGGAATGCTAATTTCTAAAGAGTTGATGTTGCGACTTTAGCTTTCTCTAAGTGTCACATCAGCGTGGTTTTTCTTGCTGAACTAATTCTTAAAGTAACACTTTGACTGAAGTTCTAACATGAATGAATGTAATAGCCATCACTTTAGTTACATGGTGCAAATAGCACGTATGCTGGAGGTTCCCATTAGCTATAATAGCTCTAAAAGTGAATTTGATTGGAATTCTCCTTGCTGCATTTTTATTTTTGAGCAGGTAATGTTCAAGTAGGTAAGTTTCAAGTAGTTCATGTTTAAAATTTTCAGAATATTTTTATTGAACAAAAAAAATTCTTGCTCTGTTCTCATATCAGTGTGTTCTCATCTCAGGTCCTGCTACGTCATTCCAGGCTGAGTTCTCGGAGCAGGTGGAGAGAACCATCAACACGGTTCTGTGTGCGGTGCAGAGCTTGGTGAAAAGGAGAGAAAGAGAGAGTGAGGGAGAACAACAGGCAGACAGCAGAAGGGGTGCGTATTTGATGTGTAATTTAATGTTATTATACAATTACATACACACGTCACAGATCTATACAATATATACAAATTACACGCAAAGCCACAAGGCCTCTGTTTTACTTACACAAAAAAGCAAAGTGTATGTTAAGTTTTTAAAACGTAAACACTGATAGTAACGCTGAGTTTGTCATCAGAGTAGTGAAAGGTTTTAAAGTAGACAACTCTGCTGCTGTGTATCTTTGAGTTGAAACTGGCAAAAATAATAATTATAATAATAAAGTTTTTACTACTGTATAGATCCATTTCTTCTCGTCCTCATCTTTTTCCCATGTCCTTAAGCAATTCCACAGTGTTGCTAGGATACTGCTCGATGGTTTTTATGGTGTTCCGGGTGGTTGCAAGGAAAATTCAATGGAATTGTTTCAGTATTACAGATGGTTTTAAGGTTGTTGGTTGCTGTAGTATTTTGGATGAAGTGGTGCTGTGGTATCTCATGTGGTTGCCACTTGGTTGCCAGGATGAGAAATCAAAGGAAAAAAAAAATTGAAAGCGCTTCATGCTTGAAGGAAGAATAAGAAGGGAACAAAAACACTATAAATTCTTATTCATTTCATGGCTTTTAATTATGACTGTTGATAAACATTTTTAACATACTGGATAACATACTTTCCGAGTATTTATATATTTGCGCATGTACATATTTATAGAAAGTGATTCCGAAGTGGCTGAAGAGCTGTTGAAGCCGGGTCACTTGAGCAGGCTGCTGGAAGAGGACCTGAGTGGGGACGTGTTGTCACTTTCCGTGCCTGACGTCGTGGGGGTGACGGAGCAGCTTCTGGAACGACTGAGATCCCACAGAGACGCCTGTTCGCCGCAGCACTTGGGAGTAAGATTTACACTGTAATAACTTTCTCCACATTCATTCCAGTGTTTATGGCGCAATAACACTAACTTGGCCTTTGTAATGTGCAGGAGATTAAGGAGGCCTGCAGGTTTCTGGTTCGTCTGGAGCCCATGCTGTGTGTGTACTCGGAGCTAGTGCGCTGGTACGTGGCTGTGTGCATGGGCACTCATCGCAGCACCGGCAAACTGCTGTCCGTCCTCGCCAGCCTCTTCACTGACCTCGGCCAGAAGGTAGAGTCAGAGCTACTTTTCATAGCGACTGTAAAATGCAAAACTGCACTTGCAACCAGTTTTTTGTTCTGAACTTTCAACCAGTTCTAAACTGTTTAGGTTCTAGTCCAGTCGTGTGCATTATATTTTTTGCAACTGGCGCAACCTTTACCACATCTTTATCTGGCTGGCTGACGTTTACCTTTTATTGATATTGTTTCTAGAGGAGCTGTGTTCACTTTTTGTTCATGTTCTAAAACAGGTCATCAGAGAGCTTGAAATGGATAAATTATCATGTCATACTAATGATTTATCATGTCTTACATGTCTTCTCTTTCTCTTCTGCACGTACAGGGGTTTTGTTTGCCGCAGGAGCTGATGGGAGGAGGTGATGGGGAGGGAGCTACAGAGTTCCATGACTATGAGGGTGGGGGTATTGGAGAGGGAGAGGGAGTCAAAGACGTCAGTGACAAGATTGAGAATGAAGATCAGGTAACGCTCGGCAGATCCTGTCCGAAAGCTAAAAATAAAAAAGAAGGCCAGACCTGTTAAAGGCTTTTGTCTATTTTGTGCAGGTTGAGGACACGTTTCGGGAAGGACAGGAGAGAGAGGAGGAGCCAGACCAGCGAGACATTAAAGAGGAAGACAACGCCATCGAGATGTCTGAGGACTTTGATGGAAAGATGCACGACGGCGAACCTCGAGAACCAGGTGAGTCATGTTAAATTGAGGACTCTCAGTTTTACTATAGCGATTTCAAGTGATGCACCCGTATGAGAATTTGTTATTTTCTAAAATTTATAAAATGTAGAACTGTGACTATACCCAGCTTAATTGTGTACTACAATACCTTAAACTAACAATGTTTGCTATCTGGTGTCGACCAGAGGAGGATGGGTTCCCCTTCTGAGTCTTAGTTCCTCTCAAGGTTTCTTCCTCTTGCTCTTAGAGAGTTTTTCCTTGCCACTGTCGCCACTGCGACGCTCATGGGGGTTTGGACCCGGATTTCTTTCTGTAATGCTGATTTTATTTTCTTCTGTAAAGCTGCTTTGTGACAAAGTGCTATACAAATAAAAGTGCTATACAAATAAACTTTACGTAATTACTTACTTAATCTGCATTACAGATAGAAATGCAGTAAAATTAACACACACACACACAAATTTATTTATATATATAAGTGTGTGTATATGTGTATGTGTGTGTATACACATACACCTCTGTATCCAGGCATTGCCTTAACATTCTGCTCTTCCAGAGTAAAATAATAACTCTTAAATAAATACACTAATTCGTCAAGTAATGGTTTGAAATATCTATTAAATCCAAACATCTGTCCAGTGCTGATACTGTTACAGCACCAATATTATTGTGCTTCCCTGCACATTTCTGTATTTTAACATGAAACATAGAAATAGACATATAATAAATATAAATATAAAAAATGAAACAGGCATAAAAACTCAAACCTAGGAATGAAAAAGATAAATAAATAGGTAAAATAAAAAAGACATCTAAATCTAGAAACTAAATCTAGTAATTTGTAAAATACTGCTGGAAATTTGTCAATTGATTGTATTGTACGAGACCAAATAGAAAAAAAAACACTATGTATATATGTACTATAACTATTTATTGCTTATGAATATGCTCCTATTTGCCCCTAAAAAAAGGAAGCCCAGCCCTGTTACTACTATTAAATAAATGCTGTGAATAAAGTAAGATATAAATTTTACATAATAAGTTATTATTAAGTTTAAGAAGTGTTTATTTTTTATTCTCTTCTCTAATTTACAGGTGAGGATGAGGAGGACTCTGATGAAGAGCAGAATGAGGAGCTGGATAAGAAGATGGGAGATCTGGGAGATGGGCCGACGGACACCCTGGATGAAAGGATGTGGGGTGATGAAGATGACGATAATGACGACCTTGACGGCAGTGATAAGGAGGAAGAGTCCGGGCCGGGAATGGACCAGGTGATGACAGTTTATTGAACAGTAGTGCTGAATGGTAGTCGCACTCCTAGATAAACTTTTTTTGGACTTAATGTTAACATTTGGCTGGCGCTCAGATGGATTGGGTTGAGATGCTTTAGTTTTTGCCTTAAAGGGGAATTCCACTGATATTTCAAAATTTCTGCGTAATTTATTCAGTGAGAATTGAAGAAAGTCATTTAGAGAGTTTTGATACATGTAGCCATTTTATGTACTGTACTGTAGTTTTCTTTGGGAACAGTTTTGCCACACAACGTCCTGCATGTACCGTCCATCATAAACAGATATAAAAATATGTTTTAGACCAAAATCTTGTCTCAGAACTACCATAAACATTGTCTTGAGCGTTAGTGTGTATCAATAACCGTTTCATGTCTATCTTTCTGTGAGGCAGCTTTTAGAGGTGTTAAACTTTTCAGACATTTGGTTCCTATCACCACCACTGTAAACAATTCTGACTCCATAAATTTCTCTAGAATGGAACATTTCACACCAAACCACTCTGAATGACTTTGTTGACATCTCTACTATTTAATTATGGAGAAATTAAAGAGAGAAATTTCCCTTAACCGTCATTTTTTTGTCAGTTGTAAAGTTATTAAGCAAAGGCTGTGCTGGCTACAAGTCTCGTTGGGTCGCGTTTATCGATTGTTGGTTGTTTATTGAGAAGTTTACTGCAAAAACAGAGGAGAAGTATATTTCATAAATGTAAACATCAGTGCTGTTTTGCCGTCTTTGATTGGTCGAATGCGATTCTGTAGGGAGAGTCTGAGTTGGTTGCCAAGGACGACAACACAGACGCTGGGGAGTCCAACAAAGATAAGAAGAACCAGGACAAAGATCATCCGATGGACAGCGAAGACCAAAAGGAGAAAGTACATGAGCAGATAGATGAGGTACTTTTCAGTTGAGGGGCTCCACCTCGAGCAGTTCTTTCTCATAGAAATGTGTGGTTAAGATTTACTCTTTAGGCTTGTTTTCTAGTCTGTAATGGTTTTCTGTGCCTTTAAAGTTACAGCCATCAAAATATGCATGTATAGTACTGGGGAAATGGAGGTCAGCCATGAGGTCCAAACTTTTATTAAAACTTATGAATTGTGTTGTTTGATATGTAATTACAGAATGGTATGTTTTAGGATAATAAACATGTTATAAGGGTTAAGCTAACACACTGACAGATAAAAAAAATCACTATTTACTAATCTCTAATGTTGGCATTCTCCAAAGCAAATAAACACTTCCATCATAATTCATTTAAATGCAGCTCAAGGTGCACATGTACATGTACCATGCACCTTTGTAAGCACTAGAGGAGTAGCCTGAATGTGTTTTGTTGTACTGTTTGTGTAATGTACATGCATAATAACTCTGAAGTTAAATTGAATTAAGTTTAAGTGCTTTACAGTTCAAAAACAGGAGGGAGTAAAAAGAAAACAAACTTTTGTTAAAATAAAACAGTAAAATAGCCAAAAAATAATACACGTGCAAAAACTAAAAGCAGGGACAAAAAATACAAGAATTAAAAAGTACACAGTGATGCACCAATGCCAAAGTGAAACAAATCCACTTGAATAAATAGCTTTAACACTACATTGTGTACGTTTGACCTCTCTGGTGGAAATGTGTAATTGCACACAACACATGGAAGAACACACTGTAATGCCATTTGTGCTTCACTTCTGCTTAGTACTGTGTTTAATGTGTCTGTGTGTGTGTGCAGCGTGAGTTCGATGAGAACGAGGTGGACCCCTATCACGGCAAGCAGGAGCACAAGACTGAGCCGGAGGCCATGGACCTGCCGGAGGAGCTCAACCTGGACGAGGACGAGCAGGGAGGAGAGGACGAGGGGGGAGAGGGAGATGGTGAGTGATGAAGATGTCTGTTTTTGTTTATTAACACTTTAGTGGTCAAAGAAAATATCCGTGTTCAGGTCCTTTTTATTAACGTGACTGGAATTCTGTGTGTTTTTGACATGAAACAGTTGTAGTTGTATATTTATATGTCACATAATGTTTTTCGACTATTCTTTTAGAAGCATTTGCAGCTCTGTTTATTCCGTGCTTGTCTTGTTTATTTTTTATTAGCTTTGTAGCTGTAGCTTATTTTAAGACCTGGAAATTTTGTATATTACACATTAATTGCCTTTTATATTCTTAAAAAAACTTGATTCCAAACTTTTAAATCATAATGTCACAGATTTTAACAGGTTTATAAATAATTCACTTGCCACAAGCTTGTTGAAGGGCTTGCCATGTTTAAATGAAGCGCGTCATTTTAGAGTTCTTCTGTTTTTCTGCTCTAGCCGAGAACCCGTATGACATCGAGGACAAACCCATGGAGGTAGACGAGGCGGAAGGCAACGGTGAGGAAGAGGGAAGCACAGAGATGATGGAAGACCAACAGGATGGTGAAGGAGGAGAAGACAAAGAACAGAAAGGAGAGGAAGACGCAGGAGAGGAACAAACAGAGGGGGAGGAAGACTCTGAAACAGATGAGAGAGGAGGGAATGAAGGAGAGGAGGATGAGGACGAGAAGGAGAGAGGACAGGAAGAAGGGAGAGAGGAGGAGAAGTCTATCCCGGCTGACCAGGGCCAGAAACCAAAGGTTTGTTTGTATGTCACTTTTCTACAGGAGAGCAGATGAAATGTAGCTCATTAACTACATAGTTAAAGGAGAATCTGAGCAGAATAAGAAAAGCTGTCGATTGAAAACACAATTCTGTCATACTGATTATACACCGATCAGGCATGACATTATGACCACCTCCTTGTTTCTACACTCATTGTCCATTTTATCAGCTCCACTTACTATATAGGTGCACTTTATAGTTCTACAATTACAGACTGTAGTCCATCTGTTTCTCTGCATACTTTGTTAGCCCACTTTTACCCTGTTCTTCAGTGCTCAGGACCCCCATGGACCCTCACAGAACAGGTACTGTGGTTGATCATTCTCAGCACTGCAGTAACACTGATGTGGTGGTGGTGGTGTGTTAGTGTGTGTTGTGCTGCTGGAGTTTTTAAACACTGTGTCCACTCACTGTCCACTATTAGACACTTCTACCTTGTCAGTCCACCTTGTAGATGTAAAGTCAGAGACGATAGTTCATCTGCTGCTGCAAAGTTTGTGTTGGTCATCCTCTAGTCCTTCATCAGTGGTCACAGGACGCTGCCCACAGGACGCTGTTGACAGGATATTTTTGGTTGGTGGACTATTCTCAGTCCAGCAGTGACACTGCGGTGTTTAAAAACTCCAGCAGCACTGCTGTGTCTGATCCACTCAGACCAGCGCAACACACAGTAACACAACACCACCACATTAGTGTTACTGCAGTGCTGGGAATGATCCACCACCCAAATAGTACCTGCTCTGTGGTGGTCCTGTGGGGGTCCTGACCACTGAAGAACAGGGTAAAAGGGGGCTAACAAAGTATGCAGAGAAACAGATGGACTACAGTCTGTAACTGTAGAACTACAAAGTGCACCTATATAGTAAGTGGAGCTGATAAAATGGACAATGAGCGTAGAAACAAGGAGGTGGTCATAATGTCATGCCTGATCGGTGTATATTTAAGGACAGAAAGTCTATCAGCATATCATTACCTCTGTAAAGACCTTTGTCTTATAGTTCATATTGTTACAGATGTTCAGAATGTGTTTTCTGAATTATTAACTTTTAGCGAAGAACTGTTATAATTTGCCAACATTGGGTGTTTTTAATGTGCTCTTCATCAGGAGGAGGAGCAGTCTGGTGAGGATGATGATGAACCACAGGTAGAATCAGCTGAGAGAAAGGAGCACGCGACTGATGGGCAGACGGGCGAGGAGAACGTTCAGAGTGAGACGGCAGTGGAGCTGGCAGGTGCTGCGTCAGAACGAGACCAGGCCAAAGAGGTACACCCCACTCCCTCAGTCAGTCGTTAACTGTTAACCCATTAATGTGCATGTCTGAAATTGGTCTTTGTCGTCACAATATTTTAGACATCTCATTATCTTATTATATTAAATGCAGTTGTTGCACAAGAATGGGTTAAACTGTGATAGTCGAATAATGAATATGCAGCTACTTATTTGTGGAAATTGCTCATTTTTTGTGCAAATGCAGGTTGATTTCTTTTAATATAGTCTCACACACACCCTTAAACATTTGCCTCAATAATTAATGCTCACATACCATAATTGATTTCATACATGTACATTGACAACTTCAATCCTTCACTGGCTTTGTATCTCTCTCTCTCTCTCTCTCTCTCTCTCTCTCTCTCTCTCTCTCTCTCTCTCTCTCTCTCTTTTCTCTCTCTCTTTTCTCTCTTTTCTTCTCTCTTTCCTTCTCTCTTTCTCAGGAGCACGGCAGCGGGGCAGCTGATGCCAGTCAAGCTGAGGGACACGACTCGAAACTGATGGCGAGGATGAGCTCTCAGAGACAGAGACAAAAACAAACACAGGTGATCGAGTCTGCTGTCTTCACAGGAGGGACCTCTGCAGCTAAAATACAACATAAACACTGCATTTCACTGCTATCGGAAGAAAACCTTGTATCTCTATTTTTGTCGTTTTCCAGTTTTTGACATAATTTGAAAATGTCTGTTGTCCTTTATATTGTGTGTAAATTTCATGATAAACTGACCAAAAAAATGGCCCAAACTTACTTGGAAAAGTATCTGTTTCCATTGACGTACATTAAAAGTAAAGTATGTTTTTCCTTCTTCTGTAAAGTTACCATTTTGGAGATACGAGGTTTTCTTCTGACAACAGCGATTTATATTACAGCAATGCAAATTTATTAGGCACAAAATTTAGAGCAGAAACACTTATTTGACATTAGTGATGTTAAAACAGTCGTTGAAAAGTATTTGTGGTCCATTGTTTTCTGTACCTAAACTTTTCCAACCTCTCTTTATCCTGTAGATCCCTGTGGTGTGTGTGTGTTGTGTGTGTATAAACATAGCAAGGTACATGACATAAGGGCACTGTCTCCTGTCTCCTAATGCGGATTGTAACGCTGTGATATATTTATGTGCTCAGAGTTTTAAGCGGAAGCCGGGGCGGGCAGATAACGAGCGCTCTCTGGGTGATGCTAACGAGCGGGTCAACAAGCGCCTGCGTACGATGGAGAGCGCGGAGCGGAGAGAGCAGGAGCAGACCTCAGCTGACGCTCTACAGGAGTCTGACCTGTACGAACACATCAAACAAGGAGAAGAGAAATACGATGCGCAAACATATGGTGGGGCTCTCACGTTATGCCAAAAGACTACCTTAATCGTCACTTTATATTTATATTAGATAAATACTGAATTTATTTTAAATTGATTTACAATGTTATAGACTGCGTTCGATTCTCTCTCTCTGTTAACCCCTTTTCACATTCAACACGAAAGACATGATTGGGACACTTCTGCTTACTTAATTACTTGATAGGATACCTAAATACCTTTGAGTTCCTATGAAAAAGCATGTGTGAAAGGGGCTTTAGACTGTAAAAGTTGTGTTGAGATTTCTTTGACATGCGTTTGGTCTGTCTGCTCTAGATGCTGCAAGCACAGAGCAACAGAGGCCTGCTGCTATGAAGCAGGAGGATGATGATGATGATGAGGAAGATGACATAGCCATGGATACAGATGAAGAGAAAGAACTGCAGGCAGTAGAAGCTCCAGAGCTGAAGCCAGAGAAGATGGACAGCTCTAAGGCCTCTAAAAGAGGTACATACACCTCCTGGCTTCTAAGCATGTCTAGCCAAGTGTTTGTATTGACTGACTGATGCAAACTGATAGAATTTCACTGACTGTTTACTGAATTTCGTCTATTCTGCTATAATTTCAATCAAGATGTAATAAATTTCTACATATCTCCCTGAAACCCAGCAGAGATTTGGGGTTGCTTATCGATTGCTGTTGGGCTACTCAGGGACGGCGCCTGATTTCAGTAATTAAATATGGCAGCAGCAGAAGAAGAAATCAGCATGACAGTCCAGAAAACGCAAAGCCAGACTTTATTAGTCTGGAAATACTTAATAAAAGACTTTGTCAGCAGAAAATACAACAATAATGCACACTGCTTGACCTGTCTCAGTTATTACATACTGGTCTGATGGCAGGGCTGCAGTGGGACTTGTTTTCAGGCTGGAAGTTACATGATGCAGGCCAGCCCACCCCAGATTCTAACTGTGTTTCTCATGCTACACGCACACCAGTGGCGCAGTCAGAACGTAGGCCTGTGAAAAGTGGGTAGGCCAAATTAGTAGATACAACTTCCAAATGCCCTAACGTCCCACAATGTATGCATCAGGCTGTAGGCGATTCCGGACACCAGGTCGGTCACCACCTTAGCTATTCCTCTATTACCTATTTACCATCACGTAACGCTTCCACTCCCAATGGTAATATCACCATATTCTTGCAGTCAACCAGAGTACTGGATTTGCATAAACACAATGAACACTGCAACGTCCTTTACTATAAAGACTATAAAACATGCTTCCTCTCACCCCAGACTAGTTTATCCAATGAAGACAACATAACAAAAATCAGCTGAGATGAAAATAGTTATAAATAGAAAATAGATGAAAATTCTTAAGTTTTAAGAAAATAGACTTAATTTTTATAAACTTAAGAAAAAAAGCCTGAACCTAATCATCCTAAAGCACACTATCCAAGGGGGCAAACTCAAAGAAGACGACATGACTGAGATAAAATCAAACAGCTGAGATGTGCAAGGATGAGGAAAAACAACACAGCAAGTTTAAAATCAAATCCAATTATCAAATCCAGAACATAATGCCACAGTGGCCATAAAAATGGTCCATTCCTGTCTTATGTTTGAATCACTCAAGTAATATTAGATGTTTTTGAATGGGCTTTAGATGAGTAGAAAATGGCATATTCTGTGTGATGCAGTCTCACTTATTATATTCAAACACTGGCACACTGATAATGAACTGAAGGCTTGAAGCAATGGCAGCAACTGATGCTGTGCAGTGTTCAGAAAGTTGATTTAAAGAAGGTGGTGTTCGTAATGATTTTATTCACCATAAAACAATGGCAGCACTCATAGAAAACAAATTAAATTGCATTACCTTAAAAAAAAATCTTAATAAAGCTTAGTATTTCCTCTATTTCATTGGGTTTGATTGGCCTGTAATCAATCTGTGTAGACCCAGGCCCAACCATGGCCTATCAAAGGCTACATACACACACATGCTACAAACTAATGCTAGCTAAGTAAGTTAAGGTCAGAATTTCTCACTGTAGACCTGCTCGGCTGTGTCCTCCTTAAGTAGCTTTTTCATTCTTGCCTTCTTGGTGCCACCATGGTTTTTTGCAGTTCTTGCCTCCACTGTTCATCTTTACATGATTCACGTGTGAAAATTGCTACGTAGGTAATGCAGAGAAATTGTAATGAACACAGCAGAGCAATGAACTCTGTGCTCTTGAAAATCTAGGAAGGCTAGCTGAGCATCAGCTGTGCAAACACTGCACAGCTCTGTGCCTAGAAGGCTTCAAGCTGTCGTCCAAAAGAGACAATATGCAACAAAATACTGACCTCAATAACATAATAAATACTGAGCTACATAAATGAAAGCACTTTTACCCGCCTTACTAAGTTTTCAGATCATTTTGAGTGTCAGTTAGTAATCCTAGTTGTTATTGTTGGCTGTTATATCTTTTCTGATGGATACAAAAGAATAAAAAATAGCTTTAGCTTGGAAAATAATAAAAAAGTCAGACAGAAATTGAATTTATAAAGTGTCCCAATGCTACTGTTGGAAGACATTCAAACTTGTTTTGGTGCACTATTTGTTTTATGGTTACTGGTCTACTATTTATCTACTATTTATACTATTTACCCATTTATTTGTATATTTTTGACAAATTTGATAGTAATATAATGCGCCTGTGTGTTTGTGTCTCTCTCCTGGCTTCTCTCAGGTATGGAAGAGGGAGAGATGGAGAGCCAGAAGCAGGCTGACAAAGAGGAGGATGAAAAGCCAGAGAGACAGGGAGAGTCGTGATGAAGAAGAGAGGAAGGAGAGGAGTAGAGAATCTACCATCCACACTGTACCAGAACTGCTGACAGAAACGCTCAAGGTACCAGTGCATTGCCCTGGAGATGATAAAGCACTAAGTTGTATCAGCCCGTTTTGCTGAATCTGTTCATGTTCATGTTCATGTGTGTGTGTGTGTGTGTGTGTTTTTGTGTGTGTGTGTGTGTGTGTGTGTGTGTGTGTGTGTGTGTGTGTGTGTGTGTGTAACAGCTCCCAGCGAAGGACCCAGAACTGCTGAGGCGAGAGTTGGAGCTGCAGTTGGAAGACTGGCAGAAGCAAACTGCAGGAACAAAGGAAGAGGTACTGTACTTTACATGATGGGCCAAGATTCTTTTGCATAATTGTGATCACAAAAATACATAATTTTTAGATCAGATTTGAGCCAACTTCATATGTGTTTACATACTAGATTAGATACATATCCTGTATATGTCCATATGGTTATAATATGAAAGCTCAGATCTGTATTTTTTTCATTTTTACCCAGTTAACCACATATGCTAGTACATACTGTCATATGCAAAAGTTTGGGTGACGCTGGTCAGATGACAGCTTTTGTTGATTGAAAATAATGAAGTGAAAATAATAACTAAAACATCCACTACAGAGAACACACTGTACATTTTAATATATATTTACTGTTTATTTGCTGAATTTTGAATGTTAAAACAAAACATAAACAATCTATATGTTGTGATTTTTTTTTTCTAATGTATTAAACTCAAGCATTACAAACAGGAATTGTGTGCTAAAAATTGGAGAAAAGTGCTATAATTATTTTTTTTTTTACCTGTAGAGGACGCGTTCACTTATTACCAGTTATTAGAAAATCAGCAAGACAGTTTTGCAATTTGAGTTTAAACTTCTGCATACGATTGTATTTGTGGATAATTTTAGCTAGCAATAAATTACACAGAGCAGCAGCTTTTTTGAGAAACTCAGATGTTCTCATATGGGACATAACAGATATAAACTGATGTCTAAACAAAATTGTAAGCAATGTTCACCAGAAACGACTGAAAACAGTCTGGAGTGCCAGTTAAATTGAACAATTTAAATTCACTTCAGGTTGACTAAACACAGTCATTTAATAGAGGAGCCACAGATCTAACACAGGTGATCTGTATCAGAGTCTAGTATCTGGGCATAGATGAGCATTTTTTTATAGGTGATGCTTGCCTGTATTTAAAGTATTATGGTATGTAATCGTTCATACTAATTTATTGCATTTGCAGATCTACATTTTTCTTGGTAAATGTTTTATTTATAAAATATGATATTCAAATGACATGACTTTTCACATTTATGTCTCCTCTATGCGATGTATTATAAAACCTACATTGATGTGCTTCTTGGTAAAATGTAACCAATACGTTTTGGGGCATACAGATTATTTTTTTATTATTATTATTTACTATTTGTTTTATGATTTCTTTATTATTATTATTTATCTTTTTTTCCTAAGCTGAATTCTCCCCCACGTCCCTATTTAATATGTTCTAAGGTGTGAGCTGTGTTCTGTGGAGTTCTACGTAGGTAGCAGGTAGTCTTTAATACCAAATGGTGATGTTAAATAATATTGTGGCTGTGACTATTTGCCCAAGGTTTTCTTCCAAGTACACTGAGCTTATTTAAGTTCCTTGTTGACTCAGTCTGTTCGTGTGTCTGTCCGTGTGTCTGTCTGCGTCTGTGTGTGTCCGTGTGTGTCCGTGTGCGTGTGTATCGTCCAGGAGAGCGCAGCAGCGGCGATGTGGCAGCAGTATCAGACCCTCACGTCTCCTCTCTCACAGCAGCTGTGTGAACAGCTCCGGCTCATTCTGGAGCCCACGCAGGCCTCCAAACTCAAGTTAGTCCCTCTCTGTACTTTCACTATTGCTCTCTCTCTCCCATTCTTTCTTACTTTCTCTCTTCAGTGGCATACAACTGACAATGTATTTATGATATTGTTATGAAAGTGTCGTCTTGCGATTATCATACACAGTTAACTATGTATGTATGTATGTATGTATGTATGTGTATATATATAGAAATGATGCTCATATAATTAAATGTTTGTTGTATTTATGCACAGTAGGCCATATTTTTGATAAATGTTCTTGGTTGTAGGAGAGACACATAGGAATTGTTTTTCCCGTCAAAAAAAATCCTGTCCATAATAGTTTTTCCTCAACATTTAGGACAAAATACCAACAAACTGCCTAAAATCTTACTATATTACAGTTTCCTTTTCAGTCGCTTACATCATCAGGCATTTAAAAAAGCGTAAAACCTATTTAGCATATCTTGGTTTGTCCTTGTCCTTGGTTTGCGGTTAACCTCGTTCTTCTGTCTGGACCGTGTGCAGGGGGGACTACCGCACAGGGAAGCGGCTGAACATGCGTAAGGTCATTCCCTACATCGCCAGCCAGTTCCGCAAAGATAAAATCTGGCTGAGGAGGACGAAACCCAGCAAGAGGGACTATCAAATCTGCCTGGCTGTGGACGACTCGTCCAGTATGGTGGACAACCACTCCAAACAGGTGCAGTATGAGTAAAATACCTGATCTTGATAGTAGTGATTTAAGAAATACATGTATTTTAGTTGTTGCTAGCTTTCATAAATGACCATGATACATATATAGAATGCATGAAATATGATATTTATATATTATAAATATTGGAAGACTGAAATCTTGTTGAGAATAAAACTGGTATTTTGACCGAGTCTATGTTTTATAATGTACTTCAATGACAATTTACACCAATTTACTTGTGTTCATGATACTTATAAGCTATTTTCTTTGCATAGTGAAAAATGTGGTCATGTATTCCTGTATTTGCTGAAACACCCATATATAAATGTATTGTACTTACATAAGTAACTGAATGGCCTGCCTTTGTAATGGACCTGTTCTCTGGATATGAGGGATTTTCAGCCCTTGTACTACGTAAATCAGTTCTGGCTCACTTATTTCTTTCTTCTTTCTAATGTGTGCATGTGTTTGTGTTTGTAGCTGGCGTTTGAGTCTGTCTCTGTAATAGTGAACGCTCTGACGCTGCTGGAGGTGGGACAGGTAGCAGTGTGCAGGTGAGTCCATTCTCAAACAGTTCAGTCTGTCATCTACACTGACGCTCAGTGTAAAACTGCTTATCGCTGCTGTGGGATAAAAAACCTTGTGTCTCCATTTTTTGTCATTTTTCAGTTTTTGACATAATTTGAAAATACCTATGGTCTTATATATTGTGTCTGAATGAAGAGTGACCAAAAGATCTGACCCAAAATTACTTGGAAAAAAGTCTGGTTCCATTGACTTACATTAAAAGTAGGGTATGTTTTTACCTTCGCCTGTAAAGTTCTCATTTTGGAGAGGTTTTGGTCCAACAACAGCGTTGGTGGATCTTTTGGCAGACATGAGACGGACACAGGGTGTGTAAATAAATAAGGCATAATTTTGCTCATTCTAATTTATCTAGTGTCCTAAATATGACCCCCATAATTAAAGGGACAGTATAGTCCCTTTGTGGGAACAGTGGGCTTTGCCTTTCATGCTAACATGTTGATTTTATTGTTTTATTATTCACAGCTTTGGCGAGAGCGTCCAGCTGCTCCACCCTTTCCACCAGCAGTTCAACGACCAATCAGGAGCCAGAATACTGCGACTCTGCCAGTTCCAGCAGAAAAAGACAAGAATAGCTCAAGTAGGGATCTTCTATTCTCTTTGATTCCACTTATGATTTTAAACATACTGATTTTTGGATAACCATCACTATTATCTGGTATTGTGTTGATAATACAGACTAAGACAAAGTCTACAAAGTGGCAAGGCAGGTTTTGCTGCCCTCCTCAGTCCTATGTAGCGCATGCTTTTCTCTACACAGCTGTGTTCTGAATCTACTGAATGTGGACGTTGTATAAATGAATGTTTTGTTTCATCAAGACTGCTGTGAGTCTGATCTGAAACTTTCTTGCTTGTCTTTTTCAGTTTTTGGAGTCTTCAGCTAACATGTTTGTGGCAGCTAAACAGCAGAGCCCTGGCTCAGCAAATACAGGTAAGAGTTCACGTTCCTTACAGGCTGAATTCCTGAATTATTGTCTCTGACTTCGCAGATTCATAATGGTTCTTTAAAAATTATTCCATGATCATGAAATTTTGAACTGCACCATGATTTGATTATTTGGGTACATAGACCGAAAAAACACTTTTTTTTTTTTGTTTTATGTTTAAAAATAGTCCTCCCAAAATTATTTTGCCCAAAAAAAATAGCATACAGTTTCTTGAATGTTATAATTAGTGGCCAAAAACCAAACCACCATTTCATTTATGCTCTTGAATAAATGGGATCAATTTAAAAATACAAAGTAATAAAGAAAATACGTGTTTGTTTTTGATAATATATGTTTTCAATAGAATGAAACTGAGCTGACAATACACAAAAACACAACTCAGTCAAACATCATCAACAACAGAAAATGGCCTGTAATCCAAGGCAATGAATTCCATTTTTTTTAGTTATGCTTTGCACTTTGTTGCTGTCTTTTGGGGAATTTTTTCATCATTTCAAAAGCTGAGCCTACAGATGGCGTCATATTCAGCCAGACTTTCTGCTTCTTGATGTTTTCGAATGGTATCAAGCCTGTAGTGGAGAAGTTCTTGAACTTTGTATTCTAATGATACTCAAACAGAAATCATAGATGTCCCTCATAGAAACAATGAAACAGTTCAGTGTACCCAGCTTTTTTTTAGATCTGCTTATTGATTAGAATTGATTCTGTCATTGGAAGATGAGTGCAGGTCAATCCATCAGTGCAGTTTGGTATATACTTATTTACTTATTTTATATAAGTAAATAAGCATATACTAATTTTATTGTTTATTACCATTCTTTAATCTTTTTATTTTTTTTGTCCCTCTCTCTGCAGAGACGGCTCAGTTGTTGCTGATCGTGTCTGATGGCAGAGGTTTGTTCCTGGAGGGGAAGGAGAGGGTCGCGGCTGCAGTTCAGGCTGCTCGGAGTGCGAATGTCTTTGTCATATTTGTAGTGCTGGACAACCCCAACTCCAGGGTGAGCACCACTGTAACTTCATTCTCAATGTTCAGCTTTTGCATGCGCACATTTCTACAGGAGAATTATGATTGTTCAAAGTTACTACATAATAACGAGATGGAAAGTCATTCAGAGTGGTTTGATGTGAAATGGAGAGACACTTACTGACTTTGACTGCTCTATAGTGGTGGTGAGAGGAACCAGGGGTTGTTATGTTGTGATGCCTAAAACACAAATATAGTCATTTTATTTAGTATCCAAAACCACCAGTGAACCTACATGCATCTTTTGAGTACTCATATGTAATGTTGATGATGGTATTTTTTCAGTGTTAAATCTGAAAAAATAAGTTTTAAGCGGAACCTTGTAGCGTTCTCTGTGTACACTGCAAAAAATTGTATCTTGTCAAGTGAAGTGGTCTTAAATCTAGTTGATGTATCTAATATTTCTTATTTTGAGATTGTTGTGAACTTGTTATTAGATTTTCTAGCTTATTTCTAGCATAAAATGTTTTAGGTTATTTTATTTAGTAAAATTATCTCACTATACTGGCAGGTAATTTTGCTGGTTTCAAGCACATTTCTTAAAACAAGGCAAAATTATCTGCCAACATAATGAGAGAATTTTACTAAATCACTTAAAACAAGTAAAGTGTTTGGAAGTACATTGAATGATCTTAAATTAAGCATACAACAATCTTGGTGTACAACAGGAGAAATATTAGATGTATTGACTATATTTGTGATACTATTACTTGACAAGATACCATTTTTTGCAGTGTACCCCTCCTCTATAAATGAATAAAAAAAAATAGATCTAAGGCTGATCTCAAAACTATCAAAACGACATCTCAGACATCAGGCAACATATTCATAACCATTTTGTGTGATAACATTCTGTGAGGGAGCTTTTAGGGGCATTAAACTGTTCCTCAGACGTCTGGTTCCTATCACCACCATTGTGAACTCTTTTGGCTTAGTAAGTTTCTGTAAAAGGTCACATTTGACATCCAACAGCTCTGAATAGCTTTGTTTACATCTCAACCTTTTAATGATCTCAGCGGACGCTGACCAGTTTTGCCTCTCATTTGTCAGGACTCCATACTGGATATCAAAGTGCCCATCTTCAAAGGGCCGGGGGAGCTGCCAGAGATCCGCTCGTACATGGAGGAGTTCCCCTTCCCCTTCTACGTGATCCTGCGCGACGTCAACGCTCTGCCCGAGACGCTGAGCGACGCACTGCGGCAGTGGTTCGAGCTCGTCACTGCCACGGACCAGTAGCTACGCGTGCGGAAGCCGTCAAGCAGGGGCCACACATCTGCACAAAATTCCCGGTGCTGCTAGCCCTCCCGGACACGGAGACTCAGACAGATGCACACACACGCATCCACACATCGGACCGGCTGCTGTACATGTGCCTTTTTTTTTCTTAATTTTGGTATTATTTTATTGAATTGTAGTTGCAGCAGTGGCTGCTATTACTATTCCTCACATTGACTAGGAATTTGAAGAGCTTTGGATTATAATAGTATTTTTTCCTCTCTCTCTCTCTCTCTTGCTCTCTTATTGTTACCATCATTCAACTTCTGCACGCGTTTCCGTTTTTGTCTTGAAAGAAAATGTGATTCTCTACCATTTTGAATGAAACAAAAGCCTTCAGTTGGACTCTGTGAATGTGGACGCGTGGTCCCAGGCTCATTCATTCTGTACATGTCCAGTTTCCAAATGTGAAATACTGTTCGTCGAGTGCGAATGGCACTGCCAATGCTCATCTAACGTGATCGATATGCCCAGAAAAAGGTGCACGTGGATGTGGATATTCTCGTCCTGACACATTTGAAGAAATCCAGCAAAAATGTGCCTTTTTAAGACTCCCCCACTTCCTTATCTCTGCTTGGACGGCATCACTTGGACAGTATGTGCAGGAAAACTCATTGCCTGTGCACATTTTTAAGGATTCTGACTACTGTATCAGGCCGTTATGTCCCACACGCCTGAAAGTGCTGCTAAATGAGGCATTTGGTTATGAATTCAGCATTGTTAGATCTACAGCCCTGGAGGGCCTTCGTCCAGCACAGTTTTCTGAATTCCCTTCTCAGAAACATCTGAATCAACTCATCCGTTCATCATCATGTTTAATACATGTGGTCAAGTAGGCAGATCTCCAAAACTGCTAGGATCTGGCCTTTCCTGGCCGACAGAAACTGAAGGTACAAACTCCACATCCTGTGACCAGGCGTGTCAACTTTAAATACATTTCTTTGGCATCGTTTTTATTAAACTACTTCTAGGAGACACTGTTTCAGTTTAGTATGTGCATTCTGTGTTCAAGCTGGTAGCCTCAATAAAAAAAAAGGATTCTTCCTGTACACAACATTTCAACCCGTAGCTCAGCGTATGTCTTGGGTCTTCAAACATCAACACCTTCAGTGGGGAAATAATAATAAAAGATTTTTGGACCTGTCTTTTCATGATGGCCTGATTTGATGTTGGATCTTAAGATGTGGAGGATCTTATGAGACACATGTGACTGATACCTGTTGGCCAGTGGTAGTTTTTGCTCATATTCCGTTAAAAAACAGTTGTAAGCACTTGTACAAACTGAAGGAGACACAATTTTTAGTATTTGGCCAGAACTTTTTAAGAAGTGTATTAAAAGAATAAATAGGGAAAATGTACTGAAGACGTGTCATTTTTTCAGACTTTCTGCTTTGGGTTCATTAAACAGGAATCGAGGTTTCAAAAATGTATCATAATTATTAAATATCCTGTTTTATTTCCTGAGAACTTTAGAATCTTAGAATTAAATGGGTTGTTTTTGTTACTATGCATTTAAGACTGATATGTAAATGATCTCTGTTCTGCTTGGCTGGCTGCCTTCTGTGTTGTGCCTTATTTGAAAAGCAGTCTGAGCTGAAACACTTCAACGTCTATCAGTGTGAATGAGTGGAGCTAAACTGCTGTAGTCTGAGTAGGTGGATGTATGTGATTGTGTTGGTTTTTCATGATGCACACTATGGGCAAAAGTATCAGGGCACCTACACATTACACCTACAGGAGCTTGACACTGATGTTGGACCGGAGGGCCTGGCTCGTAATGTTCATTCTAGTTCATCCTAAAGGTGTTCAATGGGGTTGAGGTCAGGGCTTTGTGTGGGCCAGTCAAGTTCTTCCACACCAAACTCACCCAGCCAGGCCTTTATGGACCCTGCTTTGTGCACTGGTGCTCAGTCATGCTGGAACAGAAAAGGGTCTTCCCCAAACTGTTCCCACAAAGTTGGAAGCATAGAATTGTCCAAAATGTCTTGGTCTGCTGAAGCAATAAGATTTCCCTTCACTGGAACTAAGGGGCCTTGGCCAACCCCTGAAAAAACAACCCCATAGCATTTTCCCTCCTCCACCAAACTTTACAGCTGGCACAATGCAGTCAGGGAGGTAACGTTCTCCTGGCGTTCACCAAACCTAGACTCGTCCAAACCTGAACTCAATAATTAGGAGGGGAGTCCCAATACTTTTGTCTATGTAGTGTATGAGCCCGTTATTACATAAAATGGTCATAAATATGCTGCTTTATGTCTGGGACATTATTTTATGATAGTATTTGCTAACCCAAACTCTAGATCTGCGCCTAAAACCTATTTTAAGCCGTTCATGGTGGAGATGTACATGCAGAGTGTTGTGAGGCAAAATAGGCCCCAAAGAAATCATATTTTTAAGATTTAACATATTTTACCATCATCAGCATTAAATATATAAACACTCAGAAGACACATGTAGGTTCACTGCTGGTTTGGGATAGTAAATAAAGTGGCTATATTTGTGTTGTAGACACTGTGACCCCTAGTTCCTATCACCACCACTGTAAAGAAATCTGAGTCGGTAAGTTTCTCTTCAGTTAACCATTTAACATGAAACCACTCTGAATAACTTTGTTTACATCTTTGTTTACATGAATTATGAAGACATTTTGAAAAAGCGATTGAATTCCACTTTGAAATCATAAATGCAACACCAAGCCAAATTCTGTCAACCTGGTACTCTATGAAATATGCGTAAGACAGATGAATTACTTTCATAAGACTGAACTTTCAAAACATATCATTCACTCTACAGTCCATATATGGAAACTAAGCTGTAAAAACTAAGCTTTTTTTTTAAATGTGTTGTTTTTGTGATGTCATGAAAACCAATGCATTTGCATATCCACCCACTCAGCCAAAAGCAGTTCAGCTCCGACCACTCACACTGATGATAAAAGCAGTGTTTCAGCCTGGACTGCTGTTTGAATGCAGGACATCCGATCAGAACAGAGCTCGTGTACATATCTGCTGGTGTTAAGTGACAGTAACAAAAACAGTCTATTTAGGCATTTTGAGAAGTCTTGAAAAATTAATACTGACTTTTTGATACATAAATCCACAATAACCCGGACCTCAAGGGAAAAAAAATAAAACAAAAAAAATATATAGGCCCATTAAAGTCTACATGAATCAGGAATTGTATTGCATATTCCTTCAGTATCATGATATTTCTCCCTGCTTATTTGTGCATGGTAATGTATTTTAAACTATATGATATGAAATATCATGCTCTATATGACCTGTCTATGATATGAACTAACAAGCCTAGAAAAAGCTAATTTTTGATTCCTGGCTCTGACTGACAGAAAGAACGATGCGCTATGTAGGCCAGATTATGGAAGCCCGTTCTGGCTGGGCAGATGAGGAAAATGCATGTTATTTTTTTTTCCTCATCTATGTTTGGAAGCAATATGTAAAAATATTGACTTAGTATCTCAAAATGACATTTCTCAAAATGTTGAGTTAGTATGTGAAAATGACAAATTTTCTCATAACATTGACTTATTATCTCACTTATTTTCCTCGATATACTGGCTTACTAGATTGGAATATGACTTACTGTGTCAAAATATTGACTTGCTATGTCAACATGATGACTTACCATGTCACATTAATGGCGTTGTACTGAGACAGTACGATAGTTTAAGACATGAATTCAATAATTCAAGAACAAAAGTTATTTCGAAAAGGTAAGTCAATATTTCAAGTAAGCAAGTCATTAATTAAATATACTGAGTCAATTTTTCGTAATACTCAGTCAATGTTTTGACATCCTGCTGCGAAAAGCCGGGAAAGTAGAGACTTTTATTTTGAAGTATGAGTCAAACGGCAGCCGCTTTCCTCACTGTACGTTACTGGTGTATCGGTGAGGTGGAGGCGCCTTTGACTTCTTCCCAAAGAAGTGCCTGTAACGGATTATAACGCAGAATTTCTCTGAATACTCAGTATATCAGGCTTCACCGTGTCACACATGCTGGTTGTGGTTTGTTCGTACAGCTTTTACATGTTACTTCTTTGCAGCGCTGCGAAAAGTAAGTTTTTCCAACTTCTCACTTTGCAGTGAGTTTAACGCCACACTGAACTGGTGGCTTTGTAGAGCAACACAGCTGAACTTCAGGTCAGGGAAAGGTCTACAAACGTGTATCATGACATTAACTAGGTAGCTAGACAGACAGATGATAAATAGTGTACCTTTCCTAGCTAAGCTAGTATTTTCTTTTCGACAGTATACAATCATTTCTTCGGCGTGTTTATGTGTTTTCCGGTTTGCGAAGTTAACGTTATTTGACTAGCGTCAGCGCTTGGCCAGCTCATGAAGTTGAAGGCAGCTTTATTTGCCAACTTTCTTGTTCAAATTTTGCCGTTCCACCTTAAATGGTGCAGCAGTTACATTCTGGCGCCTCAATCGCCAGAATGTAACTGCTGCACCATTTAAGGTGGAACGGTAAAATTCCAAAAAGAAAGCTGGCGAACTGAAGCCAACTTCAACGTCGGACTTCGCCAGCGACAAACTTTTACAGCTTAGCCAATATTACGCAAAATATCGCATTTCCTTTTCTTGGAGTTGTCATATTCGTTGCAAAGTTATTAAATTGTAACTTACCCAACCCTGTTTACATGTTTGTACAGCAGTAACGGTCATTTACAGAAGTTTAAACATAGCTTCTAGCTAATTTAGCTCTAGCTCGGCTGGCTAACGTTGGATTCGTCAAACTTGCTCAGAGTCTGAGGGAGAAGACAGTTCGTGTTACATGATGTTTAAAGCTGTTTTATTGACCTTAAAAGAGTTCAGTTATGCCTTGTTATGATACACAGAAAATGTGTAGAGGTTTCAAATGAAAACGAAGCCTGAAGCTTGTGAAAAATGTACTAATTCAGGGGTGAAGATTTAAACAGGTGTTCAGGGTGGCATAATGTGAAACGGTTCATTGCAGAGAAACTTACAGACTGATTTCTTTACGGTGGTGGTGAATGGAACCAGAGGTCATGATGTCTGCAGCATAATTTTATTAAACTGTTACTATCCAAACCCACCAGTGAACCTCTACTTGTCTTTTGAGTTTTATATGTAATGTTGATACCTGTTATTTAGTGGTAAATCTAATAATAGTAGTAACAATAATACAAATTTTTGGGTTTCTGTTTTGCCTAAAAATGCCCTACATGTACCCCTGAGATACTGCTTTACTATAGTTTTGACAAGGGTTTGACTAATACATGGGCTGATATCTGACACAGTGTTTTACAATAGAAGATTTTGGGCTATAATCTACTTTTTTGACAACAGATTTTAGCCCAAAACCTTCTCAAAACTACTGTGGCAGATATCAGCCAGTGTATTAGTAACCATTTCATGTGATTATTTTGAGGATCTGTGAGGTATTAAACTCTTCAGACTTCTGGTTCCAGGTACCGCCACTGTGAACAATTTCGAGTTTCTGTAAAACAAAGCATTTCACGTCAAACCACTCTGAAAGACTTTGTTTACATCCTAACTTGGGAAAATTAGTGACACATTTTGCGAAACTCTTATTCTTTGGCTCTTCCTGTGATTATAGGCACTTTTATTGTTGCTTTTTCTTTCTGTCTTCTTCTAGAATGAGTCTGTTGGAAATCAGCGAGAACGTGAAACTGGCTAGAGAATATGCGCTGCTGGGCAACTACAGCTCAGCTGTGGTTTGCTATGAGGGGGTACTGGAGCAGATCAAGAAGTACTTATTTTCAGTACGCGACTCCTCTCTGCAGCAGAAATGGCAGCAGGTAAGAGTTTAGCCTCCCTGGACGTTGTCCTGGACCTGTCACGAAGGCAGTAGTTGTTGTTTGATGTGCCCATATGTTCCACGTTAGCAAACAGTAGCTTATAGGTGAGGCGAAATGTTTGGTCTGCAAACAGAAGGTACTGTTGTGATCTCCTGTGCATCCTGTTCAGGTCGGGCAGGAGATCAGCGAGGAGAGCAAGCACGTGAGGGACATCATGAGGACACTGGAGAGTTTCCAGTTGGCGGCTGCCCCTTCCAAGCCGAGCAGTTTCAGCCAAGAGAACGACATTACACCAGTTCAGGTGGAACATAGGTAAGCTTTGTGCTGTACCTTTTTGTTGTTCACCTTAGGGCTGGCCCAGACGACATTTTTCTGGCTTCGAATACTTGTGGAGATTTCCGAATGAGTAATTGGATACACATTCTCAAATCACCCAAAATACAATGGGTTTACCAATATCTTCAGCTTTTTCCTTAATTTGTTCTTAAGAAAGGACAAGAAAAAGGCTATGTGAGATTTATGGCGTGTTCTTAAATTACAGAATTGTTCGCACCTTTGTGTTCCTAAGTGTGTGTAGATTCTGTTGTTACATAAGAACAAATAAATAAATAAATAAGAAAACATCGGTGAATGTCAGAATCTTCTAAAAGTAGGTTTTAAGAAGAAATTTCTTCTGAGGGACGGTTGGTGATTGAGGCCTGTTATTTGAAATGTGTTTATTCGGCTGTGTGACTGAAAAGATTTCGAAGTTAATTAGGAGTTCAGTCTCATCGTCTGCTCTAGACACAGATTTTCCTTCCGACCTGTATAATCTCACACTCCCAGTATTTAGAGCAGGCTTGTCAAACTCAACCACTCAACAAGGGCCATATTAAAAACTCTCAACTAATCTGTGGGCTCAAGAACGGCAATGTTTTTATGTTATTTTTAATTAATGTTGCGCTGTAACCCAAACTGGCCACTGTTTTTTCAAAATATGCAAAAACGTCAACAGTAAAATACAGACACTTGTAGTAGACCTTGAAATATTACATGAATACTTGAAACATTCAAAATGTAAATGTCGCCAGGAGCTCAGTCTTTTAAACCTACCTATTTGCTTGAACTAGACACTGGGAATCCTTTCTTTGCTGCAACTTCACTAAGACCTGGGCTCAATTTCTGAGCTGCTGAGCTGACGTTAGGTGTAAATGAAGCTAGTGCATTTGGTGATGTGACTGGTGTGAAATTGTGCAGAACTGAGGTGTAACTGCTTTCCCATAGATTGCTGTTGGGGTAGGAGAGTCAGAGCACACATTACGTTGCAGTGCATGCTGGGGAATGAAGTGCAGGGCATTGTGAAATGGGCTAATATTAATAGAAAATTCAGTACTTCTGCGAGTCTGATCTGGCCCTCGGGTCTTGTATTTGACACATGGGATCTAAAGTGTTTAAACTACACTCTCAGAAAAAAAAGGTAGTAAACCGTCCCTGGGGCAGGACCCCTCTGGTTACTGGGGTGGTCTCCTCAAGGGTACATCTCGGTACCTTTAGTTAGGGAACATAATTGTACCATAATCCATTGAACTTATATTTTAAGTTGTATTGACTCCACACACCCCGTCTCGTCTCCAGACTTTTTATTTTACTGTTCTGTTTTAAAACATTTGGTTATAAAAAGATACAAATATGTACTTTTCATTTTATTTAAGGAACACAATTGGACCTTAAAACCACTGTCGTACCTGTGAGGGAACATTTACATTGTTTGTACTTTCATGAACAAGAAATGTAGCTGCAGTGTGTGTTTGTTTTATTGTATCTATACCAACAATATATACAATATGTATACCAACTTCTTATTGCAAATTTTCCACAGATTTTGGGCTCTTAATGAGGGGCGAGGAAAAAGGTTGGATTTATAAGACAAGACACAATGAGAGTATCATTGCAAAAAGGAACGTGGCACAGTAATAATTTTACGTTCATTATCTTGTTTTCATAATCTTTGGAAGCCAAAATCTTAATTGAAAACAAAATTTGATTAATCACTCAGCCCTACAACATACATACTGTCCAGAGGGGAGGTGCCATGGTTGGCATGCATGAATTTATGATGCATTCAGTTTTTAACACTTTACATATATTACCAAAAATTGTTCTATTGAAAGGCCTGATGAAATTTATTTTAGGCTACAAAGCTTTCACAGGGCCAGAGCTCACATGTACTAAATAGAGAAGTACCAGCGTAACTAATGAGTACGCAAGTATTCAGATTATTCAGGCCAGTCCCAAATGTCACTATTGATTAAATTTGTAATCTACCAGTTATTTGGAAAAATGATTAAGGGACTTTTCTAAGGCCAAAAAATACAAAATGACTTAACAGGAAGTAGCAAACCATGCCCCTTTCAAAGATTCCAATTTTTTAAATTTAAAAATATAAAGACACTATGTGGCAATAATGTTGATAATAAATGTGTCTATCAGGCTTTTATTCTTACTGTTGCAAAGATCAGTAGGAGAATCTAAAACCTGCATTATCATCATGCAATTTGCCAACAAATCTCTGCTGATTTACAGTGTAAATTTTATGCCATTATTTTTTTTTTTCCAAGTAATCAAGTTTAAATAATTAATCATGACTGTCCTCCTCCAGCGTAATGCGTTACACTCAGAAACATAAATGTCCTTAATTCAGCAGTGCTTCAATAGACCTGTTTTACACTCCTGACACATTAGTGATGATGACTTCATATTTAAGTAAGTTTTTATTGCTGCAGTAAAAGCGGCTTTGCCTTGTTTTGTTTTTCCTTGTGCTTTAATACTCGGGGAGAGTCTCTGAGTGTTTTTACTGAGATTTCAGACCTCCAGCAGAACTGTCATGTGAAGTGGATTAATATCCACGTGGCTGAAGTTGGCCTGCACACAGGCCCTTGTGCTCTTTCTGTCTTTGTCTGTTCGTCCAGTTAAGGTTATTTAAAGCTCATGGGTAAATTAAAATATAATCTGGTTTGTAAATGTATGAATGAGAATAACTGGCAAGTCATTTCAGAGCTGCTTACATCAGTTTTAACTTCTATAAATGGATGGTTTGGTCTGAAGTGAAATTTCCACCTTACCTCAAACATGGTTGATCGTCCAGGGCATGTTTGGTGTCTGAAGTTTACTTCTTCGAGGTTAATGTAGCTAAAATGTAATGAAGGCTTATACCTCACTAGGTTGTGCACCTCCCTCAAACCGTGTTGAGCTATTAAGTAACTTTAAATAGACTTTTTCATGTACTTTCAAACACTGATTGACACCTTTACTGGAAGAAATGGAGAATTTAAGACATTTTGAAACTAGAATCACTTTCTTTCTCAGGCAGTAGTTTTGCATATGCTTCCTTTTCTTTGCTCCATACTCTCAGAAATAAAGGTACTAAACTGTCACTGGGGCAGAACCACCCTTGTCACTGGGGTGGTTCCCTCATAGGTACATCTCGGTACCTTTAGTCAGGGAACGAAATTGTACCAGATTATATTTTATTGTTCTGTTTTAAAACATTAGGTTATGAAAAAGTACAAATATGTACTTTTGACCTGGAAAAACGAATTGAAGGTTCACTATTGGACCTTAAAACCACTGTTGTACCTTTGAGGGGACATTTACATTGTTTATACCTGGATGAATGAAAAATGTACCTGCACAGAACCCTTATTTCTAACAGTGCAGTGCAGAACTAAAGAAGAAAACTTCAGACACTAAATGAGCCTTGGGTGATCCGCCACATTTGACATTTGGGTTAAAATGGAAGGATGAAAATTAGGTATTCAAAGCAGCTGATGTAAGAGTGGGCGATAATTTTTGATTTCGTCGTGATAATGCCACAGTATGCTTTTCTGACTTCATTGTGGGTATCGTTAGGACTTCTCGAACACTAAAAAAAACTTTGTCATTACAGAGCAAACATATTTAGCACAGCACAGCATGTATAATGTTAAGTATACAGGGTGATTCAAACAGATTCATCCAATTTCAAAATGATTTATTTCACTTGTAAATCATTACAGAACAATGCAGTATATTGTAAATGGTTTAAATGAGCATAAAGTAAAATTACATAATAAACAAGTGCTCAAAATGAACCTTCTCCAGCTGTACGGACAACATCAACGCCATAGTCATTCAGCATGTCGGGTGTCACTGTACTCACGGCTCTTTCAATGCGATTTCGGAGATCATCCAGTGTTGTGGAACCAACGCTGAACGCTCTGAGCAGTTGGAGGTTCACTGCCGACGAAATTCATGTTGCACAGTTATGACGGGTTCACTCTTATTGAAGTGGAGAATGCAAAACGCTTTCTGCTCAGGGGTCCCATCTCCTCACAGACTGAAGGGAGTCATCAGAAACTCTATGACCCCCTCTTTCAGTTGGATTGTGATTGGTTCCTAGGCGCCTGACAGTTGTAAAAATATGACGCTTTGAAATCGAATTAATCTTTTTGAGTCACCCTGTAAATCAGTGTTCGTGTTTAAAATGTTTTATATGGCTTTACTGGTTCATGTTCTGGTTTGTGATTCGTGGTCTGTTTTTACATATCAGTCTTTAGAAAAAAAAACAAAATATTGAGATGCATATCATAAAAATTGTTTTCAGGTATCTTGATGTTCCATTTTTGCTGTATCTCCCACCCCTAATATGATATAACTGGGGTGAATGTGGGGCTGTGGTTGTTTTCAGGTCGTCTCCGTGTGCGGTACGGAGGGCCCCAGTGCCGTATCGAGAAGGTAAACCTCATGGCAACAGACTGAGTGTTGGCCCTCGCTCCCAGCACCGACAGTCACCACGTATCCCCAACGGCGACAGAGCAAAACCTCCAAAAGGCAAAGAAAAGAAAGAGAATGTGTCCAAGCAAAAAGAGGACAAGGTAAGGATTGGCAGATGGATGGATTGTTGAATGGGCAGAAAAGGAAAAGCTCCTTCATTACCTAGATCATACCTGCTCTCTTAATGTCCATTGTGTCAAATACTCACTGTAACTCTACACTTATATTTACTTTGTGGACCTTATGCTTTTGGCTGAATTGACTTAGCAGAATTCCCAACCTGTGTTACCGGTTTCCTCCGTCTGTGCAAATACAGGCAGCTCAGAAAGAGCCAAGCTAGAGCTAAAATGAAATACTCTACAATCTAAACTCAGTCTTCCTTACTTGTTTGTTTGCTTGTTTGTGATTTGATTTGATGAACCTTTACGTTTTGCTTCAAGTGTTTCCTTAGAGCTGTGCTGAACGTTCTTTTTTCCTAAGCTTGCTAATACTTCACAACCGTGCATTAATATACTCCTCCCTCCTTCACCTCTAGAACAAACCAGAGGCCTCAGAGACGGAGGTGAAAAAGTTTGACAGAGGAGGAGAAGATAAAGACCTGATTGAGACGCTGGAACGAGACATCATTTCCCAAAACCCTAATGTGAAATGGTGCGTTCATGTCCTGCAGTTCTCTCTCCCACTCCCTCATTTACAGCCATTTTTTCCTGGACTAGTCAAGAAATAAGCTATTCAAAAATGCTAGGGTCACTAATAGTGAGTAAGACTAGTCTTGGCTGGTTAGCGTGATAATTTTGCAAAAAAAAATAGAGGCTATATATATATATATATATATATATATATATGAAACATCTAACTTTATTTTTAAGGATATTATACTCTGTGTCAGTAGATGTGCCCAAGTCCAAAGGAACATAAACGTTAAAACCGCCCAGTTTACCCAGAAAAGGGAGAAATATCACAAAACATATTAGTCACTTAGTGATCATTGAAATGTTATTCATTGGGCACATGTGTGTTGTTTGCCTAGAAAAAGCAAGATTAACCTACTTACAAAGAAAACGCCTATTCAGGTTCCCTGGGGCTTTAAAGGACCTACATGTAAGAGTGTTACATGTAAAAATGTCTTACGTTGTCATTGCAAGACCTCTTTTTCTTTTTAAAAAGTCCATTTGCACTGTTCTAACTGCAATGGGACCCGTGTTGGGTGTGTATATATTTACACATGCAATAAATATGTCCATTAGCCCAAAAATACTTACCTTTTAGAGTAATCACAACAGTAATGTACATGCCACCAGATCATGTTGTTTACTGAAACTCCACTCCCCCAGGGATGACATAGCTGACCTGGAGGAAGCGAAGAAGCTGCTGAAGGAGGCGGTGGTTCTGCCCATGTGGATGCCGGAGTTCTTTAAGGGAATTCGACGACCATGGAAGGTACAGCTCTATAGTTTTATATAGGCTTTTTCCCACAAGACTGAGATGGTAAAAAAGGGGTTAATGGTTTGTATATGAGACAAGTAAGACGGTTCCTGAAAAATGTTTGCATGTAAGCAAGAGTAAAATTTTAACTCCCCTTAGTTGAGCTCAGTGGGTCTGATTTACAGCGCCATCTGCTGGCCAGAAAGGCTTTTAGAACACGTTTAACATTGAGTCAAAAATAATAGCTGCAAAGGGTATATGGTGTTTAATGATGTGGTAGGAATGGGTGCAGTTCATATGCGATAAAAGGCCTTTAAGAATTATTTGACAAAACATGTCTTAATGTCTCACTGTTTGAATTTCAGGGCGTGCTGATGGTGGGGCCCCCAGGCACCGGAAAGACACTGCTGGCAAAAGCTGTTGCCACAGAATGCAGGACAACCTTCTTTAATGTTTCCTCTTCCACCCTCACTTCCAAATACAGAGGGGAGTCTGAGAAACTTGTGCGCCTGCTGTTTGAAATGGTGACTATATATACACACAAGGTTTTGTTTGTTTTTGTTGCACACCCAAACTCTTACAAATGAGATGACACCAGTGCTAAAATTTTAAACACAGTTAGTCAAACATGCTCTGTGTTAACATGTGTGTCTGTGTGTGATGTCTGGGTTTGTAGGCACGGTTTTACGCTCCGACTACCATCTTCATCGATGAGATCGACTCTATGTGCAGCCGCAGAGGAACATCAGAGGAACATGAAGCCAGCAGACGCGTCAAAGCGGAACTACTGGTGCAGATGGACGGTACGTATGAAGCTAAAATAGCGACATGCCTGATTCTCCTTAGCTGCAGACACAAAAGAAGAAAGCCATTGCACAGAAGTGTCCACAAATATATGGCAGAACTGTGTGCATTAGGGATGTAATGATACAGAAATTTTGCGATATATTTTGTATTGTCTTTTTTGCAGCATGACAGAAGTTATATAAATATATATATATCACGCTGTTGTTGGAAGAAAACCTTGTATCTCCAAAATGGTAACTTTACAGGTGAAGGAAAAAAACTACTTCACTTTTAATGTAAGTCAGTGGAACCAGACCTTTTTCCAAGTCATTTTGGGTGATTTATTTTAGTCCATTCGTCATGGAATTTGCATACAATGTAAAGGGTAACAGGTATTTTCAAATTATGTCAAAAACTGAAAAACGTCAGAAAAGGAGATACGAGGTTTTCTTCTGACAACAGAGATATATATATTTATACAACAGTTAGTTCCGGCCACGCAAGCTGATTGGTTGAGAAGCGTTCTAACTGCGCTGTTATTTCGCCATAACATCACGTTTTTTTCACAAACACTGTATCACTCTGCTTAGACGCCGTTGCTAAGTACAGCTGTAGGAGACGCTCAAGCCATTTGAACATTTTGACTTCTTACTTTGCCACAAACAGAAAATAGGTACTTATAAGATCACATTTGACCGACAGCCGATTTGGTCAGACTCTGAAGATGAGACTACACTAAATTCATCAGCACTGAGCAAGCTTTTCCGTCTGAACCTGGAATCAGCCAGAAATGAACTGAATACCATTCGCCAAACAAAATAGGCTGTAAGATGCTTTAGAGATTGGCTGGAACAAAACAACATTAATATGGATCTAGGAAAAAAAAGACAACACTGAGCTAAACTTGATATTGTGGCGGTTTTATGGCTCAGTCTGTACTTCAAAAGGCGAGGCTTACAGCTGGCTGTGCAGCGAGTGGGCGGAGCTCGTTAGTCTGATGTAGCAACAAGCTGCTTGTTAAGGAACTATAATTTGGTGGAAGCAACTGCTAACATTAAAACATATTAAATGCTGCGTTCACGGCCCAGTTTATTTATTACTTTATTTACTTAACTGTTGTATAAAAGCATTAGGTCATGTGTTATCGCAAATAACATCACAGCTGTGATGATCTACTGCGACCAAATCACAGCCGTGATGTTATTTCGCAATAACACTCCCTTTCGTGTTCTATTGCTTATATAACAAAGCTAAGTATTCATTTTGCGTGTATGATTATTACTAGAAATACCAAGGATTGTGTTACCTTAATAGAGGTACAGAAACCATTCCCAGCATCGTACATTTCATAGAATGAAATGTCATGTTATTCGATCCGCAGCGTGTACCGTTTCACAAACTCTGTATACAGAAAAGTGAATATTAACATGTATCGTGACACCCTTACAAGCAAATAGTTGCGTAGAGTGGCTCTGGTACCTGCAAGTTGGTTACACAGACAGATATAACATTCAGGCATTGCAGGCAATCCATGTGTGTTAAAAAAGACATTCATGTTGCGTTTACCAATTGGGACCTGCAGGTGTTGGAGGAACGTCTGAAAGCGACCCATCCAAAATGGTGATGGTTCTGGCAGCCACTAACTTCCCATGGGACATTGATGAAGCTCTAAGACGCAGGCTAGAAAAAAGAATTTACATTCCGTTGCCCTCAGGTAGGCCACCGTTACTACTATTAGCTGCCTTCAAGCCTAACAACATGGTGTAAGCTTCTGTATGGCCTACTGGTCCTATAGAACCATGGAGCCACAACACTGCGAACAAACCATGGCAGCTTTTTATTTATTATTTTCTGACAGAGGTCAGACTTTAAGTAAGGATAAATTAAACCATGAGTGACCTGGTAACCGCAGCCCCTTTTAAGGTTCTGTTAATGGATCGATGTGACACCCTGTTCCTGTAACTGTGGGTCAAGTGAATCTACTGAAACGCGATGCTAGCTAATAACATTTTGACGTGTTTGTAGTATTACAGTGTGCTGTTACTGTACATTATAAGTGTGTTTGATCTGAAGCTAAGGGTCGAGTTGACCTGCTGAAGATAAATCTGAAAGAGCTGGAACTGGCTAATGACGTTGATATGGACAAGATTGCTGAGCAGATGGAGGGCTATTCAGGAGCCGACATCACCAATGTCTGCAGGTTTGGCCCACAGTCCTCTTCTTTCTCACTCCCTTTAACATCTCAGTCAGACCAGTTGTTAATAAACTGGATGAACAAATTGTTAGTAAGCTGAATAAAGCTGTTAAATAGAGGCTTCTAGAAAAAAAATAGAAGAAAATTGTTTGTGTTATGTAATAAACTGTGTGGGTCTGTTGCAGGGATGCATCTCTGATGGCGATGAGGCGACGGATCGAGGGATTGACCCCTGAGGAGATCCGCAACATTTCCAGTGATGAGATGCACATGCCCACAACTATGGAGGACTTTGAGACAGCTCTGAAGAAAGTGTCAAAGTCCGTCTCGGCTGCCGATCTGGAGAAGTATGAGAAGTGGATCGCCGAATTTGGCTCTTGCTAACCCATCCTGATGCTACCTATGGGGTAAAATTTGGATTCTGTAGTTATTAATTTTGAAACCTGTCGACTTTTAGCACTTTGGAATACTGTGGGCCAATTTCTGTTGTTTGACTGAAGAATCCTGTCACTTGGTGGTGGTTTAGCTATGTCTGAAATCACGTCCTATTGGCCAGTTTTAGTTGCTGACTACAGGACCGGTGTGTCATGCATTCTGGAGGAAAGGTTCAGCTCTGGGATCATCTTCTCTTTGAAGTAGTGTTATTTATTGAGATATGAAAGCTCCAAACTGATGTGTGGTCATTCAGTACTTAGGTTTTGGAAGTGATGAAACATGAGAGACCTTCTTTAGAGCAGTGGGTCTTCTGGGAACCATTTTGAACTGCCTTACTTACACAAGCCTTTCTTCTCTAAAGGTAATGTCACTACAATAAATGAGTAGTCAGTCACTTAGAACCATGATTGGTTGTGATGGTCTCGATATACCAAAAAATGTAATACTTTTGAAAATATCTGAATATCTAGGTGTCATGAAATCACCATGCCAATGATGATGAAAAGTGAAAGTGGTATCACATATTTTGAGGTTTATTTCTACACACTACTGCCAATCAGTGGCCTTTTTGCAGTGAAGAAGCTATGCAAGCACTTGAATTAGCTGATTTGTGCCTTTTAAACTGACCAAGGTCATAAAGAAAAAGACCAAACTCGAAGAGATGTGTTTTTGCCTTTGTCCATGTCCGTTGTGTGCCATTCTTTTGTCTTTCATATAGTAGACAGTTGTGTGAAAATGTGGTAAAATTATTGCTTTATAGAAGTTAATAAAGTTTTTTATATTGGAATAAAAATGTTTAGGAAGTGCTGTTATTTTATTCTTTTTTTTTTAACTAACCAGAAGAACAGGTTTTGTTCAAGTACTTCCAAATTGTCTAGTTCTAATATACCATTACTGGACAGCCACATTTTTGTTTATATTCTCTCAACCTTAAAATGGTGTTCTAACTGAAGTGTCATGTTTTTGTAAAGAGAAGAACACTTGAATGTATTTGTCAAACCAGAAATACAAGAGAAAATACAACGGTTCGTTTTATTAATTAAACATAGACTTGCAATGCATAATTTGCTTGCACTCAGTTTACATGCTCTTGATAACCTCATACTACAATATTGCTAACATCTGATCAAAAGCAAAAAACATCTCATTTCTCTATGAAACATAAATAGGATGTGAATGAACAGAAGCGACTTGAGGTATAATTTGATTTTCGTCTTGTTTCGTGGACACAGATCTAACAGTGTCCTTGGGCATATAATACAAAGCTGGATTAACTGGTTAGCAGGCCCACATGTTCAGTTTCAGGTAAGCAGTTTCTGACCAAACCTAAGTTAATATTACTCCAACAACTCTGTGCCACCTCAAGTCAAATTAGTGTGCAAACTCATTGAAAACCCCCTCCCAGCTGTCAGAGAAAACCCTAAGCTTCCAAAGAATTTAAACAAAGATGCAAAAAAAATTCTGTTCATCAAAGGGCCGATCACTCAAGTGAGGCAGTGTGTGAGACAGTTCATCCAGTGTATATTCTTGTTTCACTTAGAACAACTGTGACTAGAACTGTTAGACAATGGCCTCTTTGGAGTGCACATTAATAAGCTTAATTACAAAAATGTGGATCTTGATGGAAATAAGAACGGCGTGTCAAAATTACACCACATCCTATTTTATATCACATCATACATGTCAAGATATTTGTCCATAGGCACAATGCAGTAGCACTCAGCTAATACAAACAAGAAATCAAGGGCCTGTCTCACAAAGCAGGATGCCTTGTGATGCTGGATCACTGTTCACCAAGGTACATCACCATTACAGTTTATACTGCATGCCCAACCTCCTCCAAGGACATTTAAATTCTGGATTTCGGATCATCTCCTGGACCAATCCCAGCCTAAACAATGGGAAACTGACAGAGCTGGCCCACTCTGGTTACTTTGTTTACTTCCTGACGTTTGTGGCATCAATCATGTGAAGAATCCAGCTTTTTTAGCATGTGGACGCAGTGCTAAGACAGCTTTCTAAACATTTATGTAGATTTCTTTTTCTTCTTTGAAAAATAAGCCACGATTAGCTGTTTGTCAGTCACTCTTTCGTGTGCATGTGCACAGGGATTAATCATAGTGTATCTAAACCTGAATTAACAGAGAAAGTTGTTAACCATGGTTCCATTTCTTTGTACATTGGTTCTACGAAGCTAAAACGTAGTCAGGAACCCTCACTAAGCTGAACTCGCTTCACGAGACAGGCCCAAGGAGATGTTTAACAAATCCTTTTAATGCCTCACTGAAACAAAACACTGAACGAATAAAGAAATGCAATGGAATAAATTTGATTTTATAAAGTGCTACGTTTGGAGGGGAAAAAAAAAGAACTCTCGGGCATCCCTTCAACCTGAAATGCCCCAAACAGGTAATCGAAAGATCAGTAGGAATCTTCCCTCACACCGCTTTTCTCCTCTGTCTCTCTCTCCATCTCCATGCTCTCTACCAGACTCTGCTTCTCTTCGTCCTCCTCCACTGGCATCAGGGTCTCTGGGTTCAGGTGAAAGAATCCCCTGGCAAAGAAAAACAATGTTATATATTCGTTTTATGCTACAAACCAGGCCTTGCCAGACCACAAATTAGTCCACATTTTTGTTCTACCTCAGCTCCCAACACACCTGAATGAGGTATTCAGGGTTTTTAGTGACTTGATACAGGTGTGTTGGGACCTGGAATAGAGCAAAAATGTCACTTGGAGGGCCCTGAGAAGTGGTTTGAAAGTCAACGTGTTAGAAAAAGTACACAAAACCTATTATTATGGTTTTCGGTATTGAACTAAATCATGAAAACTGGCTTTCAACAGAACAAATTTATCATCCAAAGAAAATCACAGAGGGTGGATGTTAGCTTGGAAAGTGGTCATACTTGTGTTCACAAGAGGGAAACAAGACGTCCAGAATCTTGATGATGACGGCAGAGCCCACAACCCCCACAACTACCACCCACATAATGAGGAAGAAGAGTGGCAGTGACTCGGAGCAGAAGCGCTTGAGTCTATCTCTCAGCTCCTCCACCCATCGACACACCACCTGTACAGAAACAGACAGAAGGAAAACGGTAGCAAACACATTCTTTTTAAATCAACCAAAATACTAACAAGCACTTTAATGTCAAACTGCAGAAAATGTACAAAGCAAGATAGATTTAGCGTTTTTTTTTACACGAGGTGGGGGGGGGCTTGAGTACAGAATTGGTGGTGGTGAATGCTCTTACAGTAAGGCTATAGTAAACTGCTTAGAACTTAATTTCAAAGACTGTTGTACAAAGCAATTAAACATTAAAGGTGCATGCAACACATTTAATTACTGCAGACTAGGGAGGGACTAGTTTGATACACTGTATCAAATAACAGTCAAAGTGTTCTGTGATGTTATTTACATATTTGCACCATTTTTATGTAAAAAATGCGTTACACTGTTCCAGCTGTGCCACTTGTAATATTTTTCATCCTTTTGTTCCCAAAAGAATCTGAGCTCTGGGTAAAATCAGGGGGTGTCAAGAGATGAGAAAATTAATCTAGATATATCCGTCCATCCATGTATGTATCCATCCATCCATTCGTCTGTCTATCTATCCATCTGTCTATCTATCCAGCTATCTATCTGTCTAACTATCCGTCTATCCATCCATCCGGCTAGCTAGGTGTATATCCCTCTCCCTCTCCCTCTCTCCCTCCCTCCCTCCCTCCATCTATCTGTCTGTCTATCTGTCTGTCTATCCGTCTATCTATCCGTCTATCTAGCCAGGTATCTCTATCTATCTATCTGTCTATCCATCCATCCGTCAATCTCTGTCTATCTAATCAATCCATCCATCCATCCATCCATCCGTCAATCCATCTATCTGTCTATCTAATCCATCCGTCAATCCATCTAATCCATCCATCCGTCAATCTACTTTCTAGTGAATCTATCTAGATCACAAACCAAGAATGACAGTCCTTCTGAGTGTCTGTGTTAAAAACACCAAAAACCATGTGCAGGTCTTGCAGTATTTATCATACTGACAATCCACCCTTTCCATTGTTTAAGTGATAATTATTTCCATTTGAGAATTATTTGTCTGTGCGACTCTTTTTTGGTTTTTCCAATTTACTGCATAAACCTATCACACTGCAATGTGACTTCTCCCAAAATATCTTTGTGGATGAAGCCTTTTTTCATCTGGATGTTGCTCACTCACATTATAAGAGGAGGGGGACTGTCTCAGCGGAACCTCAGGCAGCAGGTTGTCCGGATTAACTGTTTCGTCCTGTGCAGACTCGTACAACGTGCTAGGGTCCATGCGCAGAGGTGTCTCAGGCAGTTTCCCTGGAGCAGCGATCTCCTCCTGGGTAGTTTCAGCTTGTTTGAGTGGGTAGTGACTTGTGGTGTGCAGGACTTGGTCCTCAGCTGGAGGTGATGAGAATAAGAAATCATCATGTTATAGTTCCAGCTTTCAATGCTCTTTATTGCTCTGTCTGATTCATCTCGTTTCATCCTTAACATGAAAAATTAGAATCAGACTGAACACTCATTACAAATAAGGGTTGGACCAGAGCACCAACCTTTTTCAGGGATGGACTCATCAGTCATGATGATGTCATTTTCCCTCGGCATGGCTGAGATCTTGCTCTGCGACATGGGAAAGAAGTCGTGTACCCGAGTAACCTCCTCAGAGTTCTGGTTCAACAGCATTTTCATCTCCCACACATCTGGCTGCCACACCTGCAAGGTCAAAATCAGAGTTGGAATCAGGACACTTTTTTGTCAAGTGTGATGAGGATAAAGGGAATTTGCTTTAGTGCTTGACCACTAACTGCAATGTTAGAACAGGTGTGGCTGAAGCAGCTAAAGTCTTACTCAAAGCAGAAATTAAATTTAAAATGGTGTACATGTGTGGCAATCAAGTAAATTAATAAGTTTCTTGACATTTCTCAGTTGCTTTTGGGATAAGTTGTTTTGCAACTGTTTTCCTGGAATGAACTTCTACTGGTATGTTACCGCAATAGAAAGGGCAAAGCCAAGTCCACAGTCAAATTCTACTGTCGCATGGTATAAACACACTGTATACTGTTTGTATATACCATGCTTACAATAATTATAATATATACCATGCTTGCAGTCACTACAATACCAGAAAGTACAATAATGTAATGTCAGATACAGTCAAATACAATTTTAACCTTTCAAGCTCACATATGTAGGTGCTAAGTCTTGAAAAAGTAAGATATTAAAAAAACAACAACAACAACAACAAATAATCATCTACAGTTTAAATAAAACTGAAAAAATGTGATGGTTACATTTTCTTGGCCCAGCTGGATTATCTCCTGACCCAAAGTCAGCAGCAGCACCTCTTCTCCTGCATCACTCTGCATTTCTGACTGATCCAGCATGAGTCTCATCACACTGCTGACCAGCTCCCCAGCTCCATCGCTGAGGGTAACGTTACTGTCATCTACTGTAGAGACAGGAGAGAGTGAACAGTAACAAGCAAAGTAAGCTCATCACATTTTTTGAAAGAAAATTAAAAGCAACCTGGTTCAATCTGAAGTTTTGTAGAAAACCTATAAGCTGTGGTTGAGCTTAATCCTAAATGCTAGCCTATCCACCAAGAGTACCAAATACAGTCCAATGCATTTTTCTTTCGAGTCTTACTTACACAACAAAGCCTGGCATGTCATTCTTGTCACCTCCGAGGGCTTGAGATGAACTCCGTTGACCATAGTTTTGTTGTCCACCATGGCAACACTCAGGTTTATCTGTAAGGGAATTGCTAACATTGAGTAGTTGAACTAGAGAAGAGGGTGCACTTTTGTATTATAATAACCCTCCAATTCCTATAAACATTAGTTTTTAACAAACAAACATGACTATGAGAAAAAAACTACTGTAGTAAATATCTGACTCCTCAAAGAAAAAGTTTTTATCATGAAATTAATTCAATTTAATGTAAGTGGTTTGTTGCATGCTCCACATCTTCTGATTTAGTTTTTCACTGTAATTCCTCTGGCACCGCCTGGCTTATAGCTTAGCTTCTGGGTAACCCAATGATTATTTGGACCAAGGACAATAAAAGCACAAGCCAGCCAGGTCCTAACCACATGCACTACGGCGTTCCACAATATTTTTTTTCATAATCAACTTCTGAACGACACCCTGGCAGTTATATCTTGTCTGCATGGACCATATTTATGAAGCTGTGTGCAGCCTTTCATAGTCCACAAAAACAAGGCTATCTCACTATGATGTTTACAGACACATTCATCAGCATGCACAGGACACAAAGACAAACAAAGATATAATAGAACACACTGTTTGTTTACCTGTACATTGTAGGATGACTCTTTGTTTTCACTAACTGCAGTCACATTGATCACATTTTCCTGGGGATACACACACACACAAAAAAACAATGTGTTACCAAATTTAAACAGCCTTGGCTGCACTGTAATAAGATAAACTAAACAAAATACTTAACATAAAGCGAAATTTCTGTAAAATAAATCCAAATACATCAAAAAAGACCTTACTTTACATTTAAGTCTTCAAAGGTCTAGCAACACATACTCATTTCCAATACTGTATCAAGTGAGGGGTGCATTTTATTGGGACCCTCATACAGACACTGGCACCGCACATTCACAACTCACAGAACGATCCAATTTCTTAAAAACAATCTAGTCAGCTTCCATCAACACTACACAGACAGCCCTGACATCTATGCATTTCCCTTTTATTCATTATGCATCTCATCTGTTATATTTTCCAATGGTTCTCTCTCAAAATACAAAATCATATGTTAATTTTTTTATGATTACAATCTTAAATAGGCAGTCTGACATAAGCATATAGGTTAATGTGAGATGTTAGTGTGTGACACGGGCTGCTCTGAGAACACCAACTTGTTTGAGACATAACAATAGCAAATAAACAAGCAAAATACACAGTCATATTTATATTCACCAAAATTGATTTTGAAAATGAAGGACCCATATATTACTTCTTTATTTATTTGGCACTGGGTGTCATAAGATCCTTGTTACACCACTAATCATAGCCATCAGTTCACATGCTTAACAGCCACAGAAGTCTTGCAATACATATCAAGTTACATCCCATACGTTAACCCACACTGACAAGAGGTCAAACAGAGAAGTAAAATACACAAAAGATATCCTGATGATAGTATGTCCCTTCCTGATTCTCACAGAATCCACCAGAACACAAAAAAGACATGATATGCTAGGATGGGTCACAGTAATTCATGATCTCCTGTGGTTTTATTTAACTACACAAGACATTTGTAAACTTCTGCAGTTTCTATTAGAGCTGGGCAACTAATCATATTTCATTGTCAATTACGATTTTGGCTTCCAATTATTATGATAACGAAGATAAATTGATTATTGTGCTGCAGTCCATTTCGCAACGATGCTCTCATTTTGTCTTGTGTTATAAATAAATCACACTATTTTCCTTTACAGTGGTGCATTTTCACCCCTCACTAAGAGCCCAAGCTCAGTCTCAGCCAGGCTGTAGCATTTTTGGTTCAGCTCCAGTCAAGATGATGGAAAGAGAGCATTTGGTCAACAAGACAGGTAAAATCAATTCAGCTGTTTGGAAACACTTTGATTTCAAGGAGTCTGATGAGGAACAACAACAAATACTGTGGTGGTGTCTGCACCACAAGGCAATTCAACCAATTTGTTTATTCACTGGAAATTCAATCTGTTAAAAAATTGTGCTTTATTTTAAGATCAACAAACGCATGATGTTCCCAAAGTCAATGAGTAATCGTGTTAAATAACTGTGATCTCAGTACTGACCAAAATAATCACGATTATGATTTTTGCCAAAATTGAGCAGCTCTAGTTTCTATGTTCCCTACAGCTTCCTATTCGTAATGACCATTAAGCCAGAGTTAACCGAGCGGTCCCAGGGCAGGAGAAAAACCATTACGATGTACAATGGGAACAGTCCAGCCATACAGTATCTGTATTACTAACAAGAGAGTACTGACATGTTCTGAATTTCCAGACATTTCCAGCTCTATCACCCATTTTATTTTGAGGATTCCTGAAAAAGAGTTTTGTAACCTAGTTAGGTAAGCTAACTAACAGCTACATTACGACACTTCTGAGAAACTGGGCCGACAAGTCTGCCAAACTAGCTAACGTTAGCAATGTTAGTTTCCATTAATACGCCAACTAAAGCCAGCCAGCCAGCCAACGTATTATCTGTTAATTTTACACTGACATTAGTTTGGAAATAAAATAACTCAGTAAGCCAAACAAAAACAAAGCAAACAATCCCAGTGTTCTCTCAAGCAGCTAGCTAGGCAGCTAACGCTAACACTGCTAGGCTAATTATACGAATTACTGTCGACCGTTACCAATTTGAGACGACTTACCGTACTCAACTGCCGCGTTTCTGAAAATGTCGAAATAAAGACGATAGTTAAAGAGAAAACGACGGAAAATATCCCCCAGCTCGACGCCATCGCTGTCGGCTAGCTAGCTAACACATAAACAGGTCCTGCTTGTTTTCGACGCTGCATTAGCTGGCTACATGCTTAAGCTGCGGTATTTTTTATATTTCCACCCGTATTCAGGAAACCCAAGCCCTTAACCAATCAAATTGCAGGAGAGCGAGTCCTATATCCAATCATATTGCAGGAGGGCGGGATTTGTCAGAATACAGGTGGGATACATATAACGTACATCTACAGTAAAGATGCAACCTATTTTAAAGAAAACGATAATCTGCACATACTGGTAACGGGCACGACCATTAAGGAAGCCCATTCCCAAACAGACAGAGGGAAAAAAATCGTGTCGACCCTTCTTTCTCTTTTCTGTTTCTGGCAGCAGTTTGTCAAAATTTATTATGATTCACTATGTTGAAATAATTGCTTATATTCTCAAAATCTCGATTTAGTATCTCCAAAAAAAACGACTTATTAAGACAATACGTCATTATACATATAGTAAGTCAGCATGTTGACAAAATGCCTCATTATACAAAATATTTAAAGAACATTTGTTGAAGAAAAGTTGTTGTTTTGAAACACAAGCTAGCTACATCATCTTTTTCAGAAAAAAATATATATATTTCCACTGAGTACCGAGATAATGAGGTAATATTTTGGGAAAATAAGTATTTATTTTGAGATACTAAGTCAAATATTTGGCACATTCTGCCAAAGAAGGACAGGAAAACAGGTGAGTTTTTTTTTACTCTGCCTGTTGGGAACTGGACAAACAAACAAACAAACAAATGCTGCAATTTAGTCCAACACTAGAGTTTATCCACATCCGAGAAAAAAATGTAAACGTTTCAGCCCAGTTTGGTTGACCAATCACGAACAGCCTCTACACAGAGGCGGTCCTTACTGTCAGTTATCATGCACCGCAGGCAGCCCTCACAGAAGTGTAGCTAACAAATTAGCACAAAAAAATATATAAAGACCACTTAAAGATAAAAAACGTTACAAATTAACTCAATTCACTACAGAACACACAAAAATGAAGAGTAGAGTGGAAAGAAGCAAAATAAAGCACCCAGAGAGGAAAAGGAACCGGCAAGAGACACTTATCCTGGACCTGGAGTGAACAGCGATCATTAGCTGGAGAGACCTGAGGGACCTGACAGCCGATGCCGAGCCAGAGATAGAGAGGAGATACCACTCTGCAATGTCTTCCGGGTTTCTCGAACGCTAGAGGGCGCTCCCGAGCGAGTCCAAAACGAATGGGTTGATATAGAGCATTTGAGCAAAACTGTAGTTTGTAAATGCTTAAACATTTTTAATGTAAAAGAATGCGATCATTTCCTAAACACAGAACAGCATAAAACATTTTAACACTGCTGTTATATTTTAAGAGCTTTTAAACTCGAGTTTAAAAAGGCACCTCATGTATGTCCGTGGCATCTGTGAGCGCGAACAGCCAGTTCCTTTGTTTTTTTAGTGAAATGCATCCTTCTACTTTCTGAAATTAAAGAAAGGTTCTGGGTGAGTGATTAGAAACTGTTTCAACTTTTCCTTTTTAGCCATTGAGCTCCATTCACTCCCATTCAGTGAGGACTCCCTCGCGGGCGCCCTCTGCTGTTCAGCAGTCCTGTGTTTGATATAATGGAGTAAATCGGAAGTGGGCAGGCTCCTCATAAACCGGCTCTGGCCGAGCTAGCCTCACACGAAATGAGCTATTTAGTCGGGTATGTTCTGGTATAATTTGTTATTCTCCAAAAGGTTATTCTCCCAGACTGTAGGATTAAAACAGCCACCAGAGTTAACTAGTATGGTGCCATTGTACTCTAACCAAGACCGCTTGTTCTCTGTAAGCTGTATTCGCTTCAAAATGAGCTGTCTAGTTAGCTACATAACTAGCCAAACAACATTACTAGCACAGCTAACTAGTCAAGAAAAAAAATATTTGGATGAGATGATTTTAAAGGTGGGCTTGCTTAAATATTAATCTGATTTTTTAAATCAATCATATTATGTGCCCCAAAATTAGTATATTAGCCTACAAATGATTCTTGGTCCAGCTACACAGAGCAGTAATAATGTAGAACGTCAAAAAGTGACCTGAAATATTGATCGTGTACATTGATGAGATACTTTTGTACTTGCTTTGCAAATTTGTAAGCGCTAAAAACTGTGAATTCAGGTCATTATCTAAAGTCATGTAATTTGTCAACAGCGATCCTGAGGTCAGAAACTGACCAGTGATGAATTGGGGTAGAGACCAGCTGTAAGCTGTGTGTGACAGATGGGCTGCACTGTACACCTATACAATGGACCAGTAAGGTAGGTGGAGCTCATAAATTGGCCAGTGAGTGGAAGCACAAGGTAGGTATAGTAAGTGAGTATAAGTAAATGAGTGTAATACCTATATATTCTGACACATAAAGGCCTCTTAAAAGAGGAAAGACAGCTGACAAACATCAATACATCGAAACAAAATGTGTTTTTCTCACAGTAAACGTGTAACTACTTGACTAATTGATTAATTAAGATGTTGAATTATAAAAGTGATGTAAATTGATGCAAATTTTCACTTTTCATAGTTATGGCAGTTGAACCCCCCTTTCACACGTTCTCTGTGTTGAGCTTATGCACCGTAAGTGGTTATTCTAGGCCAAGCTGAAATACATATTTTACAGAAAGATAACCAGTGGCACGATTTCAGGAGCTCAGAAACAGACACACAGTTAAGAGTGCAGCACAAAGTAGATTTAAAGTACAAACTGTTTAATAACAAGTTATACAAGCTGTTTACAAGTGTACTGAAAAAGAAAACCACACCAACCTTCTGATACTGTCTCATATTAAGTGCGGATCCCTTTGCAAAGTGTGAACACTAAAATGTAGTGTTTCATGGCAGAACTCAAACACTCTCATATTAAGTGCGTAACAAAAACCTTTTAGAGTGGCTCATGGGAGCTTCACAGCATGTGGGACCCTCTCCCCAACTAAACTGAAAAATATGTGCTCTTAAAGTGTGAAACATCGATCAACATTACAGACCTCATTGGTTAGAAATCTGATTCGATTTTTTTTTTTTTCATTCCTTTGCATTCATTGTTTGGATTGGGCCCAAGTTAGCAAGTTAGCTAGTGGAGCATCATGAAGTGAGATGCTCAACTGCAGCAACGTTTTATAAGTGTAAGTTTAGAAAATATGTTTAACTCAAATTTACTTCCTTGAGCTCTGCTGTGGGGGTGAACACTGACAGAATACAAGTGCTGCTACACTGTAATAAAAGCTGCAATTTTTCAGTAAAAAAAACTGTGAATTTCCCAGTATCATACTGTAAACTGCATTTACGGTATAATAATGTACTTTTGATGGCCACATTATATTTTACAGTAAGCAACTGTAACTGTTGTTACTCTTAAGGTCTATAATAGTACTATATAGTGTTACTGTAGCTCTATAATAGTACTATATTTCTGATACACGGATGTCATTTTACTGTGGCAGATGTTGTCATCTATTAGGTGCTTTCACACAATATTACTGTTTTGTAAAGTCTTACAAAATTATAATGAACCAGACACTGTTGCCTGCAAATCACATTTTTTTTGCTTCTTATCCACCAGAGTTGACAGAAACGCTTCTTTATTAAACCTGCGGCTGCCTGTCTAAAAAATCCTAAATGTTTATCATAATTTTAACACCAGTGGAAAAGCTAAATCTCTATGTCCACCAGACACTTGTATCCAAAGCAGCTTTTAGCATTCATCACTTTAAGAGCACGACCCTGGGAATAAAATCCATGACATCAGTGCTGGTAAAACTCCACCACTTGAACTAAAGAAGCAAGTTAAAATTCTGATTGTATGATTTACTGTATAGGTGTTTCACAGCAAGAACGATGGCTTAGTCTTTTGAGAATTATAATGATCAGTGTCTCAAACTCCCCATAGTAAACCAATGAAACCAAACTCCTTATGCCTCTCACCGTCATTATCGGAGGCGTAATGTTTCCTTGCGTGCTAATGAATGTAACAGCACTTTAAACAGATCAGAGTGGTTTAACCCAGGCTGAATATGCACTGGTTGCTTGGTCAAACAGATGTTTTTTTGGTCTGATGGTACGTGTACATGTCTGCCATTCAGGAAACCTGGGTGTAGACATGTCAAGTCCTCTCACTACATACTTACATCTAAGTATAATGGTGTTGTGGGGCTATCAGGTGCACAGTGTTAAGGTACATAAGCAGTGCAGACTTGTGCAGGTAGAGAGGTCCCTGGGGTTTAAATTGTATGTGAATGTGAAAATGTGCAGCTGTAACAAACAAAGACACAAAGTTTCAACAGACTGACAAAGACCAGGTTTCCTTGAATAAGTGAGCACATGCACAAGTCACACTGAATGTGCCTTGACTTCAATAGACCACAGTATGATTATGGGTTTATGTACTTTTTCTTACTGTGTCCCAAAAGTATGATAATGAACTGTATTTTGACAAACACAATAGACAAAATCACAGAAACCAACACACAGCCAACTGACTGCCTGTAAGTCATGGTAATTCCAAATACAGTAAGTAACTGATAGCAGGTTGACAATTTATTGTAAAAAAAAAGAAAAAAAAACTATTTTACCATATTTTAGTAATGACAAATGTCCATCAATACATACATACATACATACATACATCATCTAAACCGCTTATCCTTCTGGGTCGCGGTGGGGTGCTGGAGCCTATCCCAGCTGTCATTGGGCGGAAGGCAGGATACACCCTGGACAGGTCGCCAGTCCATTGCAGGGCAGACAGACAGACAAACACACACACACTCACACCTCACACAATAATTTATTGTCACTTGATTAATGCTATTATACCCCAAAATTCATGACAGTATCACACTGGATTTTGGTAAACAGTAATAAGCTGTATTCTGAGTAAAAGTAACTTACAGCCAAATGGCTGCTTGCAAGTTATTGTAATATCAAATGACATTTTCTACAGTGTATCTATTATGCTTTGCATTTTAAGTGCAGATAACAGTGTTACATAATCATGATTACCAAAGACAAAGCATATTAGGTGTCAGTTGGCCTCTTTGAAGATAAT